CCTCAAAACCGCCAAACTCACTGGTTTGACTGGAATCCTGCTGCTGCACAATTTTAACGTGTTTTTAGATGGGGTTATGACCGAGAATAAGCTTTATGTGGCCTCTCTGGTCTCCCATAATATTTGCACGTGAGTGATATTTGGTTCGAAATGCGCTGATCCACTTAGTTATACTTGGTTGCCACAGTATTAATTTGGAACCGGATCAGGAATTTCCCCGTATTTTTCCCCAAAATGGTTTTTGTAGGGTTTTCACCCATCCCGTGATCAGTATTTCATGCCTTTTAGTTTAATGTTTAAAATATGAACAATGTATATCTTTTGTTTAATATTTCGTGTAATTGTTCGTCGTATGTTTCGCCAACTAGTGTACTTTTTCTTATGAGTTTAGCTTTACTTAACATCATGTAATATTTTTTTTGTGCATGTAGAGCCCCAATGAAAACCAGTTTTTAACTGTTTGGAATTCGAGTGGGTATAGAAATGGAATAATAGTTACAACGATCAGCTACATTATTTACATTATTCATATTCTCAAGCCTTGTTACAAGTGACTGTTAATGTGATATTGACTTGAATTTTACATTGTGATCGCTTCCATTTACGAAGGTTGATGAAGGATTTGCCCCGAATAAATAATCTGTAAAATGGACAGGTATACTTAAAAGTTGTGATGACATCAATGAATGTTCTTGTTTCTAAAGGGTGTTTTCCTCCACCTCCCCTTGATAGAGAACCCCCCCCCCCCCGGTTGCCCTCCGGATCTTCAATTGGTTATGACAAAAAAAACAGCAGCCCGCCAGGCTAAAGGAATGCATATATCAATGTACAATTCTTTTTCTTAGAATCGGACCTTTTAAACTCCTTTGAGATAATATTATGATGTTAAGTCAGTAAACACTATTGGAACAGGCAACTTAATATGAGAGGACTTCTGATTAAAAACAATTCCACGGTATACAAAATGCATCCATATGATGAGGATCAACGATTTGGATTTGAAAGTAAAATGGGGCTGGTTGGCCGAGGTGTACAAGTCCATAATTTTTTTAAGGGAGTATAACTATTGTGATGATACAAAACTCATCGAGCAGAAGGAGATGGTAAATCATTCTAATGATTGTATTTGATTAGAACAAACGTCAAGTCAAGAAAGTTGCACAACTCCATCCCTTGCAGTATGAAACGCAAATAAAATGCCATATAGGTTGTATACGGTAAATTTAAAACTTTTTAAAGAATGCGATCATTACTCGATAAACTGATAATAAAAAGAAAATGCAGGGATTCTGCATTGCATTAATGCATGGAGTGATATCGTTAGGGTTAACTTCAAATTTTGAAAAACACTGCGTGTTAACTGCTGTAATGTTATATGATTGCTGTGTAAGTATATTGTGGCGCAGCTTTTATTGGGCAAGGAAATCCCCTTTGTTGCTCAACAACGACTGTATTGCAAACGTCATTCTTAAAATAGCCCATGACAACTACATCAAATAGAAACACGATATAATGATAAACTATATAGCTCCATGTCACATAGCCCCCCACCCCCTCAAAAACAGGTTAATGACAAGAGTCTTGTTTACATCGTATGCAAATCAGAGCTGAACAAACTCCAACCTGCAACTTCAATTTGTACTTTCCACCTATTATCTCAAATCGTCCTGCTTACAAATGAGGCTTCATTCATCCTCCTACTGTTTTAACATTCACAAACAGTTAAAAGTTCCACCCACTTCCCCTGCTATGCCTTCTACACAGGCTAGTCACAAACAGTCCGATAATATTTCAAGCAAACACTAAGACTAGTCAAATTCAGTCAACATACAAAAGCATTCAGGCAACTGTGGTAGTACTGCTGTCTTATCAATCATTTACAGTCAAAGCACAGGTACATCAAGTTACTTAAACAGTCACAGCCAGTCAATCCTGCTTTATGTAGGCTGAGAGCCCTTGACTGTTGAAAACAGTCACTCGATTGATGTTGACTGAAACCCGTTATTTATACCTATCGCGCATAGCTCTTCAGTCTCCTGACATATGACCCTGTACCTGGCAACCCGACAAAAACGATTCCTTTTCTTTGCCATGCAGCTGACAATGGCCGGTATCTTGTGATTGAGTTTGAACGAAGCCGGATGATTTTAAATATTCTTTTTACATATCAAGTGGGTCCGATGATCAATGATCAATGTTCATTTTCTTTGTGCTACATTGCAGAATAACACAAAAAAATAACAACAACAATTATACCGAATTATTAAAACCACAAAAAAGGCGGAAGGATATATAAGCGGGTTAGAGGGCAGTGGTATTGTCTTGCTTAAATAGACAGGAGGAAACTATTTGCGCCATAACGCACCCGGTACGTACCCTCTCAGGCGCCTGAAACGCGTTAGATCTACAGGTCTATCCTGATAATCCACGGACGCCGCGCCAACAGGCTATACTTGCAGCTGTGGTTGCCGGATGCATCAGAGGTAATTTTCTCTCTCTAAAAAAAGATTTATTTGAGGGTTTCATGATACCGTGGGTTTTTTTTCATTACGATGTTCGTAAACATTCTTGATCATGTAAGGCTGTGTGATTGTTTTTGTGTGTAGGCCTATTGTGTTGACACATTGCATCTGTGATGAAACGGATTACTTTTCTTTATAATTGTTACACAAGATGCGAGCCTATTTGAATAACAAATGGTTTGTGGCAATCATGATGGTGAGATCTTATATTCTATTTTATAGAAACCCGACCTGCCGAAGCATCGATGGCTGCACATTCTTAACCAACGGCAGTAGGCCTATGCGCCCAGACGCATGTAATGTAACGAGGTAAGACTGCATCAATCCTTCACTTGCGTCTTTGAGATTTTCATGAAATTTGTTAGAAAAAGTCAGAAAAATATAAGCATAGACATAAATGCGCGAAACTCCGAATTTGTTGTGGAGTTCCTTTGCATACACAATTGCGAAGTCGAGAACATTAAATTGCTTTGCCTAAAAATCTATAATTTATGTGGGATAAACTGCCTGTTTGTGAAGAGCCACTTGTTGAGAATGTAACACGGCACCTCTCCTTTCTTTTTGTTTCTTGAATGGATTGCAGGCTGACTCACGAAGAATCTAACAAGTAACCCCAGAACAAAAAAGGCTACAATGGAAAAGAAAGGTAAAACGAGTCGAATGGGGCCTTCGACATTAGTTTTATACTTTCAACAGAAAGAATCATATGTTATTTTCCAATTAGAGTTTAGAAACGATTCCTTTTTTTAAATAAATAATACCAATGGGAAGTTGGGATTGTTTAAAATTAAAACGATATTAACGATGTCATGCGTGGGAAAGGACACATGCAAACTTTCGCATATTCTCTTGTTTCAGAACAAGGCCTACACTATTGTGTTAAGTTACACTAACACTAAGCCAGTGGCTTAGTTGTTGACCTCTGCCAGGAGCTTCTACTTGTCACTTGGTGGTTGGCCGGACGGTCAAACGGTCGGTCCGTCTGTCTGTCTGTCTGTCTGTCAGCCGGCCTGTCTCCAAAAAATACTTTGACCAAAACGATTGACTAATTGAACAAATGCTATGCCGTGGTCGTAGAATGCACTCTCAGCTGGACGAAAGCTTTCGGAACACGAGTTTTGGTTCGATCATTGCGCATGCGCGTTTATTTTGGATAGGCCTATGTCTGTCCCCGAATATTGACCACAAAATTAATAAGCCCCATACATAAGTTTCCAACAAAATATAACTACCAAATTGAAATTTCCACAAATGTAATACATCGGAATCGGAAAGATGTTCATGGAAAGTTTTTTAATGAAGGCAAATAGGTCTATACAGTAATGTTCTACATGTAGTCACGTGGTATTTTGTGTAGTGGTTGGACGGTATTCAGAAGGAGTAAATGTCCCCCAAATTGACCAAAAGTATGGTGTTCCATATGTGCTCTCGGCGTCGCATTTTTCGCCAGAGATTATTGTGCGCTCGCACTTGTTTTGGATCACATAAATCAAGTGCGAGTGCACAATAAGCTATAGCCGTCTTGCATGAAAGTCTTGCGTATTACGTTTTGGATTTCTCTTAAAAACATGAGAAAAAATATACAAACTTAGAAGAAAAAAAATGAATTCGAACGTAATGAAATTCGGACTTTCTTCCCTTAAAAAAAATCCTCCAAAGTCTCAGATTGGAAAGGGAAAAAACGGGTAAAAATGGTAATACATCGCAGGATCCCTTGCGGTATAAAATCACGACCCTATTGAACTGGGCCCATTTACATGTATACTAGCTTAGCAGCCAACTGGGCCTTAGTAAGACACTAAAATGCCTAGTAGTCTACTATGGAGTTGACAACTAAATTGTAATTCATGAAACCTTGCTAAGAACCTTGCTAACTACTATAGGAGAATTTAGTTGCATACGTGAGTAACTGGAATTGGGTGTGTTTTGGTGGAGTGGGCATAAATGGAATCTGATGACAACAAATACAATAGTGTGAGGTGTGTTAGGCTAATCCATGTCGAGCATCTGCGTGGTTTAGCAAAAACTATCCCCAGGTCTATAATTATGTTGTACAGTGTTCTGCGTCTGCATGTAAGTGAATCAACATCAAATCCTCTAGCATGAATTGCATATAAAGCTAGGTTATCAGACATGGCTACAAAAATGGCAAGGAATTAGGGCAAATTATTCTCAAAATGAGAACTCTTTATGGCAGACAAGTATGAGGAATTAAAATATACATTTGATGCTAATCATCAGGATGCAAACACTAACAATAAAGAGAATGATGCATGGGCAGCTATTCTCATCCAACACCGTTCAAATGTTCACAGGTTGAAAGATCATTGGATATTTAAAAATTAGATTGTCCAAACTTAGTCAAGAGAATGCCTGTCAAAAATGAGAATTAAGTCCTAGAAGGCAATCGGAGGGGGAAAGCCACCTAAAGAGCCAAGTCTGACACAACAAATAATGATATAGTTGCTTACTAGTGTCATGGAGTTGCCCTGGGTCAACACTAACTTTAGTAAGAAACTTAAAATTTAACTAACGCTAGTAATGTTTCATGAATATCAATTAGTTTCCAACTATGCTTAGTAAAAAACTACAACCAACTAGGCTTGGTAAGGTTTCATTAATATGGCCCAAGCTTGACAAATCCTTGAAATTCATCATGGTAATATACCTGCCTACGTATCAAAAAAGTATCGTAGAGGGCGCTCAACAACGATGTATAATGCGCATGCTCTTGGGGAAAAAAATTATTCGCGGAACGGAATCCCACGTGCCGTCCCACGCGAAAATCATGCTGCTCTAATCTGTCCCCGAAAATCTACAAAATAAAGCCCCCTAAGTTTCCCATAAAATGTAGCGTGCTATACTGAGTAAAAAAAATAACATTACTGCACATATTTTGCCTCCGTTTACACAATTTTTATGAACAATTTTAGGAATTGTTACGAACAAATTTTGTATTTAATTTGTTTGGTTTGCTTTTTAACGTTAACATTTGCTAGTTATTTTTTATGGAAGACATAGGGGGCTCGTATTTTGATCACTTTTTCGGGACAGACCGACCGACCGTCTGACCGACCGACCGACTACGAAGTGACATGGAGAAGCTCCTGCTAGAGCTTAAAAATATACAGGAAAAAAATAGAACAAAACCAATGGTATAGGACTAATTATGTCGAAGCACGCTGTCCTTTTTTCCCCACTGCTTCTCTATAACACCGCGCATAATGACCAACTGTATAATTAAGGTGGTTTCTGTTAAAATAGAAAGACGGGCAATATTATTTAATTTGAACGTCGTGTTATTTTTTTTCACTATTTGACTTCTTGAGAGCCACCTAATTTTACTCTGCATCGTGCCTCTGCATCCTGTGTACAATACACCACAGAAGCGTTTGAACCTCCCCACCCCTGCATTAAAATATATTATGCATTCAAGTTGTTTGTTCTGTTTAAACCCCACAGAACCCTGTGCCTATCACAACAAAGCTACTTTCGAGGGTCAACCCTACTACCATGGAGATCAGCTACTCGGCGTCCGTTGTGCTGGGTGCGGTCAAGAGTGGCTGCAAGAGCGGTTCCTGTTTCAGCCAAATAATGACAACACCCGCCACTATGTGAACGTCGACAATGTCGTCCTCAAGAAGCAGCTCAAGATGGAAGTTGAGAGCGACCCGGCCTTCCAGGTAAGCGGTAGTCGCACCATGAGCAAGAATTTCAAGTTCGAGGGCGATTCCCTGAAGGTGGGGGATCACATCGCTTGGCATCGGCCTAAGGGCTACTGGCATCATGCCATCGTGTCAGAGGTCGGTAATGAGGTAAAAGTCATACAATGGGCACGGGACAAGAAAGCGCGTAAGATGGAGAGGAAGGAGGATGAGATTGACCTGCAGAATCAAGAGGGGCCATTGTTCCGCATTGACTACTCTGATGAGGTTACTAAGATAAACCCATCTGAGCTGGTTATTGCCCGGGCTAGAGCCATGTTATATGCCCCTGGTAAATACCATTTGTTGAGGGATAACTGCGAAGCGTACGCTTCGTATTGCAAGACAGGTTTTGCACAGAGCTGCCAGGTTGTCTGGCTGACTCATGTGTTGAAAATTTGTGCTTCAACCATGATGGCCATCCTCAGCAGATGCTTTTGTGATGCATCCCTTGTCGTGCTTAAAGAGTGCACAGAACAATTGGCAAATTTATTCAGTGAGGGAACTGTAGATATATCTATCGAAGCGTGTCAGATTTCATTCGACGGGTTCTATTGCGTAGGTGCTGGTGTCGCACTTCTCATTGAGGGAATTTGGTGTGTCTATGACCTTAGCAAGATTTACCATAAAAGGGCCAATGGTGAAATATCCCGGGTGGATTTTGTTCAAAGGTCCATTCAGCGTGCTGTTGAAGCGCTGGTTAAGGCCGGGTGCATAGGGGGAAGCGTGGCAGGATCATTTGGGGGAATGGCGATTGGAATGCTCATTTGTCCTGGTATCGGAACAGTAGCAGGTTTCCTTATAGGGGGTATAGTAGGAGGGGTCGTGGGTGGAATTTTTGCTGGGGCTGTAATAACGCCTCTTGGACCTTGGATTGCGCGTAAATTTGCCTCATGCATCGGGAGAGATGACAGGGCTGTGGAGATTGGTGACTTGCAACGAGGCGATCATGTTGTCTTCTACGGCTTTTCATTACATCCGAGACACCATGCCATAGTCGTAGATTGCGACCCAGTTAAGGGTAAGGTCAGGGTGGTACATCACACCTACAAAAACGGTGTGGTGGAAGAGGTACTTGATTTCATACCCCCCGTGTACAGGCTGCTGTATGACAATGATTGCGCTGCGCCTGATGAGGTCATTGAGAGAGCAAGATCAAAGATTGGCGATGAAACGTGCAAGTACTCACTGGCTTTCAACAACTGTAAGACTTTTGCACGGTGTTGCAAAGAGAGTGAGGAATCGTGGTTGGATGTATCATTTGGCACACTCGACGACTCAAGTGACGACAATTTGTGCGTGCGCGAGATCCGTATGTCAAAGGCGTAAAAAAGTAACCCCCCCCTTATTCTTTTGTAAATTTACCCTGCAAATGAAAGTTTTATTTCTTATTCAAAACATCGTTTTGAATATTCATTTTCATTGACCAATCACTTTCGCCGTTGCCACAATAGAGATTCGGAATACGGGGCGCGGCCCGCGTTAGCGCCATTCCAATGCTAACCGGAGCCGAGGGAACACCTTGACTTAAACTGAGTTCCCCTTGCCCATATCTTTCAGGTAATTGTTTTACCTAGTTATATTTTATTCACTTTCCATGGTTGTGTTAATACGATTCAATATTCATGTAGGCCCTAATCATGTTATATTTTTTTCGTCCAGATGATTATAGGCTTAAAAACAATGTTTGGACAATGTTCCACATAAAGCAAAAAATAAAATCTCATTTTCTCTTTATCCTTAGAGGACCTTAGATGTTTCTATCGAAAAACTTTACTTGATTATCTTGAAAGCAGTCGTTGCAAAGACTTGAGTTGTTTTATTTGCTTAAGTTTTTGTCTTATTTAAAGACAATTTCGAGATGGCAGCCGTTAGGTAGAGTTTGGCGGGAAATGGCAGCCATCTTTCCAATCTATCCTTGAACGTTTTGACTATTTGGCTTAGTGTTAAGATTCATATTAATGATTGTAATTTTGTAAATATTTTTTAAAAGAGATTCCAATGCTAACCACAGTCGAAGGAACACCTTGTCTAACATGAGTTTCCCTTTCCCGTATGTTCATCTTTCAGTGAGTCAGAATAAATCACCACAGAACTGAGAAGCCGAGTCCTATTCCCCAATATTACCGACTTTAATAAAAACCAAGGGTCAGTCCAAAAAAATAAATATTCGGTCTCTGGTCAGACCGAAGTTCCGGAATTGATGCGGCGACGCGGGTTTTTTTTTTTTGTAGCTTTTTTTTTCAAGCTTGAATTGTACAGACAAGATGGGTACTATTTTGCTTTTTTGTGTCCTCATTATACATTGGTGTCCTCCATAATTTGCCTTGGTGCCCTTTATCATTTTCCTTGGTGCAATTTCCCCATTCCTTGGTGCTCCTTGGTATAAAAATTTGAGGAGGTGCGGCAAAAGAGGGCGCTGTTGTAGCTTCCGTGTTAATTTGAAGAGAAAAAAAAGGTTGACGCGCATGATTAAAATCGACGCGCGCACTGACCAGAGACCGAGTATTTTTTTTTTTTTTTTGGCCTCACACATAGACTATACTATGTCTATGGTTCGTGCACAGGAGAGGGTGTTTTTTTTTTAACCTTTTTATTTTATTTTAAAGCCCCGTGGATGCGCATAGCTGTATTTATCTCCCAAGGGTTAGGAGTCCTTGTAATGTACAAAAATATGGTGTTGTTTCGTAACGAAGTAGCAAAGTATAGAAATGAAAGATGAGAAAGGTAAAAGTGAACACTTTGGATTTAAAGTGCATTAATATATTGATGATGAACAAAAAGATTATGAAGCAAAGTTAAGACAATTATTATTACTTGATGTAGAACATTCGTTAAGTTGTCCGAACATAATGCAACAGGTTGTTACCAACTACACTTTTGATTTGATATTTTCTAGCTATCGAGATAAGGGGTCAACAACAACAAAAACCATTTGATCTGTCAATGAAGTGTAAATAATCTCATAACTCGTATTAAAAAAAAAATCATGGTTACAAAGTTCAGTCAATCCTGTACATGTAGTAAGAAGTAAATTACTCCAAATTATTATTTACAACTTTTACAATTTACAATTTTAACAGTAAAATGTATACATTTTACATTTTATATAAATGCATTTTTTAAAAGGAATCCTTAAAACCCAAAGCCGTACTATAACTCGAATGTATATAGTCGACTCTCATTATAAAGATCACCTTTATAAAGAGGTTCTGCTTATAAAGAGCAAATTCTGAGGTCCCAAATTTCAGGTTATCTTTGTGTTTCTTTGTTTCGCTGTCCTTTTATAACAACATTCCTGTTATAAAGAGGTGATTTGGCTAGTCCCATCGACCTTGTTATAACGAGAGTCGACTGTACTTATGTTGGTGTCACTGATCATGAAAGACATAACTAGTATCGTAATTGTACAATCTAAAACATGCACAAAATTGACATTTAAGAAACTTGCTATAATGTCTGATAGTAAATATATGTACTTCAGTGGACATTTGATTTTGCATGTCATACAGCGTAATGTTCCTATCGTCTGGTGGTGGTCGCTCAACTAACAATCTAGGTCCAGATATGTTGCATACTTGCATATTGCTTGTTCCTGTTTTGGTTTTCTTTGCTTTCGTTTTTCTATTGCTTATTTTTGATTCGTTAGTTGTTAAGTCGTTCGGGTATATATTGTATTCACTGACTAAGACTGTTAATCAACCAAACACAATACATTTAGTTTGTTTGCAGTTCAGTGACAGTTTTCGATTTATAATGACACAAAATACTATATCCTCTTTATTTGCTTTTGTTCATGTATCGCCTTTACCATTTCAGAATACTCCTTTGTACATGACGAATCTTTTCACACAATTTACATAGATTCCTGAAACAAGAAAATCCACTAACAAGGCATTGGAAGTTCCAGTAGCCAAAAACGAATGTTATGTCAAAAGTCTCGCTGTGAGTGGTGCGAATATATGGAATAATTTGAATGAACAACTTCATCAGATATAAATATTTCTTGTATAAACTACGTAAAGCCATAAGTACACGAATGATTTTTAGTTAAAAATGCGCTGATCTACGGATCTATACTGATACTTGGTTGCCACGGTATTAATTTGGAGCCGGATCGGGAATTTTCCGTAGTTTCCCCAAAATAGTTTTTGTTGGGTTTTCACCCATCCAGTGATCAGTCAATGCATTATAGTTGAATGTTTAAAATATGTACAATGTATATAGCTTTTGTTTAATATTTCTGAGATACGTGTAATTGTTCGTCGTATGTTTCACCAATCAGTGTCCTTTTTCTTATGAGTCTAGCTTTACTTAACATGATGTAATAATTTGTTGTGCATGCAGAGCCCCAATAAAAACCAGTTTTTAACTGTTTGGGTATCGAGTGGGTAAAGAAATGGAATAATTTAGTTGTAACGATTAGCTACATTATTTACATTATTTCGTTTTTCTATTGCTTATTTTTGATTCGTTAGTTGTTAAGTCGTTCGGGTATATATTGTATTCACTGACTAAGACTGTTAATCAACCAAACACAATACATTTAGTTTGTTTGCAGTTCAGTGACAGTTTTCGATTTATAATGATACAGAATACTGTCCTCTTTATTTGTCTTTCGTTCATGTATCGCCCTTACCATTTCAGAATACTCCTTTGTACATGACGAATCTTTCCACACCATTTACACAGATTGGTGAAAAAAGACAATCATGTAGTTTGTTTGAAGTTCAGTGACAGTTTTCGATTTATAATGACACAAAATACTATATCATCTTTATTTTTCTTTTGTTCATGTATCGCCTTTACCATTTCAGAATACTCCTTTGTATGACGAATCTTATTACACCATTTACGCAGATTCCTGAAACAAGACAATCCACTTACAAGGCATTGGAAGTTCCTGTAGCCAAAAACGAATGTTATGTCAAAAGTTTCGCTGTGAGTGGTGCGAATATATGGAATAATTTGCATGAACAACTTCATCAGAAATAAATATTTCTTGTATAAACTACGTAAAGCGATAAGTACACGAGTGATTTTTAGTTGAAAATGCGCTGATCTACGGATCTATACTGATACTTGGTTGCCACGGTATTAATTTGGAGCCGGATCGGGAATTTTCCGTAGTTTCCCCAAAATAGTTTTTGTTGGGTTTTCACCCATCCAGTGATCAGTCAATGCATTATTATAGTTGAATGTTTAAAATATGAACAATGTATATAGCTTTTGTTTAATATTTCTGAGATACGTGTAATTGTTCGTCGTATGTTTCACCAACTAGTGTACTTTTTCTTATGAGTTTAGCTCTACTTAACATCATGTAATAATTTGTTGTGCATGCAGAGCCCCAATGAAAACCAGTTTTTAACTGTTTGAGGATACCCTGGGTAAAGAAATGGAATAAAAGTTGTAACGATCAGCTACATTATTTACACTTAATGTAAGCCTTGTTACAAGTGCCTGTCAATGTGATATTGACTTGAATTTTACATTGTGATCGCTTCCATTTACGAAGGTTGATGGAGCCTTTGCCCCGAATATATGATCTGTAAAATGGACAGGTATACTTAAAAATTGTGATTGCATCAGCGAATGTGTGTGTGGTTTTTTTCTCCTCCTTTGGTGTTCCCCCCCCCCCCCCCTTGATAGAGAACCCCCAGGTTTTCATCCGGCTGTTCAATTGGTTTTGACAAAACAACAAATAACCGCCAGGCTATGAAGGAATGCATTCAACAATGTATGTCGTTCTTTTTTTTCTTCTTAAAATCTGATCCTATAAACTCCAGAGAGGACTTTTATTCAAAACAATTCCATATACAAAATGCAGCCTTGAAGATCAACGATTTGGATTTGAAAGTATGGGGGTGGTTGGCCGCGGTGTGCAAGTCCATTTTTTTAAAGGGAGTATAACTATTGTGATGATACAAAACTCATCGAGCAGAAGGAGATGACTAATCATTCTTATGATTGTATTTGATTAGCACAAAAGTCAAGTCAAGAAAGTTGCACAACTCCATCCCTTGCTGCTATAAAAATGCACATAAAATGCCATATTATGTTGTATTTAACACTTCTTAAAGAATGCGATCGCAACTCGAGAACCTGATAATCAAAAGAAAATACAGGGCTTCTGCATTGCATTAATGGAGTGATATCGTTGGGGTAAAATACACATTCTGAAAAACCCTGATTGTTAACTGCTGTAATTATATGATATTATTGCGCAGCTTTAATTGGGTAACGGGGAATCCCCTTTGTTGCTCAACAACGACTGTATTGCAAACGTCCCTTATTCTTAAAATAGCCCATGACAACTACATCAAATAGAAACACAATATAGTAATAACCTATTATGTATTGCTCCATATCACATAGCCCCGCTCAAAAAACGATTCACGATAAGAGACTTGTTTACGTCGTATGCAAATCAGATCTAAACAAATTCCAAACTGCAACTTCAATATTTCTAACTATCATCTCAGTCGTCCCGCTTATAAATAAGGCTACATTGTTTGGTAAAATCGATCGATTCTGTAACACACTAATTAAAATTGTACAAAACCTTTTAATAAACCCTTTTTTATTCATCTGCTTATACATATTTATATACTGGGTCGTGGACAAGTAAAATTGACATATTATTCGGAGCAGGTGGTTGGAGTATTACCACAATGAAAGAAGTCAACCAAAGAATGTAATATTACACGAAACAATAAGATAACAACAAACTGACGATGGCTACAAACGGAGTGACTGCATAAAAGTATAGTGGCGTGTGTGTAAGTTGCCATTGTCCTTTGCACCGATACAGGGCACAACGTCCAATATGCTGCTTCACACAGTTTTCCCACTACATGTGATAAAATAAATACGGTGCGATATGTGCGCTATCAAGCCTTGCTATCAAGCGGGCAAACTGCACGTCATTCACAGCTCATAATATTATTTTATTATGTTAATTATTTCTTGCCCCGCTCCGACTGTTTTAATTCGCATTTTTCTCTCCTTTTATTTTTTTTTTTACCGTGGACGGGATACTATAGAAAGGGGACCATAACACGGACAACATAGCACTCATTTATAAAACACTCGAACGCCAGTAAGCTAACACGACTCGGAAGCAGCGACGAAAACGGGAATAAATTGCAATTTTTACATGCAAAAGGTCGAGCGTGCTATATACACGTATAAATAAACATTATTAGCATTATGTACCACAATGAAAATTGACCGTGGAAGACATATACGACTGTCCAAAGCATTTACAGTTACTTGATCCAATCAACGCAATTAATAGAACATTTTTGTTTTCAAATTATGATCAACAAACCTCAAGCCAGCCAAGATCTAATAATTATATCAGCCATCAGTGAGACCGGTTTTGCTAAGCTACAAGAGATTATCGTCATCAACAATAAACTCATCAAACTAAACGATGTTGAAAGATATTAGCACGCCCTCCCACCAACTGATCCACCAACATGAACACGTCTCCAAAAAGCAGCGCACTCCACCAACCGATCCAGACTAAGGAGCATCGGTAGGTCTCGTCTCCAATTCAGAAGACGAATTTTTTTCATAGAAATTTCTTAAAAATAATGCAACCCCCCCCCCCCCGACGCCCCAAAAATAAAACTGGTAATAATGTCCACCTGTGCCCAAAATACGCACAGAGCCACTATTCTGTAATATAGTGTTAATAATCGTCGGATTTGAAGAGCGCCCCATTCCTGTTTTCCATAGAAATTTCTTACAAATAATGCGACCCCCCCCCCCCCCCCCCGCTCTGACACCCCAAAAATAAAACTGGCATTAATGTCCACCTGTGCCCAAAATACGAACAGAGTACTATTCTGTAATAAGGTGTTAGTAATCGTCGGATTTGAAAAGCAATGTCCAATGTCAAATCTTGTCCTTAGGCCTACTTTTCATTGTCCCTATTGTCTAAACATTAAATTTTACATAAAGCTGGGATAAAAACGAAAACGTTCAAAGGTACATCAGTGTCAAAGACTGAAAAAGATGCAATGTACACGCAGGCACAATTAATACTGTCAACATTATAGAGAAATCTGCATATTCTATTTCGTTTATGTTATTGCTGTAGAAAATGCTTGCACCATTTAAATTTTGAAATCCATGTTTCACCCTAACATACAAATACCGATGTGCAATGAAATCTGTATACTATAAAATCCGGTCCTTACTGTAAATGGGCACATGACTACATGTGAGTCATCGGGTTTTTTTTCTCTGACCGATGTTGTCAATATATACTTACATTAATATACTTACATTAAAGAGTCAAAATAATGCAACACAATTTTTCTTTAAATATAACAAAAATATATATGCGCATCAACAACAAAAAAACTAAATTTCTATATGAAGTAAGTTCATCTATTTACATAAAAATCAATGCGTGTCCGACACTGACAACCTATATTTCGCATGTTTTTTTTCCTTACCTTTATCAAGGGGACCATATCAAGGGCAACAGCATGGCACTCATCTATAAAACACTCTAACGTTGTAAGCTAACGCGAAGCAGCCACGAAAAAAAGGGGTACAGTGTGCGCTTAAGAACAGAACTAAATAATGTTGAAAGATATTGGCAATATAAGAGAGCCAGGCTATATTGTACATTCACACATCCTATACCTACTGATCCACCAACATGCACAAATCAGGTATCTCCAAACAGCAACGTATCGTACGTGCGGTCAACTGCACTCCACCAACCGATCAAGACACAAACAACCAATCCAGCATACCAATCAATTTCATTATAGAAACTGCAGTTTCAAACCAGACCGTATTGTCAGTGAGCTACTTCAGTTTGCACCATTGAGCAAAATGCTTACAGTTATTCCAGACTAAGGAGTATCGGTACGTCTCGTCCCTGATCTTAGATCGGGCCCTCTGGATCACCTCGTCAGGTGGATAACACTTCCGCTCGTCGTACACCAGCCTATAGACAGGCTGGTTGAAATCAACTTTCTCCTCCACCACACCCTGCTCGTAGGTGTTGTGTACCACTTGGACTTTCTTCGAGCCTGGGAACTGGTCAACCACTATGGCGTGGTGTCTTGGATGCAGCAGCTTGCTGTAAAACACGACTTGGTCTCCCGGGTTCAGGTCCTCGATTCTCTCCACTGCCCTGTCGTCGGTCCCCATAGCCGAAGTTATGGTACGGCCTAGAAAGGGTCCCACAATGGAGCCCAGGGGTTTCCCGATAATCAAGCCCAAGGTGCCTCCCACTACACTTCCAAGAAACGCACCGACTGGCGAAAGTATTCCAGGCAAAATGAAACTACCAGCAGCCTGCAGCCCTATGCCTATCAATGAAGCGAACCCAGCACCGACAAGTGCTTCGCTCACATGCTGTGAAGCAGTTTCTATGAAATCTTTCAAAGAAATGCTACCTGACTTTCTTTTCTCATACACCTTGCTGAGGTCCCAGTAACACACATAACCTTCAAAAGCGAACACAAGACCCGCCCCTACCCAGTTAGATCTGTCGAAGACCTGCTCAATCAACTCTGCTCCCCCCACAGCTGTTGCTCCCCCCACAGCTGTTGCTCCCCCCGCCAGCGCATCATTAGCGATCTTCCTGACGAGACTAAACCCAACCCCACACACGCCGTTCACAAGATGAGCCAGCGTTTTTTCCACAATTTCCTTGTATTTGTGGTACAGCCAGACAAGCTGGCAACTCTCCGCAATCCCGGTCTTACAGTAAGACGCGAACGCTTCGCAGTTATCTCCGAGCAGATTGTAACCAATGTCCCCCTTTCGCGACTCGGCCCGGGCAATAACCAGCTCCGACGTGTTAGCCGCGGTAATCTCGTCAGGATAATCGATTCGAAACGTGACACCCCACTCCTTGCGCAAGTCAAGCTCTTCTTCAACGATTTGCATCGAAACGCTGCAGTTTGGTTTATTCCAATGAATAACTTTGACTTTTCCAACCTCATCACTGAGGCCAAACACGACTGCATGGTGCCATATGCCCCAAGGGCGGTGCCACGTGATATGATCCCCTACCTTTAAGTAATGACTAAGGTCGTCGAAGTATTCAATCTTGGTGCGACAGTCCTTCACCTGAAAGACCGGGTTTTTCTCCACGGGTACCTCTAGTTGTTCCTTCAGCACGACCCCATCGAGTTTCACCCACGGGCGATTGTTGTTCACGTCTGGATGAAACAAGAAGCGCTCTGAGAGCCACTCCTTGCCGCATGAGGCGCAGCAAAGACCAATCACACGGGTACAACCTTCGTAGTCCTTGCTGATGTATCTTCGCATCTTGAAGGGATTTGCATTGTCGCATCGTCCACACGGTTGAAGCTGTTGCGACGGTACTGCAATTGTAATGAGACCGTGATGTGGTGCAAAGATTTAACATATTACACACTTATATTCATTTTCTTCTTGTTTCATTTGGTTCGGGTGGGGTGGATTCTCAGTATGTACACAAATAAGGAATATGTTTTACTCGTTTTACTCCTAATATTTCTCGAGTGTTTTTTTTCCACACGGATGTGGGTTTAATTCTCCGTGTTTGTTTTTGATATACACGTAAAGATGAGATTGTAATGTTTTATGAATGATTGTGCATTATACTTATATGATTAACATGTTCAAAAAAGAAAACTCTCAAGAAAACTCAAGAAAAAGGCTGTTTTGTGTCCACTTGGAACATCCTAATTGTTGATAATGTGGCTTACCGAGTTCTTGAGCTAGATCTTGGCGGTCAATCATTATCAGGGCTCTGCCCAAGTGCTCCACGGGATAATTGCCCTTGAAGTTTTGTCTCCAAATTTCCAGCATCTCCTCGGCCTGCTGCCAGGGCTCTGAACTGTTCTCCGTCATTGCTTTACTATACTGGGTCTCATCCAGGAGATAGAGGGCCATATCCGGCCAGGATTCACCCAGGCCCTTAGCAATCTTGCTGATAGTGGTTGTCTCCAGAATCTCCTCACCTGTTGATCAAAAGACAGGAGATAGTTTCGGTAAAAGAGTCATGTTCTTAAATTCCACTTGGGTTTGACATCCGATTCCCGAAAATAACCATTCAAAAATATCAAGATGCTTACCCAGAAACTTCAGCAGATCGTTCCGCTTGATTTTCTTGAGGGCGCCTTTCAATTCGCCAATCTTGACAAGCCCATCGTGTCGCTCCAACAGGGCTTCAAGCATCTGCCAAGCCTGTTCCTTGCCGCATTCGGGGTAAGCGGCGTTGATGCTGCCACAATCGGTATCGTCAAACCCAAGATGCTCTGCTACCTCCGTCCATTCTCCTTCAAGTTCTGCCGCCAGGCTCTGGAGAGAACTTTCGTCCACAATTTCCATCCCTGTCAGGAAAATAAATCGGGAAGAGTCCGTTGTTTACTATAAACTACTTGCTTTTTTTTTTTGCTATTTTTTTTTTTTGCCTTGTCAGAAGTGACAAAAAACTCATTTGTAATTATTTTGGCAAAAAAATGATGACCCTCCGATTTTAAACCAGTAAATCTCAGTCATTCACACCCAACAGTTTCAAGTGAAATATCTGTGGAAAGCCCATAAACATTATCTTACTGATGCAACCTCAACTGTTCACTTACCAGCCTATTATTTAAGGTTACCTTTATTTTTTCACCTTGTATAGATATTATCTTTTCGCAAATAAATAAACACATTGCAATAATCTCTAATTTGGGTATTTGAAACTGTTACTTGTTTAACCTATCCTATTCTCTGATGACATAACGTTCTCGTCGTGAACAGTTCGACATTATGTGACAGTGAAAATGGGTGACAATAAATGACGGGATTCTTACCTATTATTTTCAGCAGGTCATACTTCCCCATTCGCTTCAGTGCCTTGGTCAATTGACCAATCATGTCACTGCCTGGGTAGTCTTCTCTCCACACCGACAGCATGCGTCGGGCCTGCTCGTGAACTTGGTCAAATGACCCTACGATGCTTGCACTCTGATGGTCGTCTATGTGTAGATTTGAAGCCAATGTCGGCCAGGCTTCTCCAAGCGCATCAGCCAAAGGCACCAGCAAAGAGTCATCAAAAACCTCTGCACCTGTTAATTAATAGACGCGGGTTGAAGGTTGATCATTCCAGCGGTATGGTTCATTAATTTGAAACGCATTCGTAAGACACACCAAGTGATTGTATCACATGAATTGGGATAATTTTTAATATGATAGATTAGAACGAGCGATTTCAATATGGGAGAGCTGACAACGACTTTTTACTTTTTCTTGCAGAAAAATGTTATCTTCCTTTCTAAGTCTACTTTATTATGATAAAGTTGCTAATATTTTGGGCCTGTCGAGGAACATTTCCATTAAATAAAATACTTTAGATCCTTTAAGGCCAACCTCGTCCCCAGTGCTTACTTCATTTCCAACACGGTTTCCAATAGTAAACCCTGGATAGGAAACTTTCTTCCTGTATCCTGATTCGATACCGCAATTGGCTAGTAATGGATTTTTATCGTGTACTTGGTGTTGTTATTCACAACGTGCAGTACGTGTTTTCGCGATCATTCGTCCACGCCTCCTCGAAAATATTAATTTCCTTTCCAATTTGTTAATATTAATATGAAATGTATTAACTAAAGTAACATCAATATAGGCCTTCTACATTTTTCCCAACACGCTTACCGTGATCTCCGAGCAGGTCGTACCGTCCAATCCTCCTCAGAGCCCCGATGAGGAATCCTTCCATGTCCTCGCCGGTGTATCTCTTCGTCCATGCCGTCAACATGTGCCGGGCTTGTTCCTTGACTTCCCCCAAATATGCCACTTTGATGGACAGACATTCCTCCTGATCGAAGCCAAGGTGCTCAGCAAGACTCGGCCAGGTGTCTCCAAGTGCCGAGGCTGTTTTTGCTAGGGACTCATCTGAGATAACCCTCCCACCTGCGAACGAAAGTTTGAACATGTACCGTCCGTGTTCCTCAACAAAACTGATTTTTGGTTTTTTTTCTCGGAGTATTTTCCACCTGTATAGGCCTAATTATGTTATGTTTACACAAACTATGCATCCATTTTTTTCCCTGTCGGCTGTATCCCTTTGAAAAAAAGGCTTGATCTTGGATGCGGATCTGGCTCACAAACAAATACTGCCTGTGAGTAAATTGTGAGTAGATGACACTGATCTCTATATAAAGACTGGATAGCTAATACAGAGCCGCACAATGTACGAATTTGACGCCATATTGGTGAGACCGGCTGGTGATCTACAAAGGACAAGATGCCGTTTTTATAGACGGCATGATTTCTTTTGTAACGTCGCGGTTCACTTGACTTATATTTTGACCACCACCACTGACCAAGGTTAACTACAATTTTTCTAACGTCGTGGTTACTAAAATGCCGCAAATATAACTTTTTCGGCGTTTTGAAATAATAATCACTACGGAATTGTGTCCCTTTTAGAACATCATAATATGTGTACGTGACCAAAATGCGCGTCAACTGTTGATACAACGCGCGCGTATTTACGCGTAGAACGTTCGTATTATACGCGGCCATCTTTGTGAGACCGGGGCGAATTGGTCAATATGCAAAGTCTACTGTGTGAATGTTGTATGCATATCCGCTATCCAGTCTTTATATAGAGATCAGTGGTAGATGACTGATTCCGACAGGGGCGGAAACCAGTGTACCCCGCGAGAATGGAATTACCGCCGGACCAGAAATACATTCAAAATTCACAACAACAAAAATATATATGATCAAATCACCTTAAACCCTTGCATGCATCACGAACATATTATTGTGATTTTATTTCCGGGTTTCGCAGACCTTTGGAATTCTAATTCGATCTAATTATCATCACAAACAAGGAACTGTCGCTTTCCATATACCTTCCGTGTAATTTTCCAGACAGAACTCCTATTCGCTGTCATTACAGCCACGCCTTCCTTCCCCCTCCCCCTTTTGTGGCGATATATCAGATGACAACCCTGACGGCAAACCTGCTGACTGTCATGAGACAGCAAGGCATATTTAAATCGGCCCAAAATTGTTTTCAGTCTCTACAGCAGGCCTGTCGTCAATTGAGGGGCGCAGGGGGCCGGGCCACCGCCCCCCCCCCACACCCCCCCCACACCCCCCCCCCCCCCCCCCCCCCCCCTCCCCCCACGGCAAAAACCATAAGCGTACAAATTATATATAGGCCTAAGTGTGTTTTTTCTTATGCTGTGCCCCCTAGCATGCCTAGTTTGTACTGCCCCCCCCCCCTTAATGCCCAGAGCTGGCGACGATATGCTGCTGTACGTACAGACCATCTTTATTGCATGGCAACTAACATCTGTGAGAATTCCGCACAAGGATAATTTACGTCCCACCCAGAACCGGGCGGGGGGGGGTATAGATCTCGATCCACAAGCATTTCAATGTAGCTGGAATAAGCGCTCCCGATACATCCAGTTATCGCAGCCATGTTGCAGCTCATACAGTTCAAAATACAAAGGCCATGCAAACTAACGGTGTTTATGATTATGATAACAAGGGCATGTCATTACATACAGGTTGTTTTCCACTTTACCTCGGCTAGCCATGATCCGCTTCCTTCATTCGTCTACTGTTGAGACATCAACACACGTTTACGTTTTGTAGAGCGATACTTCTTCTCTTCAATTAGAAAATGTCCATTTTCTCGATCGTAGACTTTTCCTTCCTCCTCGTTGTGCAACCCTTCCGTGTTTGGAAATTCCAAGGCGCTATTTTTGGTTTCGAGCTCCCATAATTAGGGGAATTCCCGTGCGTAATTTTGGGCTTGCTATGTTCACGGCCTACAACCAACTGCCCGAGACTGACAGCACCCTCATCGGCGCTCCATGTACAAAAAGATGAATGTTGGTTCAGCAGCGCTGATGGAGGTGTTACTTACATGTCCAGGTTTGAACAACAGTGAGAGCAAAATGTGGAAGGCTTGAGAAAAACTTATCATCATTCGTATTTGCCAGTACATGTAAACAACATGTATTGGCTGTGAAGGCAATGCGCATTCAATTAAAAACATTAAATGGCAAGCACAATCATTGTGGGCACACGGCCACGACACTTTATTTGTTATTAATAAACAAACCAGTTTCAAACATTGACATTACAACCGACACAAACTGTTTAAACAAAAGCAGCTGTATGCATAATCACTACAAAATTAGACATTTCTATTGAACTGCTGCTTCGTTAACAAAAAAAATATTTAAACACCGGAGTTCCTATAATAGTTTAACAATTTTTTTAATGGTAGGTTGTGGTTGATTTAATTTAAAATTAAAGGCTTAATTTAAAAAAAATAATCCATCTGCTGTCGGCAGTTGATATTCTCTCTTTAAAAGTTTTCTAAAGCATTAACAGCAGTTCGAATGGACCGTAAAAATTCCAGCGACGTTATATCACGTCTCAGTATAAACTTCTACACCATAGGTACAAATACTCATCTATAAAAGAAAACATCTGCAAATAACTACTTAGTGTTAAATTATCTAGTGAATACTTTATAATGATTATGTTCCTTTCACCGTGGAAATATAATATTTGATGTGTAGATGCTCAGTAGAAACGGCTATGGACGAATACTGCCATTACTACAGATATCGTAGTCACAGCGTCGTTAACAATGTGGCCAACACCTGAGGCAGAATCAAATGGACAATGATAATAAATTCAAATAATTGGAAGAATTGAGTCTGCAGCTGGTGGGTTTTTTTGGTAGGCAAACATCATAATACCTTCAGATGGGCTGCTCAGTACTTTCAAGCCACTTTCCAAATCTTCGTGACCATTTTCATACTCCCCTATCCATGTCTTTATTTACGAAGGTCCATTTTGAAATTTCTTTCGTGGACCAACAATTAGCTTAACTAAAAAATTATTTTAAAATGTCCTTTATTATCTTACCATTGGAAGGAGAACTTGTTGTACCGTCACTGACCGCTGCTCGAAAAAGAAGGAAATTATTCCATCATAAATTAGGCAATGTGTTTTTCTTTTCTTTTTTTTACTTGAAACCATAAAATGAAGAATTGTGGACATGTTTGTCCTTTAGTCATTCATCCAAACGTTGCCCGATTACTTACGTGGGGCTTCGTTGGTGAAGTTCAACTTGGATGACTTGACGTTGAGGTAAAAGTAGTTTCTGTTTGGTTCGCCTTTCACAATGGTGGCCCTTAAGAAAAGACGAAACAGATAATATTGTGAGCATAATTACAATCTCCTGTTTGAAAAACACAAAACAACAAATGCAATTCGCCATTTTGTTTTCAACGTACTATAGAACGAGAAAGTTAAGACGATTTGGTTTCGAAGTACATAAGAAGGTTTGAGCTACAGTAGTTACACTCTCAAAACCAACTTTGACTCCAGAACAGTCCAATTTTGTAAGTATTTGAATTATCGAAAACTGGTTGCAGAAAGATATTCTTTTTTGTGGATCACTGAAAACAGGAAAATTGAATTTAGTCGAAAGCTAAACTTGTAGTGAAGATGCTGACCGCCGATAGGTCCTATACACATGTAGAGCTTTGACTGATATACAAGCGCAAATGATGCGGGAACTACTACTATAACAACAGACTAAACTAATCGGGTTTTCTTGTGGAGGAGCGAGTAGATTTTCAGCCTGAAAATCTACTCGCTCTTCCACAAGAAACCCGATGAGTCAGCTCCGAAGAACTACGGAATCCACTCAAAATATTCAGTCCGTTTTTAAGAATGCAAATCATTGCAATTTTTACCTAAATTCCACCGGGCCTTCGTCTAAGCCAGGTGCGGTCCAAGTGGCCGTAGCTGATGTCCTCGCTTCGCTGTTGGAATGTCCCCACGCAGACTAATATTGAGGAAGAATTTGGAAAGACATTGTGATCCTCGTTGCTGATCGGGACTTCCTTCTTTTCTCCTTCTCTGTCTAAGATTACAGTCCGGACGAACTTATGAATGAGATGCGTTTAGATTTGATAAATTCCTTCGCTGAGTGACCATAGCGAATACTCAGCAGCACGAAGGTACCACTTCAAAAATCCACACTAAACATACTTCGATAAACGAAAAAGGGCATTCTAAAAAGATATAAGGCCTAACATTGGGACATCGGTATTTTATTCTTTGTTTCAAGTTCAATTTTGAAGTTCACGGTGGGAGAATGTACGTATTCAAAAAGCGCGCTCAAAGTGTGACTCGAGTTTGCATCTGGTGTACCGCATCATCGATTTTCCTTGAAATCGGTTGAGTTTGTTTTCGACATGCCTTTATTTGAACACGAATAATTTAAAAACTCTTTTAAGTATCAAACCAATACTCGCCAGGGATACAGTTAAGATTCCAAGCTTTAAAATGGTATACACATAATGGCGGTACGTGTTTCTGCACTGACGATAGGGCCTCGCAAAACAAACAAAAGTTGCGGGTATTTTGGGACGCGGTGTACAAACGAAAATCAAAGTGCAGTTTGGCAACTTAACATTGCAAAAGAAAAGAGAGAGAGAAGAAATGTGACCAATATTTGGTTTCAAATTGTCTCGTGATAGTCTTGTGACGACCTGAGTACATTCAGTATATCCCTGACTTAGTGCATAAAATGCTCACATTAATGTCATGAAATGCTCACATTTGCAACATTGTGGCACACGAGTAGTTGAGTGTTACCAGGTATCCTGGAGAACGTTCCTATGGCAACGTCGTTATTCCGGGCTGGATCGGCGCGTCGAGCTTGGATGAAGAACCCTTTGAATTGATCGCTGGCCGATCCGGTGATGGTTACTAATTAGAAAAGAAAAACATCAGGAAATATGTCAAGAAATAAGTTAAAAGAAATGTGACAAAAGGGGGGGGGGTCCTCCCTCGATAAGTTTTTTAATACCTTGAACAGCGCCCCCTGCGGCATACTCCGTAGCTGATGTGGTGATCGTGTATGGTGGGTTGGCTTGGTCGGAGGCCAGACTAACCCCGCCATTGTGACCGTCAGGTAGCATATCGGTGCACAGGTCGGCATTGGACGACACCGGTGGGCCATTGGTATAGCACAGGACGGCGGGAACCAGGCACAACAGTGCAATTGCTAATTGGGTCATTGTCCTGCGCCTGCAGCAATATTTCCCTGTAATATCAGAGGCAAAAATACACTGCAAAAACTGTAGCGTTAATTTAACACCATTCGGTATCTATATAGGACAACACCAGTAAAATTTAACACCAGATGGTCCTATATAGATACCAGTGGTGTAAATTTAACACTGCATTTTTTGCAGTGTATGAAGATGTAACGCCGAGGGGGATGAAAAATAGAAGTCAATTAAAGAGTTTCAGACAAATTAATAATAAAATCGTATTGCTATATATAGTTTCCAGCTCTGAAAGAGCCTGTATTTTAATTAAATATATCCCTGTACTTTATCCAGTTACCGCATACACGTATTTTGCTGATGAACCGATAGACCTTGTACGGTATATAATAATGTGGACTTAAAGGGCAATGGTTTTGAATGTTATGAGATAGGCATATGACACATTTTGTGCAAGCATTGTTATTAATTAAAATAACAAAGAATGTATCCTCTGTGGCACCTGCAACGTATTAAGGTGTAGTATACTGATTTAGGCCATCCAGCTTTAGCGGAGTAGTCATGTTTTTCTTTTCATCCATCAGCGTATAGCTTGTATAAATGTTGTCGTGGCCACTATTTTTTTTTACTCCGTTATACCTCAATATTGCTTTAGTGCACCCCGCAATTAAGTCACTCTTTTACTTCGAGAATCAATACGGATGACGTCATTGAACAATGTTTGCATTGTTGTCAATAAATCCTATTTAACTGTTGGCTTAGACGCTCGCGGCCTCCGAGATATTTCCTAATTGCAAATTCCAGCGATCGCTATGGGCCAAAATTGCATAGTTGGCCTGAATTTGAGACCAATTTGTTTAACCATCACTGAGGATGTTAAACAAATTGGTACCTGTAGGACTTTTGATTTAGTATAGCAGTGGTGAAAGATACGATCATCAAGAGTACAATCAGGAAGACGAAATAAAAGATAATTCCCTTTTTTATTATTTGTAACCACAGTGTGCATCTGAAGAAGAAACACACTTCAGTTGTTGGTTAAGGTTTTGGTTTTACAAATCAAGCCACTGACTCTGTGCATGGAGCTATAAAACACAACTTCATGTTTTATAGCTCCATGCTCCGTGGAAAACATGCTTCATGAATGTACCGCATGAGCTAGGACTACCCAGCACTGTTTCTCAAGAAGAAGAAACATTTATGTTGTACGTACGTTGTATAACGTTAACCTCTTCTGCATCTGGCACGCTATGGTTTAACCTACTTCAGATATTGATCCTCAGGACTCTTAAATTGCTCACTGTGAAAGAAATTTAATGAACTTACCTGTATGTATAGCTGAATTTGACTGCCTTCTACCAGCTCATCCTCTGCACAGAAATACAGAATGTATTCTTGTTTTCGTTCTTACACATACACCTACAGCTCGTTGACAAAGGGCTATTACGCAACCAGCTTAATTGTCATAGCACTACCGGGCCGGTACAGTCTTGATTCAAGTCGTATATCGGGACTCGATTTCTTTTTAAGTTATCTGCATGGACATGGGACACTCAGTGTCCATGGGAAAGCAAAGCCTGACGACAATATGTCTCAGGGACATTTGATTAGGGATTGGTTTGATGAGTTATTGAGCTTCCTTTGTTGTAATTTGAAGATTGATCATTATTATATTTACGACTTTCCTTCCCAGACCCTAATCCACTGTAGTTGGCGTCATCGTTACAGTCGAACCATTCATGGTTTTCACTGTCTTTTACTTAAATTTCATTCGTATAGATTCATGGTTATCATACACATTATATCGGGATAGAAACATGCGTACACAATTTCACAAGATGCTATTGACTGTTGCAACAACTTTAGAAATTATTAAATTGTACAAGCATCGCAGTTGTTTACATGTACAGTCGAGAACCACGACTTCACTAGCCTCATTCAAATCTGAACTACGTAAAACGTTCAGTCAGTAATAATATTTCTGCAAATAATTATTTGTGTATTTGCCGCTGTCTTCTCTGATTATACAAATCTAGATATGTGCTGATCTACGGAGTTAACAAACTTGGTTGCCATAATAATAAGAAGATAAGGAGCCGGATGGGAATTTCCCCGTGTTTTCTCCCAAAAGGGATTTCGTTGGGTTTTCGCCCCTCCCGTAATCAGCGAATATAGTTACAGCAATATTTTTTTATTTTTTTCTTTTCTTGATGTTACAAGATAGATCCAAATTTTTCGTGTTCACTGAATCAACTTTATAGTAAAGCATTCATACTGTACATGTAGTTATTATAATTTAAAATATATTGTATTTATAATATTTGCTTAACACCTATGCGTTATTCAAATAATGTTTTATCTCACTGTATTGAATTTTATTGTATTTGTAATGTATTGTATAATTATACATGTTTGTAGGCATTATTTATTGTATGCAGGGCCCCAATAGAACCAGTTTTAAACTGTTTGGGCATATCATGGGTACAGAAATGGAATAAATAAATAAAATAAATAAATCGCTTAATATTGTTTATAGTAACACTATACATTAAAGTACGAGCTCAAATTATGAAGTTAAACTTGACAAAATAAACACTGACACGGTCTCTTTTGAAACTTTCGTTTGTTTAGTTTGTTAAAATTATAGTGAAAATTAATAAGATTTGTTTGATGCGGTCTTGTGTCACTTCCTCGGTCTTAGACGTGATAATGGTAATGATTGCATCCCGAAGAATATCGATGCATGCCAGAGCAAGAACGATGATTTGTGTGTGACGCGGTCCTAAGACAAAGGGTAGAAAAATGTTTGTTATAGCTAAAATATTTAAATATATCAAAATAATTAGACATTAAGTTTTTATCAACATAATTCACGTTTGCAAAGTTCGTGATTGCACGCTGAGGCTATAAGGCCATTTCTCAAATCTAGGCTATGGGTCAATGCAGCTTCGGATTCAGTCAGTAACTTTGGAGGTTCCTGAAGAAGATTTTGGCTGACTAATAATTGTGTGTACTACGGTTATATCATGTTGTCATACAAAAATGCCTGAGAAAACTTCAGGAGTCTTGGGAAAATGTTGAGTGGTGAAATCACAGCAACACTGCAGCCTTGAAGTGTTAATTGTTTACCATGCTTGCAAGTTCAAACCAAACTTCTCACCGTTTAGTGAAGAGGCACTGGTACCTGCATTCGTACCTCCCATCCGTTGTGGTCATTTCAGTGGTTGCTGAAGGGTCAAACGGGAAAAACGGCTGCAGTTTATCCGTTTTCTTTAAACCTTTGTGGTGAAACTATACAAGACACTTTTAATATGTTTGACTTCTTGGACAATATTGTATTTGAGTTTAAATTAGTGCACACATATACTCTGGATCCTTTCCCAATTTGTAAAATCGTGAAAAAAAATTAACTTATCAAAGTTTTACTCCGCAAGTCTCAGCATTATTATCCTTCCATGCTTGTATTTTATTTACTTATAGACCTTTCTGCGCTTGGTTCCGGGCAAACTGCATTTTTGCTAACCACGGCCTGCAAGGTCCAACACTGCAAAAAAGAAGAAGAGTTATTACAGATCACCAAAATATTATTTGATACTTGAAAATACAACATTTGCAACAAAACTACAAAATAATTCCCACACATGCCTTTTTGCTATGTGTTGATGACGTTATGAGGACTTTTTTTGGAAAAATATATTGCCAACCACGGCTTCAAATTATGCGCTTACGGCAGACCACACAAAATGGCGCCAATGTTTACAAACAAAAGAAAGGCCTATTAATTCACAATGGACTTGACATCGCCCCACATCAACTGTTTTATCCAACTGTACATAAAAAAATGAGAATTGTTCACACTGTCTCTTACACAGAGAATGACCGTGCTTTGCAAGCGATCCCAGAACTTCTTCAAATGCAACACATTTAACCAGTCATGTGGCGTCAATCCCGGGGGACGCGACGTATATATCCTCCATTTTTTGGACCGGAGGAGGGGGAGGGGGACTATAGATCCCCCTACTGTTAGTAATTTTGAGGGATTTTTCTAACTTCCCAACCGACCAAAATGTATGCCTACTAAATGGCACTGAAAAAAAGATAAGGCGCGGAAGTATACTAATACTGTAGATCTTTTTCATGAACAGCGCCCCCAGTGTAATGTGGTGTCCAGCCCCCCCCCCCCCCCTCCCCGGCACCAGTGGCGTAGCCAAGGGGGGGGGGGGGGGGCGGCCGCCCCATGAAACCTTGTCGCCCCCCTCCCAACTGAGATTTTGAGTTTCTAAAAAAATTATCATTGATCTACATTGAGCCCCCCCCCCCCCCCCCCCTCATGAAATGTTCCCCACTGAAAAATTCCTGGCTACCCCACTGCCCGGCACAGATTAAGCCACACTCTTTTTAACGAAAACAGTTCTGTTCCAGATTTGTCATTCATAAAAACAAAGTTAATTTGGGACAAACTCTCCAGAAATGCCCACCTTGATGTAAATGTACTTAGACAAAGTTCGTACTTGTTGTTGTCCACTATTATATACTAGTCCTACCGTGTAATTTCCGCGTGGACGATGTCACATGCCTTCATATTGTTGCTGCGGCTAGGGCATAATAAGGTTACGTTTCTCTGCCACATATATTTTTATAAGGCACGCTCAAGTAAATGTAAAATGTTTTCGTAATTTCATGCGCTCACTATCTGTATCTCCTTTAACGTCTGTATGTTTCAAATGCATATTTTGGGGCGTGGAAATTCGCATCGCGTAAGAAAATTTACAAAAAAATAAGAGAATAAACAAATCGGTCAAGCGGTGTCAGCTCAACTCTCCCCCTGGCGCATGGCCAACTCGCCCCTGGACTCTACTATTATGTAGTTTACAAACTTAATTCTGAAAACTGATTTCGATTGATCAAAGAATTACAGTGTAACATGTGGTTTTATAACCTTTAAAACAGTGGCGGCGCCCACATAGCGGTGGAAAAGGCGCGGGTTTTTTTCTCATCCAAAATAATGAATGCAGTTCCGTTAATGGAGTCAATAATTATTTATGTTAAGGCACTTATTGTCACTGCTTGAAAATGTTCGAAGTTTGCGTGGTTACTGGTCAATCAGGTTCAAGCCAGCGGACTCCCTCCCGGGGGAGTTGAGGAGGGGGCGAGTTGGCTAGGGGCGAGTTGGCGAGGGGAGGGTTGGTCAGGGGGTGCGTCAGGCAGGGGGCGAGTTGACCTACAATCGCTCAACCGATGGGAACTCACTGATGGCGCTGATGTGAAATGTGAAAAAAAACATGTATCATGTAAGCTTCATTTCCTGCACTGGCGACCAGCTAGGAAAGTTTGTTTTCATGCACAAAACTGACGAGTATCCGAATTCGTTTTCGCTTTTGTGGCGATGATTGAATACGGCAAGGCACAGTATCATACAATATTGGCTTAGCATGAAAACATCAGCTTTGTTAGTACATAATTATTACGAAACTGAACCCCAATCCTACGTTGGTGACAGTTAACATATCAACTCGACAGTTACTGTCATATACATGTATTTTGAACACGAGAGATATACATACAGACACAATCGGTGCAAAAATCCTTTACTAGTGTTGCAACAAAGAATTATTTTATAAACGTATTGCTATACTTTAGTACTGTGTAAAGTTACTTTGTAAATAAGTGACACTTAAGATCTTGTTCATAATTGTAAAGTTCAAAACACCGTTTTTTTCCAGATATTCAAGCATTTTAAGAAGTAAAATATTGATCTAGTTTTACTAATTCTACAAATTGAAAAGTGTTTTGTTTCATTTTCTCACAAACTTCCCCATGTGCGATATCTCACTATGGTGCTTTAAGGTAGATTTTACCGTTCAATATTCTGTTGTGATCATCAGATAATGCAATTTTTCGCTTTGAACAAGAGAGGGAATATTACCAATAAGAAACTAAATTGAACAGTTCGACATTCTTATGCATCTAAAAGTAAACTAGTAACAAGCATTGACTTAAAATTAATATCAACCTAAACATCCACATGTCTGCTTGTGGTAAAGTGCACTCCTCAGGGACACAGACCCTAGTCATCAGGCTGGACTCAAACATCACAACAACCAATTCAATTGCCGCATCATTTTATGTGGGTTTTTCATTGTCCGACAGCCCGGTTATTCTATTCTCAAACCAATGCTCAGTTCGCTTTTCTTCTGATCATTTATCATACATTTTAATTAAATTCTAAAAAATAACAATAACAGATTAAATTGAACAATTACAGTGTCTATACCGTAGGCCAACTTCTGTTTTTATCAAAATCATCACTATTTCCAATCTATTGACAACCTTAACCTACTTATTTCTGTTTACATTATTACCGTTTTAAAGCTTAAAGACTACTTTTATACCATATTTAAAACTGCAAAAAACGAATTCGAGTTTTCGAACTAAAAAGCTCCATTGTCATCCATTGAAAAGGGAAAAAAATTGTCCACAACTACATATGCACTCTTACTTACAACTTTAATAACTGAATGCCACTTCTAAAGCATCTTTCAAATACATGTAAAACTTGCATTTTGCTACAAAGAACTTGACAAACTAAACACTGAACGACCACTTAAACTCGCATTCAAGTCAGAGATTGTTTCGATGCGATTTTGTGTCTTTTCCTCGGTCTTAGAACTGACGAACATTCAGGATTGCAGCCAGAAGAATGGCGATCCCAGCCAGAGCAAGGGCGATGGTGTGACGCGCTCCTAAGACAAAAGGAAGAAACAAATTAATGATAGCTACAATATCAAATTATCTAAATATAATTAGGCATTTGGTGATCAGTTGTGTCCATCAAACAAGTTCACGTCATCAATTTACTGGGGGGGGGGGGTTCTCAAAGGTTGTGGGCCGCAGTTGCACGACCTTTACGCTGCCACCATTTCAGTCATGCTCCCTGTATTCCTTAAACAGTACTGAGTGATGTGTTTGTGCTAAGAGGAACCAGACTATTTTCCCTTCCAGCCTCGCTTTGGCTTTGATCTGAATGGGAAAAAATCAAGATGGCAGCAGCATGACAATGGTCTATAGCCACGGCTCAGCTTTGGATTCAGACTTCAACAAGCTTAACAACTTAAAATCGACCGTAGCAACAAAATGCTCATGTCGTACAAGATCGAATAGCTTTATAGTCAATGGTACCATGATGGCTTCTTTTATAGAAAATGAAAACATTTTTACTCACCACCCGAAGGGGTTGTCATTGGATTTCCAGCTGAAAGACAAACATAACGTTGTTCAGATAATAATGTGGAAAGTGGCTAAACCTCCACTACATCTCATGCGCAACAAACAAAACCAAACCCAAAAACAAAACATTGAAAGCCGAAACCAAAACAGGCTTGTTTGTTGAGCATCTGTTTAGGGTTACGGCCCTATGTCAAAGAACAAACGGAAGTTTGGACAGAGGGCACAAACATTATTAGCATAACTTATAGTCGATGATTTTTTTTTTCATGCAAGTGGAAACCAAACCATGCCATAAAGTGCTTTCTCTCACCGTTTGGAGAGGCATCGGTACGTGCATTGGTACCTGCATTGGTACCTGCATTGGTACCTGCATTAGTAGTACCACTTCCAACCGTTGTGGCCATGTCAGTGTTTGCTAAAGGTAGGTCAAACGGGAGAAACAGCCATTGTTTACCCGCTATTGTAAAACTTTCGCAAGCTGATTCTTTATCATCTTAAACTCAAACGGCAGACAGCCTTGGCTTCTTAAACAAAACATAGATTCATGACATCTGCTGAGCTGCTATAAGAACCGTTACCCATTTCGTCCTGTGCGTCCTAAAACAAAAGGAAAAACTTACGCTGCTGTGAAGGACCATCGGCGGAAAAGGCCAACTGGGTAGACGTGACATTAGTATAAAAATAGCTGCGGTTTGGCTCCCCTTTCACAATAGTGGCCCTGTCAAGAAAAAAAGGAAGATTTGGAAGGGTACCGACTCAGTGGTAGACTATAAATGGCCTTGCTTGGGCAATTTCAACATTGGTTTCCCTAATAAGTATATTCGCATCAATGTTTAAATTAATTACAAGCATGTTGTCATGAGTGGACCCGTGAGGGCGGTCGAAATTCTGTAAACGTGCGATATCGAACGCTGTACTCTTCATACAAATTGTTTTTCCCGTTTTTCTGTTGATTAATTTGTCTTTTTGCAGTTCATGAGGTGATCGTCATCCCTCTTGAATTTTTTTTTTTCATAAATATAGTATACAAAGGCTCTGACATTGTTTCCTTGCAGAATCCAAAGGCAAAGTTTTAAAGGAATGAAATGAAAAGGGTAGAAGCCAGGTTGTTCTTTCTTACATGAATCGCAGAGGCCCTTCGTCTTGTGCCGGGGCTGTCCATGTTCCTACAATGGTGGATCTTGCATCATTGTTTGAATGCGCCCAAGCGGACTAGATCAAATGAGATTATGTCAAACGGTTATTTTGGTAAGAATCATGTCTTTCGTTGAAAGTTGATTGTCCTTGTCCGGTATCATTAATTATGATTGTCAGATCTATAGTTCGAGGTTGGTGACGTCTTTTGAAAAGCCGAAAGGTAGTTTTTTTTTTATAATTCGGACGTCGAGTGGAGTGCCGCTTGATAATATAAAGAAAGCCGAAAGGTACTTTTTATGGCTTTGTCACACGAGGGAACTTCCAAGGGAATTGTTCCTGTCAATCTTCAAGAATTAAGAAAACAAAGGGCGAATTTCAACTTTCAGTCTAGGACTTGAATACGAACTGCATGTTTCGAGTGTGTGTACTGCGACTTATGCTGTGCATTGAGTTGTCTCCAAGTTATCAGGAAAAACTGTTTCATGTGAGTTTGCTTTTTAGGTCTTTTTATACATAATTAAAAGAGCCTTATTTTGTGCCATGGTTTACAAGCAACCATTTTGGTGCACGCCGGTGAGAAAAAATTAAGCCAAGCGATTTTCTTTTAGATGTCTTACATTGGCAACGGTGTGGCACATGAGCAGCTGGGTGTTGGCGGTTTGATTGGAGAACGTTCCTATGGCAACGTCGTTGTCCCGAGCTGGATCGGCGCGCCGAGCTTGGATGAAAAACCCCTTGAACTGGTTGCCGCCCGTTCCGGCGATAGTTACTATGGTAACGAAGGAAAATACAGTCTCGTAAAACGTTTATTTAGGCATGCACTATATGCCGTTTATTTTTAAATTAAAAAAAAAATTACTCTCAAAGAGTCGGACGGAATTCGCAGCTCATGTATCTTTTTAATCGTGATCACGGTGTGTTCTGTGAGAGCGTGTGCATGTAGGTCTATGCCTGTCTACAGTTTAAATATATAATATCGAATTGGAAGTTGACATTAGACGTATTGATGGTGAGGAATACAAAAACAGTTCCCATTCCATCGCTAACATTTTAAGTTTTAGATATTTTGCAATAATATATTTTGCATATTTTAGTCCACTACACTTCAAGATACAAGTCCTGCCGAATGCAAAACAAGTAATGAATTATTGTCTCCAGCTTGCATAAGTTCATCCAAATTTAGTTGATAATTTCTTTTCCTTTAACCCATTACTTTCACTATTGATACTGTGTATCGATTATGCCAGCTTGAATAATAATTATTTACCAGGGGCGGATCCAGGAATTTTCGGGGGGGGGGGGGGGGGGTCACCAGCAAAAAGAATCAGAAAATGTAAACAGGTTTTTTTTTTCCGGAAAAAAAGGCCTCCGTAAAATCAAAAACTGGGGGGGGGGGGGGGGGGGGGGGGGGGGCTGGTACCATATTTCAATAGGGGGCGCCGTTCAAATTCGACTTATTTTTTTGGAATTTGTATGATTTTTTTTTTAAGAGCTGGGTTTTTTGTTTCCCCCCCCCCCCCCCCCCCCTCTGGATCCGCGCCTATTTACGTCACTGCTATCGCGGGTATACAAAATAAACACAAATTGAGTGCATGACTAAATTAATTGGTGTATGGTACCCAAGCTTTCACAGGCAAACTCTATCCTGAATCCACAATACCTGTAGCCTTGGTCAATGCTCTCGTCGTTATTAGTCCCGTACGCGGTCAATCGTCGGCATAATCCTCACGCGCTATGCACATGCATGTAAAAATACAGCGCGAACAGCGACCTCATGCGGCCACTATTTTTTATGCAAATCAGTTGAGGACGATCTCGAGCCTTGGTTCAATCGTCGGCAAAAGCTGATGTTTTTCTTTATTTTGCGCTGGATTTCTAGCGCACGACCTCGTATGCGAATACAGATAAGTGTAGGCGGGGCTAATATGTGGAGTGTCCAATCACACCTCGGTAAATCCGGACGTCATCAAATTATTTGCAGCTATTCGCCTTTTTCGGACGTGACAGGAACCACAGTTTTTGTGCATTGGTGCCGTGTGCAGAGACACACAACGTGTACGTGTGTATGGATTATGTGCGGTGACACGTTTCACTATGCAAGTTTCCACGCAACGATTGACCAATAAGAAAACGACATTTAAGGCCAGCCAAGGCTATTAACATAATGAGCACCACCCCCAAAACCTCACATGAACGATTGAACCAAGGCTCGAGATCGTCCCCAACTGATTTGCATATAAAAATAGTGGCCGCGTGAGGTCGCTGTTCGCGCTGTAATTTTACATGCATGTGCATAGCGCGTGAGGATATATGCCGACGATTGACCGCGTACAGGACGAATAACGACGAGAGCATTGACCAAGGCTACAATACCTGTCAAGGAGCCACCCGGGGTATACTCGCTCGCTGTCGCAGTGATGGTGTAGGGGGGACTGTTTTGGTCGGTGGCATTACTAACCCCTCCGTTATGACCGGTTGGGATCATGTTGGTGCACAGGGTAGGATTTGACGATCCAACTGGAGGGCCGGCGGAATATCCGAAGACGGTGGGAACCAGACACAGTAGAATTGCGAGCTTCATTTTTCTTGCAGGGTGTTTCAGCGATCGAAAGTTAAGCTCTGAAGAAATTAGAAGCCTAAATAAATTTGCCAAGTCATATAACAGATGAAAACATTTTTCAAAATTGAAATAAATCATGATATGGTAACTGTGTTACATAGACACTGGTGTTTTTTGTTTGAAAATATTCAGCCCTAACCTCCCAAACTCAATTAAAATCCACCCCCCCCCCCCCCCCCCCCCCCTTTGTTGAATTTTGTGGGACTTGGTCCTGCAGGGATGGTTTGACTAATTAGCATTGATGGAGTATGATGGACTTGGGCCTGGACAAGGGCGGATCCAGAACACAATTTTGGAGGGGGCCAAAAAAATTTCTGGTCCCCCCAAAAAGTGGGTCCAAAAAATTACGGCGTGGAGTTCGGGGCCCGCTTAAGGGCCCCGAATTTTTTTTTGATTCTAGATGCTCTGTGGTGCGATCTGAGGCAATTTCTGACCACTTTAACCAATGTTTTTTGCCTGCCTTCATTGCGATGTCACATACAAAAATTTAAAAAATTGGTTTCGTTTTTTTTTTGGAGGGGGGGGGGGGCCATGGCCCCCTTTGGCCCCCCTGGATCCGCCCTCGGGCCTGGAGGCCTGAAGCAGTGCTCAGGGAATCTGAGTGATTTTGCCTATACATCCTGTAATGTTGTTGCCATAAGCCATATGAAGTCTGAGGCAATTTCTGACCACTTTAACCAATGTTTTTTGAGGAAAAGATGGTGGTGTACTCATTGCCTGCCTTTATTGCGATGTCACATAAAAAAATTTAAAAAATTGGTTTCGTTTTTTTGGGGGGGGGGGGGGGGGCCATGGCCCCCTTTGGCCCCCCTGGATCCGCCCTCGGGCCTGGAGGCCTGAAGCAGTGCTAAGGGAATCTGATTGATTTTGCCTATACATCCTGTAATGTTGTTGCCATAAGCCATAGGAAGTCCATCAATATCCACCGGTACTGCAGTGGTGGATTCCATTATGCCATGTATTGGAAGCAGAGTGAGTGATGGATTTTGGTGGACCGTGTCCAGCACGTAGTAAAAAACAGTAGGGAATTAGCTAAGGGTTAAGGAAGAACATTCTAAGGAAATCTCAGGAAAAAAATATGCCGATTAATGGAAATTCAATGTTCAAGCCCGCGGGAACAGGGGGTGCTGTGGGTGCTGCAGCACCCCCAACTTTTTGGATTAGGGTGCTGGAATATGCTTCAGCACCTATACTCCCGGGAAAAAATGTGTTCCAGCCAGTAGTGTTCTATGACGTTGAAATTGCGCCGCTACGCTATACATCATGCTGGCTCTACAAATATGTCCTTCGTTTTGTTCGTTTCTAGTTTTGCCGCGGCTAAGCGCAGCGATTCGAACGTCTAGCACAAACACTGTAAAATATCAAGAGGAGGTATTTTCTAAATTTTCAGGCAGTGCAGAATCGATATTTTTCTCAATGTATCTAAAACCATGACACGTCTATGATATTTCTGCCATTATGGAAGCTTTGACCCGTCGAAAGCAATAACCTCGGCCATGACAATGGTGGCAAAGTTGATTATGCTTGCCAGGATTTTTTTCATTCGATCTTTCAATCTTTCAAAACTAGTCATTCTTTACGCCAATTTCAGTATAGTTTCTTTTAATAAAAAAAATCTATTCATGTTTTACCCTCCGGCATGCAAGTTTTTTCCTCATAAACACTCAGTAGACCGATAAATCATTGCTTATAGCCCCAAACTTGCCATCTACCGATCATAAACATAAAAATGCATTTGGTCTGTTAGTCTTTTATATTTGCCATTCCCTGTAACAAACAAATAACACTGCAAATATATCAAGAGCTACATCGTTTGGTGAGTTAGAACTAGGCCTATGCGAATATTTTTATGAACAGAAATTCATCCGCTTCCACTGGACCCATTTTTTTTAACTTGAACCAAAAAACATCCTTTCGGGTTTTATAAGTTTCAGTATATACTTCAGTATATTTCATCACAGTGCATCCAGAATCCAACATTTTTCGGGGCCTTAAAGCAGGCCCCTGGCCATGGGCGTCGCGAGGGGGGGGGGGGGGCAAGGGGGGGGCACTTGCCCCCCCCCCCCCTGGAAAAGCAAAAAAAAAAAAAAAAAAGGAAGAAAAAAAAAGAAAAAAAAAAAAAGAAAAAGAGGCGCAAAGACAAAGTGGTGTAATTTTAATGATCTGGGGGGGGGGCAAAATGTCCCTGCCCCCCCCTCTAAAACTGATAAATCGAGAATGTGTTGAGAAATACAAGCATTTTTTGGCAAAATCTTTTTTTGCCCCCCTCTAGAAAAAATCCTGGCGACGCCCATGCCCCTGGCCCTGTGGCCCCACGCCGTAAGGGCTCGGAAAACAAAACGTACACGAAGGAATTTACTAAATGTAAGAAAGCAGCCTTGTAAAAAAATATTTACATGCGATGTCATGCATAATGATACAATTCTTTTTCCAGAATTAAATGAAACAAAAAATTGAGATAAAAATACAGGGTTCTCGACTTTTCAGTACAGTGGAAACGTTATAAGAGCAACAGTATATTCTAAACAAAAAAGTGAAATTAATTGTCTTTATCATCTCAAAAAAACTTTTACTAAAAAAGTCATACGAAAGTGGCCAGGAATCGCCTCATATTGCACCACAGAGCATCCATATTCCAAAACTTTTCGGGGCCCTTTAAGCCACGCCGTAAGGGATTTGCGCTCCGCGTTCGAATTAAATTTGTCCGTCCTTTAGAAATTCCAGCACCCCCTTGCAAACTTTGTTCCAGCGGGCTTGCCAATGTTGTAAAGTGATCGGAACACTGTCTATAATCTAAGGCACAGGAACATGTCTTCAAGAGACCATCATTATTGACGTCACCCAGTCTAGATGAATTTCCTGACACTGCTTTCTTTTTACCATATGCTCATCAAGCCGCACACTGAATGTCCCTGAAGCTTCCCTTCGAAAATACACGTAACCATGGTGATATCAAGTGTTTTATTCATAATGATGATGCCTATAGATACGGTCGATTTGTTCACAATGCACACTCCACGGCAAAGACCTTGATATACTGCTGACTAATTATGGCAGTACCATTGCCGCCTTGTGAAATTTTGGATGTTTACTAGGAAGACTACTGATATAGCAATTTTCATAGGCTGTATACAAAATGAAGTTGCAAAAACTCAAATGCGAGCCCGTCAGGGTATTTGAACCGCATTCTCTACCGATAAATAGCTTTTGACGGAAATGCCTAGAGCCGTGCCATTTTGCACTTTTGTTGAAAGGTTACCTGGAGAGAAAAAAATGTTTCTTTTTTTATCGTGTTCAGAGACCATGGTTCTGGTTATAGGCGAGTATGCCACATAGGTGTATGTCCTCATTGTGTGAACCGGATTGATACGTAATTCACATAGGCAGGCCCAAAACGACAAACACAAAGCATGTTTGTAAAGGCAAAAATTACAGTCTGGTCGTAATTTTACCTTTAGATGAAAAACATTGAATGGTGCCTTTATCTGACCTTATAGCTACAGGTATACTGTTTGCACGCAATAGTTTTTTTTTATCAGCGTTAGAGACATCATTGGCTCAAGTATTCTGGGCGTTTCAGCCTACAATTTTTCCTTTGTCAGTTTGTTGACAAAACGGCAAGGGAACAAAGACAGTCCTCACACGTATTTCTCGGTCAGCAAATATTCCACTAAAAAACTTGCAAAAGAACTACGTAAATTCGAACATACAATAAAATGACGGGTTTAAAGTTTGGTCGAGCCAGCACGGACAACGTATAAAGTACATGTTATTGGCTAGTAACTGTAAAAATTTCACGTAATTTGCATTATCTGTTTACAAGATAATATGTCTGTTTTAATACAACCATCACGAAATTCAGCTGTCCACCACTGATCGGTTACCGTTGTACGCATTGATGAATGTCCTTCAAATACAATGAAACACATTATGATGTTTTCCCACCTCTATGAATGAACCGAAATGTGCACAGGAAAACAGACCAAAAAAATCACTATCATCATTTCAGAATAAAAAAGACTTTTTTTCTCCCCTTATATTCAAAACATAAAATCTGACAGTCGGTCTTGACTCAAATCATAACAATATTATTTGTAGTTGGAGGCCTGTGTCTAATATCTGGTCCTCACGTTTAGCTCAATACATGAAGTTTCGAAAGGCATTCCACGGACAGCTGTAAAAGTGGGTTCTTTTATTAGTAAAATATGCATAACTTCCCATAGCACGGATCAATTTCAGTTACAATGTATTTCCTTTTTCAAAAGAGTGGAAGAACATGCTCGTTTAATCTGTGATTCACGTTGATGTATCAAATTTAATAGCTTTTTAAGGGGGAAATAATTAATCCAGATCAGGGAAAGATTTCCATATACGAAGTTCACTAATTTTCCTCTGTATTGACTAACAAGCCCCCAGATAGCAATTTCATGTCATCAATTTGAGCAGTGAGAAAATACAAGCATTTTCTGAATTTTTCAGTCCAATCTCATAGGGTTTGTACACAGGGTGTTGAGTGAACTTCGTATATGGAAATCTTTCCCTGAGATCAGTTTCTTTTTGACTCGTCTGTACCGATATTTGAGTGAATATTCATACGGTAATATGATAATAATAATAGGACTAAATACTGGAGCCAAAATCTCACCGAAACATTCTCGACATTTTCTAGGCGATTTCATAACCACTATTTAACGACATTACAAATCATATTTGAACATGAAATCCAAGAATTACCGTACTTCAGCAATATTACATGGATATCGCAATAATTCATTACTATTTAAGTGTGCAAGTGGGGTTTTGGGGGTTAAATTTAAACTGAACTGTTTATTGACGGTGGAAGCATCAGCTTTCTGTCAGCCTCCACAATTCTTCGCCAGATTTCGGTTTTGTATTTTTCTTCATTTATCATAAATAAACTTGACAATATCAAAATGAGTGTTTTCTAGTTCTGCATATAGGATATGGTGTTGGTGTATACATTGTAAATCCACATATTTGTATACTGTACATGTTTCTCTTGCACGGAGATATCTGGTCCAAAATGATGACCAGAATTTCTCCAAATAACACCTTCAACGAAAACACATTAGTTTAATTTCGGATTTGGTAATAAAAACAAAGAAACTTACCCCAATACGAGACAAACCTTCCAGCATGCAGTACAACGATGAGGAATAAACCACTCCCAATAAGTTCGTGCTTCCTGGTACCACACTACTGGGCCTACTGTGTAACATCCGTATGGCAATGTCACATGCCTTTTATTGTTCCTGAAGCTAGAGCATTATAAGGTTATGTTTCTCTGCATTTTCATCGCATCACTTCATCACATTGCTTGGTGTTCCAACTTCCATAATTAGTGAACTAAAGATGGTATCAGCATGCTCTTTTCAAATCTGCAATAAAACATTTTTTTGACCAGGGTCGACAAACGACTCATGTAGCTTGATCGCATTCGTTTAAATATCTTAATGTTTAATATGCATGTTTTTGGCTGTAAAAAATCGTATCGCGTAATCAATACGACTGAACCAACACCCAAGAAACAATATTTTTCTTTTTACAAAACCTAATGGAAACCTGCCTATGACCAAGGACGAGATGAATGCTATTCTATTAAAAAGAATAGGTCAAGCGATGTGAGCATACTAGGTGGGCGTTGATGTGACTGGTACTGGTAGACAAACATGTACGTTTAATACCATTTCCAGCATACAATGTACATGTGTATGTATTTTGTAGGCGATTGACTATAGCTAGAAAAACTGGTATTCTCAATCTCATGCATAAAATCTGATGAATAGGCCTATCCCAATTCGCATTCGCTTTGTGCGATGATTGAATAGGGCATGGCAAATTCGATCATTATGGCTTAGCGTCGGTTTGGACATTCGTCGATGGTTTTATTTTACTTGTGCGAACTTTATTTCTCTCAATTGAATAATTACCAAAAAATGTATTTTCTGTAAGTTGATAACTCAGTCTGGCAGTTGGACAAAAACAAGCTTCACATGCGCGGATTAAGGGGGAGGGGGAGTTGACCCCATCCCCTGCTCTGACACCAAACCAAAAACAATTATGACAATAATGCATCAGTAACAATGTCATGCATTATCTATTATGTCCGCCTGTCCGCAACAATCGTACATAAAAAAAATCTGACTAGTCCGACCCCCCTGCTAAAATTCCAAGATCCGCCCCTCCTCCGGTTTATTGACCTACTCATATATATTATTTCACAGAGAATTGACACTTTTTCCATGTTTTCCTTGTACATTGTATTTTACTGGTTTTATAATAATAATAATATGGAAAGAACCCTGAAACTTTAACCACTCAGAATTGATCAAGGTCAAGATTATAGTTTATTCAGATGGTAACGGTACACATGTATACATACATCTATGTACAAGACGCTATGTGGAAACTGATCTAAAAAATGAGAAACCATCACCGTGTAGCCTAGAGGCCGAGATAACACCAATAACAACACAACCAAAAAAATAAGCAAGGTGGAAGTTGAGAACTTCGAGGAAAGGTAACATGAAAGTTGATATTAAATTAAATAACAAATCTGACCGATGCTGGAACTTTGCCGTGTTCAAATAATGACGACCCGGGAAAGCAAGGCAGTGAAGCATGCTGCAAAAACTGCAGTGTTAAATTTGGACCATTGGTATCTATATAGGACCATCTGGTGTTAAATTTAACTATGGTGTTGTCCTATATAGATACCGGATGATGTTAAATTAACACTACAGTTTTTGCATATATGAAGCATAGAATTCGGATTATTTCACACAGTTGACAAACATTTCCGGGAAGTGCACCTGTTTCACTTTCAGGGCCATAACTAGACCGGAATTCGTTTGGAGTCCGATTTCACCAAATGATACGTTCACAACATGAGGATGTTACACAGCAACTCTAGCGGCCTGAACCTATTTTAAAGGTGTTTCGGTTTTGTTTACAGCACGCTTCATTCCAATCAAGCGTAGGCCTAAACTTGCTCATGGAGCAAATTTAGCTATTTTATGCGATGGGTAAAATTCAGCGGCAAACCGTCATAAGAAATGTGCACCTTGTGAATTTGCTTGCTTAATACTGTACATGACGAATTTTGCCAATTAGTTAAAGTTATCTCGAAATAATTTACAAAAAAAACCCCATGATTTTTTCATTGTTTATCCTAAACATGTCATATTTACGGGCCTTAAAAGCAGCACTATCAGCGCTTTTATTAAACACTAAAAATTAATTAATCATGATCATACAGACAATGTTATCGGATTTTTGTAAAACCAAATGTACCTCTAGTTCTGGTGGCCACACCTGTCTTCACATGAATTTTTTGTTTTTCTGGGCCATGAACTAAAAGACAAAAACAACCATGTTGTTTATTCTGACTTAAGAATACATACACAAAGAACCAACAAGAAGACACATTTTCTTAAAGAGAGTGAAGTTTCAAAGAATATTAACTTCATAAATATTACGAATTCGGAAAATTGAATTAATAAAAACAAACAGTTACAAACATGTAGAACAAGTGACAAATTAATGACCACTTCCTTTAATTTTTTTGTCTCGACTTTACATCTACCTCTCTAGACTCTCAAAAACGAGCCGTGAATAAAGTCCAGAAGAAATTGTGCGAGTTTCAAAAATGGTGATAATTGGGGGACAAAGACTGCCAAAGTAGATCTGTGAACAGAATTCGTATTCTTCTATCATACGTCTTGCGTGTCTTTATAGGGCTTGGCAGGTTTGTAAAAACCAATGCGACATCATTTACGTCTCCAAAATACCGTCTGGCAGATTATTGTCGTCACAATGCCACACCACGTGACGCATCGTGTGTGAGGTGTCGGGGATTGAGGGCGCTTCCCACCGATCTCGCGACAGAGCACTTTACGACTTCGAAAAAGCTCCCAGAAATCAGAGGATCCAACACTAATTTATTTCATTTTTTTGCAGTGTGATCACACTTTTGTTTTCAATTTCTGACCTAGTTGCAGGATATTACAAAACAATTGTTGACTGCTGTGACGTGGCAAATGTGATTGAGGAGGAAAACTTCGCACGTAATGAAAGACAAGAAATGGGCATCCAAGGAACAAGTTGTGCTAGGATACAGGTCGAAATGAATGAACATGTACATGGGCAATTCCACGATTACTCACGTTACATTTTCGTAACGTGAGTAACCGATTTTGTGCGTCTTGTTTATCACACATAACACATTTTTCTGGATGTCATCTTTGGTGCTTAGGTAGGTCTAGGTCTACTCTATCTACCATGGGGATAACAGTTATTAAACCTTTTCAGTACGGTAATTACAGCCCAAGGAATCTCAAAAGTACATCAAAAATGTAATGTGAGTAACCGTGGCATTGCCCACATATGACCGGCCAACCAATGTGCACTCCATTCTAAGGTTTTTGCTGACAACAATAAATAAACTTGGCAGAGAAAAAGAAATGATGTACAGTACATCATGCTAGAATAAATAGTACCAGCTGTACATATTGAAACTACATGAGACTAAGTGGTATTATTCTGTTAAAAACTTCTCGAACCCTCCTACAATTCCGTGTGTAGTAAAACATGACACATCCTTTGGATCCTAGGGACATGAAGCACCTTGGGCAAAATGACGGCTAAGTCCTACAGAACCCACGTGAAGGTTTACGGGGGCTGCTCCGTGATTTAAACCACTTCACCAGACTAAACCTTAAAGCTACGGATAAAAACAGCTCAACAAAAATGAAACACAGATGGAACAGACTATTATACATCTTGAGTGACATACTCCACCAGATCCGTCACGCCCAGGAGATCCTCATCTATCTCCTCACCCGTAGTGATGCCTTCCCCGTTTCCCGAGGAACTGTTGCCGTTGACGATGCTCCCGCCTCCTCTGCCACCATTCAATGTTGTTCCATTGCTGACGGGAGGAGAGACCGATTTGGTTGGGAAATCCTCTCTTTTGACGGGGGCCTTGGCTTTGGTCTCCCGCGCCGACGGCTGCTTGGTACGCTCGTTCTCTTTGTTTGAGTCCTCGGTTTCGAGAGAGGTTGTATTTCGATCCGTCCTAAGACCTCCCTCTTTGGTCTTAATGTCCCTATCTACATCCTTTTCTTCCTCATCATTACTATCTTCCAAATCCCCCTCATCCTCATTATCATCATCATCGTTTTCCTCCTCCTCGTCATCTTCTTCTTCACCATCCTCCTCCTCCTCCGAATTGCTCTCAGCAACCATCTTCCTATAATCCACACGTTTTGATGAAGACCTAGATCCTTTCCCCCTTCACTGGGGCTGTAATCGCTATCCTCTGAAAAGTTCTTCCTCTTGCGACGCGCCACAGGTGCTGTCTTTTTCCGAACCACGGGTCCGCTTTCCTGATCCTCCTCTGAACTGGAAAGGTCTTTCTTCCCAACCGACCTTTCCTCAGCCTTGTCTTCGTTTTCGTCTTCATCATCATCGCTCTCTAGCCGGAACTTACGCTTGCGAACATAGCCTGTGTTCTCTGACGACTCTGATTCAGACTCCAGCCGCCGCTTCTTTTTCAACCTTCGCCGTGAGTTCCCTGATTGGTCTGATTCATACGAGCTGTTATCTGATTCGCCATCTTCAGAAGAATCTTGTCGGCGTTCCACCCGTTTCCTCCTCCTTGACTTTGCATCGCTCTCATCACTGTACTCACTGTACTGCTCACTTTCTAATGATCGACAATAAGAACCACAAGATATGTATTAGGAAACAGTCCCCAACTCCTAAAAGATGATGACTGAAAACATATCAACTTGAAAAATATCATCATATATTTGAAAACTCTGACCTCGGGACTCTGGCACAACATGGATCCATGTTTTGCTTCAAGAACAACCATACAATGTTAAACCAAAGTTGCGAGGGTTGCCCGTTTAAAGGGAATATACATCATTTGCTTTTGCTGTAATTTTCAGAAATGGATGGAATTGGGGGGTTGGAAATATATAGCAAATATAGTTACACTGACTTTTTTGAGGTTTTGGGTTCAAAAATGCTATAAAAACCAAGAAAAATAATCATTTTCCTGTAGTCTGGTTCCCTGACTCCATTTAAGAAGAAACAGAGCAGTTTACATACATTGGGGAATTGTAAGGTCAGGGAACCAGTCTAGCTGGCTTGTACCCGTTCATAGGTGTGTAATCGATTGCAAACAAGTGCGATTGTCAATTGGGGCCAGTATTTGGAAAAAAGCCAGTTTTTCCCAACGCTGATCGGCCGATCAGCGTTGGAAATTGATACAAAAATACCACTTTTCTTGAAAATGACAGTATACCAGGTGCCATGATTGCTTTACACTGTCATTCACTAACAGTCCAGCAAGGTATTTCAAAATGATTTGGGAGTTTTATTTTTTGATGTTTGCAAATGTTGTATTTTCCCTTTAAGTCTTGTAAGTTATCCTCCAGCCAGAGATAAAGATACAGCCAGCGATGAAGATAAGGTCCTAATACTTTCTTTGATTAACCGAGAGTTCTGGTTTTGCTGATCATTCATGAACAATGACAAGAAAAGGTTTCCATGTGATGCGCTCAATAAACCCACCTGATTCAAACTCTTCATCGTCTGAGTAGTCTCGGTATCGGACTCGTTTGCGTCGGCGTTCGCTGCGTCTTTTCGGGAGACAGTACCACTTGGAGTTGCGCTTGGAGCGTTTCCTTCGCGGACCGTCCGAGTCGCTCTCTTCGCTCACGTAGCTGTCATCTTCTACTTCTTCATCTCCTTCTTCTTGTTCGTATTCCTGGTCACTAGCAGCATCGCTGGAACAAATACACCAAAACCAAATAACACTAAAGCCGATTCTTACTTCACGTGAATTTCAATGCAAAGCAAATTCTTTAGGGTGATGATGAACATCACAATGAAACTTCAATTGTTGACGTCATGAAATTCACTCCACTGAAGTTTAAACCGACCTTTAGTCTTGAAATCTGACTTATCTAGACAAAAGATTTATTCATTAACCGTTCGCAATGGAGTTGGATTTGACAGGTCAGTCAACTTCAGACAGAAGAAAGAAATAGAAGTTTCCAGATCCAGGTAAGAGCCAACTAGGTTGCTAGGTTTGATTACTCGATGTGTCTTTGATTTGTGTACCGACCTCTCCACCTTGAAATCGTCACTGCCTTCCTCCTCTTCGTCTTCGCTCGTGGCATCCAGGTCTCCCAGTCGCCTCTTGTTCTTCCGTCTTGTCTTCTCCTCCTTAGTCTCGTCTTCACTGCTCTCCCTCATGCCTTCGATGGTGGAGATGTCCTTGCCCCGGTTGGCTGGACGAGAGGCTTGGTACTCTTTGACAGCTGAACGGAAAGACAAAATGCATCCATTCATTTTTTTGTTTACTGCAAGAATCTTTGCTAATTACAGTGAATCATTTTTTGCAATGGTAGGCGTATTTCACAGGTTAGCAAGGAATAAGGATTGTGCACATGTGTTCATCCCATTTTAAGGAGACTGTTCTCATATGGTTAGCACAGATTGTTGTGATACCATTATGTCCTTAGGGTTAGAAGAACCCAAAGTGGAAAACCAACGAATAACTTTACTCTCTCTGGTGGAAAAGAGTTACAAACAATCTACTTTCAAGTCACAGCAAGATCCACAAACTTGGCTGGTAGAATGAACAGAACTTCATTTTTGTCATGTAGACATTTTGGAGTGTTTCGTTTGCCTAAGAGTAAGGTTGCATGGTTTTGTAAACTTCTCTATTTTTCGGCACTTGGGGTCTCAGTCTTGAGTACCACGACGGTGATTTGATGCCTCACCTTTTTTGTGTTCAACCACCTCCTCCTGAATTGCCGAGTTGATGGCTGTATCAAAGTCTTCAAACTTGTAGCTGATCTCCTTCCTTGCCCGTCGAGAGCGTCGCTGGATCATCTCAAACTGTTCTTCCTCGTCGTCTTCATCTTCGTTGTCGTTGATGAACTCCCGGTCTCGCCGGCTCTGCCTCTGTTGTCGTTCCTTGTCAAAGGAGCGTCGCGTTCGTCTCTGTCGCTGCTGATGGCGCTGGTGGTGGTGTCGTTTGTGGTGGTGTGAGCGAGGTTCATCTTGGGAGGTCTTCTGTTTCCGTCGGAAGCTGGAGGACGTGTGTCGCAGAGCTATAGCGTGCCTTTGCTTCCTGACTTTGATCACCTCCTGAACAAGTGGACAACAACCCAATGTAAACTTTAAAGGTTTGCATGGTGGAGATAGCCGTAAGATTACAATTTACTGTTGTACCATGTAACAAATCTCTTTTGTGAGTTTGTGAGGCTCTGAAAACTACTTTGTACAGTAAACTAGACGGCACTCTCAAGACCAGAATTCTTGACGACTTATGCGAATTTCGGCTTCTGCTGCAAGTCGTCATTTTGCCGACTTACACAAATACACAAATTGAATCACGGAGTGAAAAAAAAAATTTACTTAATGGCCTATGCGCATCTGTATCTGGATCATGCAAACAAGATTCATGGCTAAATTTCAAAGGCTTTGATTTACCCTGGTTAATTTCTACATCCATGGTTGATTGCAGCAAATATATCCTCAATGTTTATCATCACTAACAGGCTGTGGTATTGATCACAGAAAGTCATGCATGTACATGTACATGTACGTACGTACGAAGCAAGGACGGCGCGGACGGCTAGCGTTAACAGTGGTACGATATACAGATCGCTTGCATACTGTACGTCCATGTACATGTAGTGTACATTGTGCACGTACGTACGTGTACAGTCACGAATTAAATTTGTGCATGGTACTGGTACAATAAGGGGACCCCCAAAATGAACAGAGCGCATGCGTGCAGTCGAGAGGGGGTACTGGTATTGATGGTACGGAATGGACATGTACTTCGTGTAAGCGAACAATGCACACAATGTACAGACTGTGCATGAAACAGTGTACACGTGCGATTAGTGTACACGTGCTGGCCGATGCATCAATCACGGGCCGTGCCATTGATAAACAGATGTCAGTTAGCAGTGTGTGGGACTTTTCACTCGACACTTCTTACAAACCGCAGAGCACCATGCCGACTTATACAGAGAAATTTGTGTGGTTTTGAGGAAATGGGACTGAAAGTAACATGCCAAGTTGCCAACATAGGCAAAATGGCTTACAAAGGCCGACTTAGAAATGAAAATGTCAATGGAAATGCATTAGAGACAATCGGGACTTTCGTCAGACGGCCGATTTAAGCGATATATGACGGTTTATACGATGTCGGTTTAGCCGGAGTTTACTGTATATCACAAATACAAGAACAAGGATGAGGAAACATTCTTGAGTAAATGAGAATCCCCTTCTGAAGACCAATAACTCACCCCTGGAATGATGTTGCGCATGCAGATATCAGTGAGCGCCCAGAGACTATCACCATCTTTACGTTTCCGTTTTCTCTCTTTCTTCTTCAGACTGGCATCCACTTCGGTAAGCGTCTCTGCGAGCCTCATGATGAGTTTCTCCTGATGAAAACCAGTTTTGGAACAAAAAAAACGGAAGTTGATATTCTGTATTGGGCTTTCCCAACTGTGGCCACTATGTTGAGAAAGGAAAGATAAACCTTCAAATACGAAGATTTGGACTTCTGGAGGTGAAAAAATATTAGGGAAAACTTCGTCTATGAATGAGCAAAATGACTTGAAAACAGCCTATAGTGACTTACATGTTCGCAGCTAGGACAATACCAGTTGCCTTCCGGTATGATCATGAGAGGGGGACGTAGACAGGCCGTGTGGTAACCCGAGTCACACTTGTCACACAGGAGTATCTGGAAGAAACAAAACAGGTGTTCAGCAGGGCAACGGGGTAAAAAAGCTTCAAATAAGAACTCCTGTTACTCATGGACTGCTCCAAATTGTTTGTCTGAAACCAAGTACGTGTTTTGTTGATGGCACCTGACACGTCATTTTTTTGGTGACTGATTGTTATCCCCACGTCTTGAGCCTTACCCATTCAGGATGGTTGTACATTCCACATTTGCAGCAAGGACTGTCATCCTCTCCAGCAGGTTCATAACCTTCTTCTTCCTCTTGCTCCTCTTGCTCCTCAACCTCCTCCTTCATCTCCTCTTCGATCTTGACGGCCGCCTTCCGGGAGGCGTTCCGCCGAGGTGTGAACCGGCTTCGGGCGCTTTTCTTCTTGCGCTTCTTTCCGACCTTCTTCGGCCTGGCGGCAGGTTTGGTTTCCTCTTCCGCATCATCTTCCGGCTCTTCTTGCTGCTCTTCGTCTTGTTCTTTCTCTCCTGCATCCCCATTATCTGCTGTTTTCTCCTTGCTCTTTGATTCGGTGGCTTCTTTGACACCGTCTTTCGTAAGGGTTGGTTCAGACTTTGCATCATCTGTACCCTCACCAGCAACTTCTTTATCCTCAGGCTCTTTACTTTTCTTTTCACCCTTTCCTCCATCATCACCACCTCTTGGCTCATCTTCATCTTTCTTCTTCTCCTTGCTGCCATCCATCTCAGATACTTCCTTTGGTTCAGTCTCTCCAATCTCTGCATCCTTAGACTCCCCATCTGTCATCTCTTTCTCTTCCTTACATTCAACCTTTGGTGAGGACTGTGCGATCTCCTTAGAACTTTCCTTTTCATCATTGACCCCTTCGTCCTTCACTTGTTTCACTGCATCTTTGTCCTCTGTTGTGGGCCTTGCCACATCCTCAACTTCCATCTTGGCCTTGACATCATCAGTCCCGCTTGGTTCATCTTTGACTTCTTTTTCTATTTCCTGCTCCTCTGAAATTTCTGTCTTGATGTTAACTTTCTCTTTCGTATCTTCATCTTTTCTGGACTCAGCTTTAGTCTGATCTTTTTGATCCACCGTCCTCTTCTCATCTTTAACCTCAGAACTACCATCTGTTGGTTCGTCTTTGTTCTCTTCCAGCTTGTCCACTTTTTCTTTGCATTCCTGTCCAGTTGACTCCTTGTCTTGTTTTGCACCGGCAGATTCTGAAACGGATGAGAGCCATCAGTTCAATACTTGTATTATCTTAAATGCTCGTGGGCTCACCCAAAAGACTCACCCCAAAATTAAATCTTTCAAATCTTCTGGATAAGCATATGGGAGTCATTGCTGACTAGGGTTTGCATCCTCTTTGATAGTTTACGGTTATAAGGCCAATCAAAAGCTGATGACGGATAAACAAAATTAATTGTGCTTGTACGTTTTATCCAACCTTTCTTGTGCTTCTAATTTCAACCTTTGCCAAGAATACATTTTTGGTTTGGTTTGTTTTATTTGGCACAAACAAATACTATAAAAGAATAGGGAATACGATTACCCAAAGAAACATTTAAACATATAAGTGAGGAGTAAGAAAGCAAAGACACTGAATCACAATTACAGTACACTGCACAAATATAGCACATCATCATCATTTCCATTTAACGTCCACGCTGAGGGGTGGGACGTTGTCTTTCTTAACCTTGCGCAGCGTTTACAAAAAACCTTTACGACAACTCGTCAACTGCTGCCCTTTGGGCAGCAGGTTCTTTCCCGCACTACGCAAGACCCTATTCATAGCAATACAACAAAAAGAAACGTGCCAGACAGTGTCCAGACAGTTGCCAGACAGTGCGCTGGAAAGATAATTGACTGGCGGCTGTGGTATGCAGTTATGAAGGGAGATGACTGTGTCAAGTTACAGGTCTTTGTTGATGTTTCATTGAGGCTTGGCAGGAGGCCTGGTCGAAAGTTTGTTGACACGGCCTGGGTGTAGCCCTGACTGCAAAGTTCATTGAACCAGCTTATTTGGCAAGGGTCGAATGAGGATTAGATGGAAGGTGACCGTCATTGGCCCTCAATTTTTTTTTTTTTTCAAAAAATTCGGTTACCTGGGGCCCTAAGGGCAGCAGGTCACTCTGCGCAAGGTTTTAATGGCCCTGTTCCACGCAGTCCAATTTCTGACATCCACATTGGCGAGGTTTGACAGTCTGAGGTCTTCTGCCAGTGTCTCATCCCAGGTCTTCCGTGGCCTGCCTCGTGGTCTCGGACCGACTATTTCAAAGTTCCATGCTTTCTTCAGCCAAAGGCTTTCCTCCCTTCTTGCTACATGTCCATAGCATCTCGGTCTGCCTTGCCTGATCTCATCTGCTATCTGATCTCATCTGCTATCTGATCTCATCTGCTATCTTCCTCAGACCCACAGAAAAATTGAAAACACTCTGGAGCCTACATAGCCCATTAAGCCAAAGACGTATTTCCAATGGAGTTCAGACAATTCCTATCCATACCTTGGTCGCTGGCTGCCTGTTCTTCAGCTTCCGTTTTGTTAGTAGCATCCATCTTGGCAGAGCTGCTGTCTGAGCTGGAAGTCGACTCAGTGTCTTCCTCTTTCCCCTGGCCGGCCACAACGTTGGTACCGCTCCGCAGGGCTCGGATCAGGTTCTCCATCTGCTCCCGATCGCTGAGAAATTAATCCATTTGCATTCATTATTACATCTAATGAATATCTATGAGAAACTGCAAATGACTGACAAACTGGAGTGACCCAAAGTGTTTAAATTGTCAAAGTTGTCAAAGTTAGGGATTTGTTTCGATCCTACATGATCTTTTACTTTTGTTTTTGACAAAAGAGTCTGTTAAGACCAACATGTCAGACACCTCCTCACATTTACATCTTATGAATATTCATCCACCCATGTGTTGCCTTTCAGTTTGTCAATTTATGCAAACCTCATTAATTTGTCTATGATTAGCAGCTTCACTGTTAGCCGCCGTTAGCAGAGTAACAGCAAGGCACAGTTAGGTTTGGGTACGAGTGCACAATTAACTCTAGCCATGTTGCAAGAAGTTTGGAAGAAATCGATCAAAACGATCCCTGCCAGAGCTGAAAAAAAATGCAACGCCAAATGCGACGCCGATGGCACATATGGAACACCACACTTTTGGTCAATTTTTGGGACAGACAGACAGACTGACCAACCAAAACACCCAGTGACATGCAGAAGCTACTGCCAGAGCTTCAAAAGCAGCAAAAAAAAGACTAATAAAAATGACCCGCTGGTTTGACTCACTTTGAGATCACCTCCCAAGTTGAGCTATCCTGATCGTCTTGTTCCTCCCGGTAGATCCTGATGTTTGTGTCCTCATCCTGAAAGAATAAAGAGCCACGATCACTTACAACCCCAACTTCCTTGGCATTCCTTGTCCAACCAACTGTGAATTTCTATTTCTGACGGCGACATACCTTGTGGAACCAGTACACCAGACCCATCTTGTCGCGTCCCATGGGCTCTGCTCGCATCTTCTCCGGGTCTTCCTCGTTGACGATGGCCTTAAACTTGAAGTTTTCATCAAACTGGCTCTCACAGAGAAACTGTAAGGGAAAGATGCAAGATCGTGTCAAATCTTTTACGTCCAAAGTTCTGCAGATGCACTGAAATAACTTTTGTAAAAAAAGGCAGCCCTTCTGTTCGCATCCACCCAAACCAAAACCGGTAATCCTTACTTTTAGGACACCTCTATTTTTTACAAGTTCTGTTCAAAACTGACTTTTGCAGATGACTGTCCAGTACCAAAGTGACTTTTGCAGGCTAATGCAGTCTTTTTTCTTCATATAAACTCATGATAGTTGTAGTTTTGAAAGCACTTTCGAAGAAAATGTGACTTTCCTACATGTACCTTTTTTCGCAGTCAGACGTGCATGTTGTAGTTCTCACACGCGTGAAAGCCCTACATAATGAAAGCCCGATGCTGATTGGCTGCTAAAAAAATTAATTAGTCTGGTTCCCAGACCAAAAGATTCTGACTACTCCTGAATCTTTTGGTCTGGGAACCAGACTAAAAATAAATAAGTTAGTCTGGTTCTCAGACCAAAAGATTCTGACTATTCCTGAATCTTTTGGTCTGGGAACCAGACTAAAAATAAATAAGATGTTTATTTTTTATCAGCCAATCAGCATCGAGCTTTCATCGCATCGAGCTTTCACATTTGCCATCTTGGTTTTTGAGTCTGTTTTCTGGTTGTCATCGTCGTCTTTTACCCCTGAATTTCCCTCATAAATCAAAGCCCTGCCCTCTTTCCACAAAATTAAACCTGCTGATATTCAAGAAGGTGTCATTGCCAATTGTTCAGATGTGCCAAAAAGTATCAGAATGTCAATTTTGAGTGTCATTTAGTCAACTGTTTTGGTGAGTCTTTCCCTTCCTATATAGGAATGGGGTCCTAAAAGTAAGGATTACCCCAAAACCAATCTCAAAAAAGGCTGATACAAAAAGGGTCGCTGGTTATACGATTGAGGATGAATGCATTTTGAGAGGCAGGTCTGTCACAGGATGGTGAAGGATTGAGGCAGTGGGTATCCTTTCATTTGAACATTTAAAGTGCACAATTTTGAAGGATTTTGCAGGATTGAAGATGGTTCCTAGCAAAAAGGGCCTAGGGGTTAGGGTTAACAGCACAGACTCTGGCTGGTTACTTACTCTGAGTACAGCAATCTTGATCTGAGGTTTGCTGGCTGCGAAGCCAAACCTCTCTACCTCCCAGGCAGCCACTTCTGAGAATCGCTCTCGACACATCTAATAAAAAAGGGGATAGTGGATACAGTTTAAAGGGAATATACAACATTTGCAAACATCGAAAAATAAAACTACCAAGTTTTTACGAAATACCTTACTAGGATGTTGGTAAATGACAGTCTAAAGCAACCTGTCAAATTATGGCACCTGGTGTGAAGTCATTTTCAAGAAAATTGTATTTTTGTATACATTTCCAACGGTGGTCGGCCGACCACCGTTGGGAAAACCTAACTATTTTTCGACTTCTGCTCCAAATTTACCCTTTTTTCAGTCCAAATTTTGTTTGCTTTTGGTTACATGTTCATGAACGGGTGCGGGCCAGCTAGACTGGATCCCCTTACCTTACAATTTTTTGGCATCTATAAATTGATCCATTTTATCTTTAGTGGAGTCAGGGAACCAGACTGCTTGAACATTTTTGTTTTTTCTTGGTTTTTCCAGCATTTTCGAACACAAAACTTCAAACATGTCAGTTAAACAATATTTGATCTATTATACTAACCCCTCAAATAGTTCATTTCTGAAAATAACAGCAACAGCCAATGATGTACATTCCCTTTAACTCTAAACCTCATACAAATTACGCTCCTACCCCCGCCCTGCAAACAGGACGCTGGGAAGGGCTGACGAATTAACGCTCTGATTTGATAGATTTTGCGTGACCTGTGACCTGCAAGTCATCATGACCACGACCCTGCAAGGTTTGAAACGGCCGTTAAGACTGAGTCATTCATCACTGTTTTATTCCCATTCATAAATGCGGCACCCTTTTTTGGGATAAAATGCATACATGTTTGTAATAATGTAGGAAAATCTGTAAAACTTGTCCGTTTTGTAAATTTTCAACTCCCGTCGGGTGCTCAGGCTCCGTTTCGAATTCACGAAGGGTCGAAATGCATATCATTAGACGCTCATAATTTGTCCACGTGGTCCGCAATGAAAAAGAAATCACATCCGGTGTGGTGTGTATGCATTTCTATGGCAAACTTTTCGGATAGTATTTGTGCGCATTGGCTAACCGCGGTCTACAGCTGCAGCCAGATGCTTTATACATGTGGATAGGTCATGATAAATTACCCAGAATGACATCCCCACTTCCTTCACAAGATTCTGTGAAGCTCATCTGCCCTTCCCAGCGCCCTGTTTGCAGGGCAGGGGGTACGAGCGAACATACAAACTTCATCAGGTTTTTTTGCAAGATAGGGCCGGGCCTCTTTAAGTTTTACTTTAAATTGGTTTGGTTTTGATTTAATAGTCAACTCTCTGTCTACACATGGCACGTTATATGCTCAGAATGGTGTCCCTTAACTCTTACGTCCTAGCCATTACTTTGGGATAAAGAACTGAGTACTACAGAATACTACACAAATGATGTATGCAGGCACCATATACCAAAAAATACTATGAGTTTTGTGCTCCCTTATATGCTGGAGTGCTGCATACTACAGGTTACTGCTACACACTGTACATGTAGTAGTATTTTGTAGCTTTAGGTGAGGTTAAGGTTAAAGGGAATGTACATCATTGGCTTTTGCTGTAATTTTCAGAAATGAACTATTTGAGGGGTTAGTATAATAGATCAAATACTGTTACACTGACATGTTTGAAGTTTTGTGTTCGAAAATGCTGGAAAAACCAAGAAAAAAAAAAGGTTCAAGTAGTCTGGTTCCCTGACTCCACTAAAGATAAAATGGATCAATTTACAGATGCCGGAAAATTGTAAGGTAAGGGAACCAGTCTAGCTGGCCTGCACCCGTTTATGAACATGTAACCAATAGCCAACAAAATTTGGACTGAAAACAAGTGTAAAGTTGGAGCAGTAGTTGAAAAATAGTTAGGTTTTTCCAACGGTGGTCGGCCGACCACCGTTGGAAATGTATACAAAAATACCATTTTCTTGAAAATGACTTCACACCAGGTGCCATAATTTTACAGGATGCTTTAGACTGTCATTTACCAACATCCTAGTAAGGTATTTCGTAAAAACTTGGTAGTTTTATTTTTCGATGTTTGCAAATGTTGTACATGTATATTCCCTTTAAAGGGCCTATGTAATATACATTTTTTAAAGCAATCCTGGAAAATGCACTTTTGTGCCCCACTTAACCTAATTTTTAATTTTTATTTTGCAGTTTTTAAGGGAACTTTGGTGCCTTTATATTTTTAAGCTAGTGGGAATTTTCATATTCATGAGCAGAAACCTCAACGTTATAGGCCGAGCTACACATATTTCAGCACCAAAATTTGCCAGAACTTTGGATATTTTGCTGTTGTAAAAATTTTTTTCTCTGGTGATTCATTGTTTCCTTTATGACAGTAAGCCGATGAGCAAAGTTTCCTTGCAAACCTTTTCAATGAGCAAACTTTGGGTTCAAAATTTTAACAGAAAACCCCTAAACTTAACAAAAAGTCCTGAAATGACAACACAGCAACAGCGCCCTCGTTTGTCAGGAATAGCATGGAGAATGTTAAATGTTTTTGTAAAAGTGCACTTCTCAATAAAATTAACCAAAAAGGGATGTCAGATAGTTTTTATACATTTAAGAGGGGTAGAAAGTTGCACAAAATATGTTCCTAATTAAAATTCAAGGCATGGGCCCTTTTAAAAGAAGGTGAGCTGGAAAATATTATCAAATTTATGCACTCGGTAAAATCATCTACATCATACATGTAGGAGATAATAACAAGCAAATGTATACACATTGCATAATATACCTTCTTTTGATAAGCAAATACATTATTGTGTCATATACCTTTGCAAGGTAACGCTGCCATTTCTCCAGTGAGAATGACTTTCTCGTCTTTCTCATTAGTTTGATGATGATGTCCTTCAGCAACGGCGGAACTGCAAAAGAAAAATGCATTAAAAATGCAGTATAACAGAATGGGGTTTCTTAAATAGAAAATCTGCTGCACTGTCCCTGCATTCAGTGCTTTTTCAAAATCCTTCAAATAAAATAATACTTACTGTAATTTGCTTTGTAAGGACAAAATTACTTTCACATTTGAAGTATTATTTAAAATGGGGTGCTGTGGTCCAATGGTTACGGTGTTCGACTTGTGTGCCGTGGTACATGGGTTCGAATCCTGACCGTGGGAACATGGTGCTTGTGCTCTTGAGCAAGGCACTTTACCATTATTGCTTCGTCCTTTGGATGGGACGTACAGCCGTAGGTCCCGTGTGTTGTGTAATGCACGTTAAAGAACCCAGTAACACTTATCGCTAAGAGAAGGGGTTTGCCCCGGTGTTTCTGGCAGTGGCTGCAATATGCGCCGCAGCATCTTGTAAACCATTATAAGGTGCTACATAATGGGTCTCATATTTCTCATAAACTTTATTTACCTTTCTTTAATAATAGACATATCTCCAGCGCCTTGAGTACCTAATAGTTGGTAGATACGTGCGCTATATAAGACTCCGATATTATTATTATTATTATTATTATAATGATAAGGCTATCAATAATACACTAAAAAAAATAATGGCATTACAAAAACAATGCTCATAATCTAACATTGCTATAATCAAGCATGTCGAATTTCGAAACTGCTGTGTTAATTGAAAACACTCAAGTCAAGGATTATTATTTTTAGTAAAAACAAACATGACAAATAACCTTGCTGCATCATCAGATCATGCACAGACAACAAAAATTGAAATGAGCGATTAGACATGTTAGACACATGTTAGAGGAAATTTCACAGTTAAAACTTGAGTTAAACATTGTTTTTTGAAAGGCAGTGGATATTTTGCCGGAGACGGCAAACCTTTAGTAAACGTTAGTTTGCCGGATATGCACTGAACATGCGCAGTTACTGGTTTTTTTTTACTTAAACATTTTCCGGCGACAAATTTTAGTCTGGCTCCATGCCAATATTATCGTTGTAACCTCGTATTCACAAGATGGGATTCAGACCATTTTATAATTTCGGACTTTATTTCCCTTTAAAAAAAAATCCTCCAGAGCCACAAATCTGAAAAAGAAAATGTAATACTCTGCAATAAAATGTTTGAGACATGTTAAAATAATAAAAGAAGAATATTCTTATTTATTTGGGGATGGGAAAAAAAACTTTAAAATGTGGCGGGGATCGGGATCGAACCCGAGTCATCCCGCTCACTAGAACTTCTGCTTAACCATTATACCAAACGTGCTACACAACTTTTGGTGGGAATTTAATACATCTTGTAATTCAGCCCTATGTTAAAGAGTACAGCGCCCTCTGTTGATATGGATTGCCGCCGGCAAACCTTTAGTAAACGTTAGTTTGCCGTCATTACCTCCGGCAAAATATCCACTATCTTTTTTAAAAGAAAGAATTATAGTTTATTTATCCTGCTGGCATGGGATCCAGCTAATTTAAAGTTGATTTTTTAATTTCAACCCATCCATGCCAGGCACTGTACATGTACATCAGAACGAAAATTGTATGCAGTGTGTGTGTACATATACACTGTATTTAAATTAAAGCGCACAACACAAGATACATGCACACTGCAACAACTGCACACTGTGCGCTGTGTACACACAGACACCACAAAAAAATATACCCTTTTAAGTTTTAAATCATGCTTCTCGCCAATTTCACACACAAAAATGATCTTACCACAGTGGGCATAGCCGATGGCTGTTTCCAGATCCGTAATGGTGACCTCCGGTAGCTGCAGATGTTCGCCATATCGCTCTAAAAACGAGCAAACAACGGCGAAATCTGGAAAGCAACTAACAGACGCCATTGCTCTTTATAATGAGTTTTAATGGCAAAAATTACCAGATGTAACCGATGAGGGCGCTCTGACGCTCGTACCGTAACGGGTCAATCTTTTCCACTTCGATTCAGCCATCATCAGCAGATTTGCGACAATTTTTGATCCCCCAAGTAAGTTATGCAGTGTTTTATTATAATCCATGGTTGTATTCAGCTACAGAATTGTAGCTGTAATTCATTCTGCATGATGCATGCTAATAATAAGGGTCTTATAACTACGGTTGTTTTTGGCATGTGAAGTTTCGAAGTGACACTGTCACTGACTGAGGACAGTCAGACACTGAGACAGTTTTTTTTTTATTAGTTTTACTAAATTGGCACAATTAGTATCAGTAGGCAGTTGTTCATGACCGTCAATCTGCACGTCGGCGCAGCATTATAAATGCACCCCGGCCCTCCCCCCCCCCCAAAAAAAAAGACAAGCATAAAGTTAAGAAGGGGAGGGGCGGGGGTGTTTTTTATTGTATTTCTTTACCATGTTTACCTGTTTTGTGTTTATCTGTTTTGTTTTTATAATGTTCCAATTCCATTTATCCGCAGGTTTAAAAGTACTACATTACTGGCAAGTTACACAAGAGAGAAATCCATTTGTTATCTCCTGTACTGTGTGCAGCTGCTGCAGTGAATGGTCAGTACTAGAAGCAATGCTGCATAAAATGGCACCCTTGTTGCAGCCTCAACACTAGCAGTTTGTGTCGGCATTTTTCTGGACCAACTGCTCCTTCGAAGAAGTACTTCTGTGTGTTTTCAGTTTAGTTTCGTCAAGAAACCAGGATGAGTAGTGTGAGCAAAACCGCCATGATGAAGCGGACAATCCCTGTGAAGAGAAAACGCAGTTGTTTCATCTGTGGAAGAGCGTCTTTTCAGAAGTTCTGCATGGCTCATCAGTGGCACGAAAAAAAAGAGGGTCCCAAACATGTGTGTCCGGTCTGCAACAAGGTGTTCAAGGACTCGAGTAACCTGAAGCGACACAGGCGAATACACACCCGTGAAAAACCAGGGGTGGGCGTAGTACGCGAACATTGCTACTCTCAAACGGAGAGTGGATTGAAACCGTTCTTGTGTGATGTTTGTGGACAAACGTTTTCAGCGAAGAAGAACCTTCTTAAACATCAAAAAAAGATACATGACTTCACCATGCCTGCCCCAAGCAGAGTTGAGAAGATTCCTTATGATTGCGACTCTTGTGGGAAAAGGTTTACGAAAAGAAGTGTCATGTCGCGTCACTCTATAAGGATGCACTCCACTGAAAGGCCCTTCAGGTGCAGTTTCTGTGAGAAGACATTTGCGCAAACGTGTGACCTTGTTCGCCATGAAAGAGTCCACAGAAGAGAGAGGCCGTTCATTTGCGACGTCTGTGGACGCCGCTTCTTGCGCAGACATCATCTTCAAGATCATATGCTGACCCACACAAGGGCCAGGTCATATCTGTGTGATGGATGCGGACAGACCTTTATACGTAAGGGCAACTTTGTCAATCACAGAACATTGTGCAGCCAAATAACAGGAAGTGCGCCAAGTCAAGACGTATCCCTTTCAGCGGATCAGCAGAACAATCACACCAGCACAGGTCAAGCTGATTTGGAGACTGGTATCTTGGATCAAGCCTCGTACTTGGACAGCGTCCTGCAACAAACGGGAGTTGCTCAACCTGTGGAACAAACTTCAACCCCTGACACACTCAGTCAAGCCATAACGCAGAGCTTGGGCATCGATTTCACCTTGTTTGAGAAAGTCACTGCGAACGGGAAGCGCTACATGTGCGATTTCTGCAACAAAGAGTGCACTTCCATGCACGAGTTTTCCCGTCACCGACGGACACATACAAAGGAGAGGCCCTTTCTGTGCAAAACCTGCGGCAAACGGTTCAAGCAGACGAGTCACCTGGTCACGCACAGAGTCACCCACACGAAGGAAAGGGCATACAAGTGCGAGATCTGTGGTCATGATTTTGCGCTAAGGAATTCCTTTGTGAGGCACTGCAAGAAAATGCATGGAATATTTCCCGAGAAAACGGTGAGGACAAGGGGCCCAGGTCCTTCAGCACCGCTGGAGACATCCGACACCAACCAGCAGGAGAACCAAGTAGAGGACAACGATCAGACTGCCCAGAATGAGGCAGGAACAGGCACTTTAGACCTTTTGAACCAACCAACATACATATACTACCAGCAGGAGGACCAGGAAGGAGTAGACAAGACACTTCAAACCGAGGCAGCCACAGCCCTAGTGGACTTCCTGTCCCAAGCTTCGGACTGGAGCAGTATGTTGGAAAGCACTCCAAGCACCACAGCATGCGACACTACCATGGGAACTTCGGCACCAAACCAGCTTACAGATTACGCATCCTTCAGAAAAACACTCGCGGGTGGTATGCGGTATGTCTGCAACTTCTGCAGCAAAGGGTTTGTCAAAAAATTTGACCTCGTCCGTCACCGGCGCATTCACCTCAAGCAGAAGCCCTTCGCCTGTGACACTTGCGGCAAGCGTTTCACCCAGAAACGGCATCTGGTGGATCACCAGCCGACACATTCCAAAATAAAATCGTTTGTCTGCGGCAATTGCGGCAAAGCTTTTGCCCACGGCGCAAGCCTTCGTTACCACCGGAGAAAACCCTGCAGCCGGCCGCCGCCGACTGATCAGAGCTCAGATTCCCAGTCACAGCCTAAGGAAAAGGTACAGCCTATTGACGGGCGTTACTTCTGCGACCAGTGTGACAAACATTTCAGCCAGAGATATGGCTTGGAACGTCACAAACTGGGCCACACCAGCACCGGCAAACCTTTTGCCTGCGAAATTTGTGACAAGCGCTTCTCACAAAAAGACCATGTTCGAAAGCATCGGAGTGTCCACACGCAAGTAGCCCCAGCTGACAAAACGGTTTACATCTGCGAGACTTGCGGCAAGTGTTTAGTCAGCAGGAAAGGCCTGACGCTTCATAAGAAGACCCACATCGACGACGACAGATGGTATGTCTGCGACATCTGTGGCACAGGCTTCGTGGAGAAGAGGTGCCTTAAAGAACACTGCAAAACTCATCCAGTCAAGACAGCGAACGAAAAACGCTTTAAGTGTGACGCATGTGGGAAAGCATTTTTCTACAAGCAAAGTCTCTCAAAGCATCTTAAGAGAAATAAGAACACCTGCTCTACAATGAACAAACAGAGCCCAGAACATTTGCCCGACCATGTGCCAGTACAGGACACTGAGTGAATAATATACATGTACATCTGCATGATTCAGACATTTCTGTCTGGCATTAACGACACTGTTTCACTTATGAAAAAAACTTGGTAACATTAACAGGGACTGACACTTACTACATTACAACCAAAAATGTATGAGTGTTTTTAACATTTACAATAGAAGCTCTCGACATTAATCTCTAAAGGAAATTTCAATCGTATGAAATATATCACAGAGGGAACATGAAAAGGATTTGTAACTGCCATCCCTGAAATTCTGCCAGTCTGCCGGTACTACCGGTAATAGTTTTTTAAAAGTTTTAACTTTAATTTAAAGATATAATCCATCATTTGTAATTTGTGCATTTTGTTCATTTGAAGCAACAAAAGTGCTCAAAATCTAAAGAAGGGTACCGAACAACTAACCTGATGAAGTTTCAGCTCAGCTTCAGCTGTATATTCCGAGAAAAACAGCATTCTAGGATCTCAATTTCAAATCAAAGGTTGCTGAATCATGTTTTGAATTGGGCCTGAATTCAGTGTTGAGACACGTTCTCACTGAGCCGATTGCAGCTACGCGATGTCACGCACTGATCCGATGAATTATAGCAACCGCGCGTGCGTTTGCGTCGTGCCAATGCTTGCACGCGCTTCTTCGAATAACAAAACGAACTACTAATTTAAATTTCCTTCGGTGCGTCTTGAGAAGCACTGTTGGAAAGACCTTCTTTTGTTGACTACTTCAAAATGACAGCTTGCCAGAAAGAATAATTTCACAGGGAGTTGAGTCCCCTTACTATCTTTCAACCAAGTATGCTTTTCAACAATAATTACATCAGTTACTTTTCGGATAGCTGCAAATGATGGACTATAGCTTTAATAGGTTTCAAAGATTTGCAGGTTCTGGTTAATTTTATCAATTTTTTTCTCAATGAGACATGCAATATGTCCATCATTTGAAGTCACTGAAGCGGTCTGAAACAATACTGAACATTACAAACATGCCAAAATCTTTCAAATCATAAACATAAAGTTTGTGGACCACATGAGAACATGTGTGACAAGAAAAAGGACTTCTTAAATAATTCATGTGCTGTGAACTTTGATAGGACTGGTTTTAATGTACATGCATGTATGCACATTGTACTAGACACTACATGTATTAGCAAAATTTCAAAGACTGTTCATTGAAAAAAAGACAGAACATACTGGTGAAAGATAATTTCCAAGTATTTGCTCATTTGTAATTAATGATAATTGTTAAATTATTTACATTACAATAATTGTTTTTCAGTAAGTGTAAATGCTGTGGCTGTGTGTAAAATAATATGCGATGAAAATGTTGAAATGTCAGTGGTTTTAGTTTTTCTAATTCAATTTAAAAGTGAATTAAACTGCCACAAACTGCTCACTGATTGGATTGACCTGAAATATACGAATAAATAATTAAGAGTAGCTGATATTTCGATCTTCAGAGGCAAACGAAGATCTTGTTAAGATTTTTAAGATCTTATTAAAACCAAATAATTACACCTTAATGTTTTGATTTGCAATTTAAGAATGAAATTTTGTTTCTGGAAAGTGTGAATTCATAAACATGCATTTTTGAAGTAGCTAGAGAAATGGAAACTTAACTGTGGGTTCCAGTTTGTTCTTGCTATTATTTTAATATTATTAATTAAACCATGGAGGTAGAAATGTCTACCTTCATGATCAAACTTTAATCCCTTTCCTTAACGTTGAAAAACGCCCTCTATTGTACAACAGAACTTTTTAACAATTCGTGTACTGTCATTTTTCAAACCCCGGGTAGTTCCATTCAGCTTAGGGTTTCATCGCTGTGTCTTGAACAAAGACTTGGCTCCAAAACTCAATAGTCAATAGTTTTGTCGTAATAATGAGAAACATACATTTCGTTTAACTAGCAAAAGGTATTACTATTATGTGGAAGATATAGAAGCTTGGATTCCTAAAATAAATACAAATAAATAAAGACATCAGGAAATGACCCAACAATGAAGCCGAGTTTTGATAAATTTCATCGACTATGGTAGTAGATATGGCCAAGTCAATCGTTGACTTTTGTAATGAAGAATATCTGATGACGTGAGTGGGACATCACCGACTTTTTCTGAATAACCGGAAAATAATTCTGGAACAAAACAAGATCAATGTGTCGGTGTTTGCCAAGTTATCTGTGGGGTACAAAGTGATCACGTGTCCTAAATTCTTCTCAGAGATGAGATAAGAGAGACCACGAAGTACTAGTGGCCAGTCTAGTCTATTTTTAGCACACTTGGCAAGATGGCAGCGGGCGAGCATGTCGGGTTGTTCCCGTGGCTGGTTATGCTACTTTTACCGGAGGAATGCTACGTGGAATTCTTTGAGAAGTTCAATTTCTTCGACGGTAAGGAGTTGCACATGATAACTGATTGAATATGTAAAGCAGTGATATTTGTGGAAGGGTTAATTGGTGTGTCAAGCATTGAAGCCGCAACCGGCGTATATCACTGTCCGTATGTGAACGGCGAATGGGGTGAACTTTTTGTGTACACAACACAGTACAGTATCATAGGCACTATCATTGCAATATGACAATACAAGTACCTACATTGACACAGTCACTGACACTGACAGTGATACATATTCTGTACACAGCCGTTGAGGTGACGTCTGGATACATCCATTCCTTTATCATCTTTTGTTGACAGTAACACAGTAACAATATTTAACTCACTTTTTTATCGTCAGATCGTTATTGTTTTTTAAATTTTGTAAGAATAGATTAAGTTTTTGATGTTGTTTACTTTTAATTCGAGTTCAACCTCAAAATAAATGTCAACATTCTCCTCACAGGACCATGCCTGAAGATTGCTATCAGCAAAGGACTTGGATTTGGGATCATTCTCGGATCGGTCATGGGTAAGATAGGCCTAATATTATAAATAAAAAATAATAACTTATATAATTATTGCCCCTGATCATTGGGCCAATTAAACATTCCAAATACCATCTCAGCTCCCTGGGGAGTATACAGCTCGATGCAGCCTGTTACTAGGCGCAAGCAAGCTAATTCAATCACAATAACCAACTCTGCCCTCACAGGTACCCATTTACTCCAGGGTGGTGAGAAGCAATGAGTGACAAAGTGCCTTGCTCAATGGCACACACACCATAACCGCAGGCTGGACTCGAACCCACAACCTGCAGCTTTACCCGCAGACCACGAATCCAATGCCCTGAACCACGAGGCCAAAGGACACCACACAAGAAATTGCTCCATCTTTTTGTTTGTATAAACAAGAATATTACCAAGTGGTCATTGATCCACTGGCAGAATCCACTGAGAATTTCCACGAAATTGTTTTCCTTCCATGCTTTGTATATATTTTTAGGGGCCAATGGGAAGCCATCCTCCTCCTCTCGTGATTTGAATGACAAACAAATAGGCATATAACAATTTTTTGTAAGATGTCCATTGTCCAAAAAACCTTTAGTTTGTTTCTTCACAAAACTGTCAGCATTTTCTCAGAAGAACTTTTTAACTTGTATCTTAAATCTTCCATTTTAGTGAAACTGCCTCAGATCGTCAAGATTATCATGTCCAAGAGTGGGGCAGGCATCAATGTGATGGCGGTCACCTTTGAACTGACGGCCATCTCGTTTACTTGGGCATATGCTGTGGCAAACTCTTTCCCTTTCTCGTAAGTGGAGTCGGTTTCTGTTAATTTTAAATAGCCGATCAAAGAAATGGAGCGGGGTTTGAACCTGCGACCTCCGGATTACCGTTCTGGTGGTCTACCAACTGAGCTCTCAAGCCCTATGTGGGCAGTTCCCAAATTTGTCAATACTTTGTTCAACTTCAAGAGGCACTACTTGTTAGTTTCAGAAGTTTCCCTCTGTGGTTCATTGAGAATTTGTTAATTTTGAAGAGTGTGAAAAACTTCAAAATAATGGTTTCTGATCGGCTATAGAAAGCTGTTGACCAGTGCTTTTGAATCGCTAGACTTTGTCCAGTGGTGCAGTTGGTACGTTGAGACTTACTAAATTGCCATTTTTGTTACCATTTTGTGTTGTTTCATTCCAGTGCTTGGGGTGAAGCCTTGTTCATGGCAGTCCAGACTTCCGCTATCGCCACCCTCTGTTTCTGGTACAAAGAGCAGACGCTACAGGCCATCCTCTACGTCTCCGGTTACCTAGCTGTCATGTGGGTCCTTCTGTCGGGTGTCACTCCTCTGAGTGTCCTGTCGGCCATGCAAGCGACCAACATTCCTATCGTGGTCCTTAGCAAGGTAGGTGTTGTCTGGAGTTGAGCGGGAGGGCAGAACCACATTGTATGCAGAACCTAAAAATCTCAAGATATCAGGCATGAGAAATCTTCCTGTTTAAGCAGGACTCCTGGGGTTTTTTGGTTGCCCAAATTTCCGTTTTTTTTAATATTTTGAGCCTGTTTTGAGGGGTTTTTTGGCCAGATTTCACATCTTTTTTCTCTGTTTTTGCACAAGTTTCCTGTATTTGAGCCTGTTTTGGGGCTTTTTGCCTGATTTCACATCTTTTTTCCTGTTTTTGCACAAGTCTCATGTTTTTTTCCGTTGAAATTCATTCTTGTGCCTGAGATATTGGTCTAAAACTGCAAAGTGAACATCTCACAAAGTCACAAACTAGAAAAGCAAGATCTCAGTGGAACGTTACACAAATTAAGCGATGTCTGTCAGAAATTATGAAGTGGTTATATCGCAACCCTGGTTCTCTTGGGAGGTCCTCCCTTAACAGTTTCATACTTTCAAGAAACATAATAAATAAATAAATGTCAGTGGCATGGACGTTGTATTATTCAATTCCACATCATATTTGAACACCCACTTTTCAAGTGTTTGCTAATGTCCTTATATGTGTTTTGTTTGTCTTTGGATTTCATCTTCACAGCTGATTCAAGCTCAGACCAACTACAGCAACGGCCACACTGGCCAGCTATCGGCCGTCACAGTCTTCCTACTAACCCTCGGCAGCTTGGCCAGGGTCTTCACCACAATTCAGGAGACGGGCGACGACATGATGACCTTGACTTACATCATCTCCACCGCAGCCAACGCAGTTGTGGCCTTCCAGGTCTTGTGGTACTGGAAACGGACTGAGGAGTTTACCAAGCGTCAGCAATCCAAGAAGGATTAGAAGAGACACTTTTGGAATCTTCCTTATTCCGCCTTCATAATTCTGCATTTCCTTATGTGCAGTTCTTTATTCAGAGTTGGAATATTAATTTCAAAAACCTGGAGTTTGATCTTGGCTGATTTTTTGGGTGGTTCCGGTAAATGGATTCAATCGTAGACAATCTTAAGGTTCACAATTTTGGTTGATGCCGATTTGATCTTACTGGATGAGTGGTTTTGCAAGAGTATTTGTTTATAAAAACTTTCCATACCTCTTGTACAAGTTTCCTCTGTAAAGCCTGAAGCAGGGTATGTGCTGGATCTGGCTGTATGAGCATGACTCCATGGTATAAGCCTTTTCGGAGTTCCAACTGCGCATTCATAACCTGTGACAACGCGCATTGTTTGTCTCAAATGGCCTTTGACATCATCGCGCCACTGATTTTACAAAAAGGCTGTTTGTGCATTGTGGGTACTGTCAAAGGGCATTTGAGACAAACAATGTGCGTTGTCACAGGTTACGAATGCGCAGTTGGAACTCTGAAAAGGCTTATTCTGTAAAGTTGCCAAGATCTTTGTTTTGCCATGCAAATATCATTCTAAAATGAATAAATAATCACAATAAGGAATATTTGTAATGCGAGGGCTTGATCACATTTATATCTTTGAGACTTTGGTTATAAATTGACTATCATTATATTACCTCGAGTATGAGTTTAGGGGGGTTGACTATTTTTCAATAATAGCGTTAAACCAGCAATTTCATCCAGTTAAACACTTGGTTCATCTACAGTACTGCCTTGTTTTAATCTTATAGAGAACAACACATCCATGTTTGTAAGTTCGAGTGGATCCGATTTTAATTAGTAAATGTAAATTATGAATAAATTATACCGTTTGCGCTCTTGAAAAATATCCACCAATGTTTTTGTGTAGTCTTTTTCTTCAAGTTCTCAATTTGACAAAAGCGTGTGTTCTGCTGGAAAACTTCTCATTGAAAGTAGGACTTGAGCGTTAAAGCCCGAGTCCATCATTTGCAGCTATCCAAAAAAGTATCCGGCGTAATTAGTGTTGAAAAACACACTGGTTGAAAGATAGTACGGGGACTAAACTCCCTGTGAAATTATCCTTTCTGGCAAGCTCTCATTTTTAAGAAATCAACGAAAGAAGGCATTTCCAACGGTGCTTCTTAAGAAGCACCGTAGGAAAATTTAAATTAGTTGTTCGTTTTGTTATTCGGCGCAGCGCGCACAAGCATTGGAACGACGCACAGGCGCGCGCGGTTGCTATAAATCGTTGGATCAGTGCGCAACATTGCGTAGAGCTGAATTCAAAACAATTCGAAACATGATTTAGCAACTTTTGATTTAAAATTGAGATCCTAGAATGCTGCTTTTCTCGGAATATGAAGCTGAGCTGAAACTTCATCAAGTAAGTTGTTCAGTATCCTTCACTAGATTTTGAACACTTTTGTTGCTTCAAACGAACAAAATGCACTAATTACAAATGATGGACTATAGCTTTAAAAGACCAGCATCTGGAGTGAATCATTTGTTGTCAGTAAAGAGGAACGCTACAAGTAAAAGAGGGCTTTAAAATTGATGTATTTCTTATTAGAAAGATGATGTGTAAGCCAGACAGTTCTACAGTGTTCTTGGGAAGGAAGTCGGCTAATAAGTTAGTCTCACTTCAAGTCTTACTTTTATTGAGGGAGCTCGATGAGCACCCCCCCCCCCCCCCCCCCCGCTCCGCTTTCGGTCCAAGATAGACTGGTTCCCTAGACCTGACAATTATTCCCGACGCTCACGTCTGATAAATTGTAGGTCAGGCAGCCTCCGTGGCTAAAAATAAACATGACGACATTGACGGCCCCTTTTTAAAGCTCGGCTTCGTTTTCGACTTCGCTTTATAACTTAAAGCTCTTAATGTTCTGATCAAATTTGTACATAAATCACTTGTTTCGTAATATGATAATACAATTTGATATTTCTGTAAGATGACATTGACTTATGTTGATCTGGAATCTTCAAAATCAGGCACCCAAATAGCACTGTTCAGCAGGCGGAGCCGAATGAAGACCGAGATTTGGAAAATCTAGGTAACGGTCGTCAAATTCAAAATAGTACACGCAGCAAAAAGTTCGCCCATACCATCCGAGTATACTTGATGCACAAAATCGTCGTTAAATTCCAAGTTTTCTAAATGAAAGCAATGAATATCACTGTTTTATATCAACTCATTTTAAAAAGTTTTTAATAAGCAATTAGCAGTTAATTAAACGTATATTATACTCGAAAATACTCGGGCGCTATCCGAATGTCGACGAAATGAACTCGGCAAACTCCGGACATTTTCGGAAAAGGGGGAATTCCTCCCGTTTTAGACACGTGACGTAAATTGTAATACAATGTATTGCCGGAGGCTACCTGACCTCAACCTCGTCCCCAGTGCTTACTTTATTTCCAACCGCGTTTCAACCTCGTCCCCAGTGCTTACTTTATTTCCAACCGCGTTTCCAATAGTAAACCCTGGATAGGAAACTTTCTTCCTGTATCCTGTTTGGATACCGCAATTGGCTAGTAATGGATTTTTATCGTGTACTTGGTGCTATATATTCACAACGTGCAGTACGTGTTTTCGCGATCATTCGTCCACGCCTTCTCGAAAATACTAATTTCCTTTCCAATTTGCTCATATTAATATGAAATATGATACTGCATGTTGTCTCGATAGGATCGTAACAGTTTGATTTCAAAAATCGTGTTTTCGTAACTCACGCTGTGCTCGCGCTGCTACGAATTGACTCTGTTTTTACCCCAGACACCCCATACAAAAACAAACGCTAATGTGTAACGCATATCCAGGTACCAGACTGTTCCTCATTTGCATACGTGTGCAAAAATCTTGCACATGCAAATGATCCAATACCAGGGTGAGAGAGCCGGTAGTGGTGGGTGCGTACTGCTCGACACCCTGGGGACGAGGTTGACCTGACCTAAGATTCATCAGGAACTAGTCAGAATCATTTGGTCTGGGAACCAGACTAGGTCCAAGATGGAATAATGGCGAAATAATGTGTATTGCGTGACGGTGAAATGCCCGTACGTTAATTTTAATTTTAGCAGTGACGCGTGGTAGCAACCTCGTCCATCCCCAGGGTCTATTATCCCAACAAACACCCTCTCCCCCTCCCCAGTCCCCACGCCCCCCCCCTACACACACCCTCTGTACATATGAAAAGGGCATGTTTAAGAAGTCTTTTGGTGCATTTGTTGACTACAATCAATAATCAATAATATTTGTGTAATTATTTATAACAATTCTTCGTTTTTGCAATGTTGGGCCTTCCATAGTCTGGCAACCCGCGGTTGATGGCGGTAGCATAAAATGGTACGAGAGTAGAGCGCGTAATAAATATGCATGACTATGACGTCACTAGAAGCTCATGAGTAATATATCATGCACGGTACTGATAGATACTGGGAAGGGTTTTGAAGACTCCCCATCGTCCGTTACTCATGCCATCATACCATCATGAAACTGCTTAACCATCTCGATATACTTTTCAGGGCAGCCAATTTTGGACAGGAGTTTCCAGAGTCCTTTTCTACAGACGGTGTCGAATGCCTTTGTCAAGTCGACGAAGACACAGAAGAGGTCGATATTCTGCTCTCTGCATTTCTCTTGTAGCTGCCGGGCTGCAAAGATCATGTCGCCTGTACCTCTTCCTTTTCTGAAACCACACTGGCTGTCGGGTAGAAATGTGTTGGCAATGTGTGTTGTGAAGCGATTAAGCATGATTCTTGCGAGGATCTTACCAGCAATGACCAGCAGGGAGATTCCTCTGTGGTTGTCACAAATGAAACGGTTGCCTTTCTTCTTATAAATGTGGACAATGGAGGCATGCATCCTTGAACTCTTGGGGAAGCACTCCTTTGATCCACATCAGTTGGAATAGCTCTGTGAGGCGTTGCACGAACGAAGCATCTCCTGCTTTGTATATCTCGGCGGGAATTGAGTCGGAACCAGCTGCTTTACCCATGGATAGTACATCAATGGCTTCTTCAGTCTCGGAGGTAGTGGGCACCTCAGCTAGGGCTACATTGACAGTGCTCTGAGGCAGTTGATCTAGTGCCTCAGTGCTGATGTTTGAGTCTCTGTTTAACAGATTTTCGAAGTGAGAAGCCCAACGGTCAATGATATGGTTCTTTTCTGTGATTAGTGTGGTTCCATCAGAGCTCATGACGGGGGTAGAACCACATGATTTTGGCCCATAAGTTTTCTTGAGCGTATCATAGAACTTCTTCATGTCTTTACAGTCTGAGTAGGTCTGGAGCTCGTGCGCTTTTTTGCTCCACCATGAGTCGCACATAGCTCTGAGTCTGGCCTGCAGTGTCTTACGGATGCTCTGGAAGGCTGCTTTCTTCGATGCGGATTTTTCATCATTGATCATGGATAGGTGTAAGTGGTGTTTCTCTTCAAGAAGTTTCTTGATCTCCTCGTCATTTTCATCAAACCAGTCTTGGTGTTTCCGAACAACAGGGCCCAAAGTTTCGAAAGCTGCTGTGTGGACTGCATCTTTGAAGCATTTCCAGTCCTTTTCAATGTCGCCTGAGACCAAGTCAGCAGAGATGAATTGCTGGTACATTGCGCTGCACAGTTCACATTTTACAGCGGCGGTCTTTAATTTGGTAACGTTGAGCTTCTTTGGTGGTTTCTTGCCCTGAGGTCTCCTGAGTGGTTTGATGTTGAAGTTGAACTTCACACGGATGAGTCGATGGTCAGTCGAGCAGTCAGCTCCTCTCATAGCCTTGGTGATTTTCACATCTGCAATGTCCCTCTTCCTGATTATAATATAATCAATTAGGTGCCAATGTTTTGAACGGGGATGCATCCATGACGTTTTGTTTTTATTTGGAAGTCGAAACAAAGTGTTGCTGATGGTGAGGTTGTGTTCTGCACATTTTGTGAGGAGAAGGAGACCATTTGAATTGCATGTTCCAATACCGTGGTTCCCTATTATGCCCTGCCATGTATGATGGTCAGAGCCAACACGAGCATTGAAGTAGCCGAGAATTATGAGTTTGTCCTTCGTGGGAACCTGGGAGATTACTAATTGTTCCAGATCATCATAAAACTTGTCGTTGACATCATCCGGGTTTGTCATGGTAAGTGCATACACGCTGACTATGGTGGCATCAGTGTTTCGCTGTGAGTAACAGACGCAAAGTCATTAAGCGGTCGTTGATACCCACTGGTAGATTTTCAAGATTATCTACGATGTGATTCTTCACGGCAAATCCAACACCAGCTTCATGACGTTCATTGCTGGGACAACCACTCCAGAAAAAGGTGTAACCAGCACCAAGTTCCTTGAGTTGACCTTTCTCAGCAAAACGAGTTTCACTATAAGTGCTGCTATGTCAATGTTGTATTTGGCGAGCTCTTTGCCAACGGGTGCAGTTCTTCGTATAGGTCTCTTTATATTAGGGGCATCGCGGAGTGTTCGCACATTCCATGCCGCAAAGTTAAGTGGACGTTGTTTTGCATTCCTGCAGTTGGTATGCTTGCTGAGTGAGTAAGTTGTCGACATTTCGTATTGATGATCACTCACGGTAGAAAGATCGTCCTGGAGGATGTGTCTGTGTAGGGGGGGTGGAGATGTTACGGTACCTGCGCGTGACTTTGATTTAAGTGAAGAAGATTTGCGCTGAGTCAACCTCACTCTATTGGCTTCGCTCATCCGGGGCCAAAGGCAAGACAGAGTCGAGACGTCTGGAGATTGGTTCAGCTGTAGTGGATGGCCTGCAGTACCTTGTGCGCCCGTACCGATGACCTGAGCTCTCCACAAACTTTCGCTGCTGTGCCATAAGCCGGTTGATGTAGCATATCTGCTGGGTCCGCCTTGTCTGCCACAGTAGACTTCATGCACTATACGGTGAACTGAGAGAGAGATTGGCGTCTCTATTTCTCAGAAGAGTTCGTATCCAAGGTGAAATGTGCTACATGGTTCTTACTTCAGTGACGTCAACAATGGAATACTGGTAGCGTATAGCTCGACGCACACAACTCACAGCAAGATAGAACACGATACAGTTAGTTCAGCGCACGATAAGTTGTTGTCAGATTGTTCTATATGACGCTGCTGATGTACGCGCACGTATACAGCCGTTGCCCAAAAAAGTTCAAAGTTTTCACCTTGTTTTGTCAAGAAACACCTTCAAGAATCTCCGGCCTCAAGTCGTCACCAAACTTCCCTGTGCCGTATATTGATGATCAAGTGGGGCGACACGAAAGGGTGGCGGCGCGACAGTAGAAAGATGACTTGTTAAATCTGATGATCATCGGTAAGTGGGGCGACACAAGAGGGTGGCGGCGCGACAGTAGAAAGAGGACTTGTTAAATGAGATATCATCGGTAAGGCCAAAAAAAAAGTCTCCGGTTTCTGGTATGGAGCTTGCCCAAAAAGTGGTGCGGCGACGCGGCTTTTTTTTTTTTTTACCTGTTTTTTTTTGGGGGGGGGGGGGCTTGGGGCTTCAAATGTCGGCTGATGACTGCAAATGGTGCCCGACTAAACTTAGTGCAAATATATGGGAGTCCAGAGAGGCCACATAAAGCTTATTCTCGATCATAACCCCATCTAAAAACACGTTAAAATTGTGCAGCAGCAGAATTCCAGTCAAACCAGTGAGTTTGGCGGTTTTGAGACATCATCTTTTATTGAAAAAAAACCTTTTTCATTTTGCCGACGCGCATGGCTACGGCGACGCGCGCGCATACCAGAAACCGGAGACTTTTTTTTTTGGCCTAAGTGGGGTGACACTAGAGGGTGGCGGCGCGACAGTAGAAAGAGGACTTGTTAAATGTGATGATCATCGGTAAGTGGGATGCAGCACATACAGTGTGCATCTACATGTATATCAGTACCGTGCGTGATATATTACTCATGAGCTTCTAGTGACATCATAGTCATGCATATTCATTACGCGCTCTACTCTCGTATCATTTTATGCTACCGTTGATGGCGCGCTCTGATCTTGCGTGGGCAAGGGAAATTCCTTTTAGCAACCTCGACCACAGGGTCTATAAATGTTTCCCAATATACAAGACGTATGGGACTAGTAATACGTGTAATTAGGGGAAAATATGGGAAGTACATGTAGTTTTTGTGTAGGGACGAGGTTGTCACTCAAGCGATCTAGCAGTAATCGATTGTGAAATGATCACTTTCATTCTAGGACCGGACCGTACCTGCATCAGATCGAGGTATCTGCAGATCACAACTTCGTCCCTCATTCGTACCGCAGGCTTGCATTATTTGTCTCCTAGTTTGCCTTGCAATTGGTAAGTCGTTTGTTGTGCTTATTTTTGATAGTGCTTAGTATAGTATCCGCAGGGCGAACAGTTCGGACTTGAAGAAAAGCAGGCCTATGTCAGTATGTGTTTTTACTTGTGAGTTGTAGCAGTTGGTGATTGATTTAACCTGGCCTTGCGAACTACACTATAGCTATTCGTTTTGATCAATTGTTTCCCCCACCCCTCCCCCGGGCTGCCCCACCCAAGACGTGGAGATTGTCAGTTTTGAAGTGACAAAATCCCCACCCCTCGGGCAAAAGTTAAGTGACAATCCCCGACCATTCCCCGACATACATACGTGTACTCCTATAGAACTATGAGTATGAGCCTAGTCATAGTTCTAGGAGTGAGCCTAGTCATAGTTCTAGGAGTATTGTACAGTTGATGCGGTAAATAACGTGGCGCGGCCCCCAACGTGGCGCACTTTGATTTTTCGCCTGTATAGCGCCTACATAGAGCAAAAGTTTTAACTGAAATTTCACAGAAAGTTAAATTTCATCAAGTTCTTAACACTCCTGTTCATAAATCGCGAGTTTATTTACCCGTAACAAAGTTAGAAGAAACATTTATTTTGGCGTGATTTTCCGATTTTGTTTTCAGTGCAAAGTGAACCCTTTGAAAATGCCCCGAAAAACAAGAAAATAATTTTCTGACAAACATCTGGCTGGGTATGTAAGTAGAGATATTAATTATTTATCAGAATTTATCAAGTTTACGGAAATTCTTAAATGTTATTTTGGAATTTTCCGAGATTTATTCAAGTGCGCCACGTTAGAGGGAACGCCCCGTCAATTTGTGCCCAATTTCCGGACGCCACCGTTTTTGAATTTCGGATTAAATTTCATGAAACCGAAATTGCTCACAGAGTTAAATAGCAAGCATTAATAAGGTAAAAGTACTAGTATTTTACTGCATGAATTTGAGGTTTGTCAACAAAGAGGTTTGGCAACGCTACACGAGAAAAGTCGGGTAAGCTTCGAAGTGCGCCACGTTAGGGAACACGACTAGGAGTAACATACGTGGCATTAAGCCTCGGCAGGCGCCATTTTATTTGGAGGTCGCTCATGCTCGGATCGATCTTGTAAATGACGTTCATTTTTATGCATGTGATACTATACATCCAATCAATCCTCTATTGAAAGTCTATCGATCTATAGGCATAGCCTAGATAATTGTGTGAAAGGACGCAACCACCAGGGTGACCGTAAGGTCATGACCAAATTCTGCTAAATGCACTTCAAAAGTCTGTCAGAATTATCAAAAATTTGCCAAATTCCCCAGAATTACTCGAAATGCGCTATAAACACTTAAAATCACATGCAGATATTGTAGTATTGCCTTAAGTAAGGTTCAAATTACATTACAGGCAATCTATTGTCACAAAAAGATGTTATGAAATTGCACCTTCAATTTCAGGCAAAAATGCGGTTGCGCATCACCGATGAAATCTGGTTCCCAGTGAACCTCAGCACCTAGACCAGCCAAGCTGTCCCATCATGCAAGGCTTTGTTTAAAAAGATTGAAGCTTTTTTTAAAAACAAATGTACCATTTTTTTTCAAATTTGCTATGTTTTTCTGTCAAATATCCATTTTTGCAGAATTCTGCCAGAAATCTGCCCCCAAAAAAATCCATTCTGTCAAATTTTCTGTCAAACTCGTTTTAAACAAAAAATCTGTCAAAGTTAGCCGAAAATCGGGTAAAACGGTCACCCGGGCAACTACCGTGAGCCTACGCAGGATGAGAACTTCGGTGCGTGGGGATCGATTGTATTGTCAGCTGTCGCTGTGATTTCACATTGTGCGACAATTACATTGAAAATGTTGAAATTAATGTTGGGTGTTTTTTTTTCTAATCCAAACATATTTTCTCTCGCTTTATCAATAAAACTGATTTGTATGGAATGGGATGCTCTAAATTAATGTATGATTTATTGTAGAAGGGTGAAAGTTTATTTTAAAAAAATTATATTTTGATTTAAGTTTTAATTCATGTATTTATTTATTCATTCATTATTATTCGTAATTTCAGTCGATATTATAAGCTAGGTTTGTCTTCGTAAAAAAGGTTGTTTCAATAAATAATTTCTGGGACTCCGGCTTCATAATGTATATGGTGTCCAAGTTCATCTGAGGCAAAAGCTCAGTGAGAATTTCCAGTTTGGACATGTTGGGCAGAGGAAGCCGGATTCGGAAACGACTCAGAAAACGGGAATTTGGGAAAAGTACAATGACTTGGTATACTTGAATATATAGTCTCGACTCAAGTGGGTGTATCTGTTGTTTGGTTCTTGACCCTGCTTTGGTTCATCTCTTTCAGCAAGATTTCTTTTATTTCTGTATTTTCTACAGGTGAACGTACGTAGTCTTGATTTCAAGATGGTCCTTCCGTTTATTATAATGGCAGTCAGCCTCGTTGCGGCGCCGGCAGCCCTCCCAGCGATCGGTTTCACGGCTGGAGGAATAGCGGCTGGTTCCATGGCTACGAGCATAATGTCAGCTGCTGCCATCGCTAACGGGGGCGGGGTCGCCTCCATGGCTGCTGGGGGAGTCGTAGCTGCCTGCCAGTCGGCTGGAGTCCTTGGGCTGGGTGCCGCAGGGTATGCAGCCGCCGGTGCCGCGGGGTACGGAGCTGGAAAGGTGATCGAGAGGGTCGTCAGTGATGATTAGAAGTCGGCTGGTACTTCTGGCAAGATGTGACGATGACGTCATTATTTACTTATTTGATCAAGTTTGATTTGGTTTTAAGCGCAATGTCTCGCAGCCAATAGCCGGCTTGCATTTAGTTAGGCCTATACAAAGAATGTACTCACAAGCGTTTGCGTTATGTGCTTCACTTTATTTTTTCCCATTTCAATTATTTTTAAAATATGGAAATCATAATCGGAGTTTTGGACTTTCTAAAGAGTAGTATTATAATTCGTAGTTGTCTAATAACCAGTACTGTTTCTTGTACGTAATTCTGTGGTATTATACACAGTTACATAAACACGACATGTCACATTGTATCTGCCTTAATTGTTTCAAATGCAATCCAGCATTACTAAAGCAATTATATAAGGAGTACATGTTTAGCCTAATTGGGTTTGATAAAAAAAAAAACCATGGTAACCATAATTCGACAAACCATCCCCGAACGCAGGGTAGTCTGCAATGGTTGGAAGGAGCTGCTGCGTGGGCAAGCTTATTTCTAAGTCTGCTGGTTGCATGGATCTAGGAGCGGCAGGTTTTTGTCTGACAACAGCTCGACTTCGGAACATTTGCAATTCGATAAATGCATACTGTAGGATTATTTTCTTTTCGTGCATTTTGTTCCTTTTTTAGTCAGTGGTAACACCACACAAAATGCAAGGAAGATGTTCAAAACCTATAGCCTGTTTTAGCTCACTGGCAAGGGCGGATCCAGAACACAATTTTTTTTTGGGGGGGGGCCAAAAAAAAGTTTAGTCGCCCAAAGACTGGGTCAAATTACGACGTGGGGTTTTAATTCGGGGCCCGCTTAAGGGCCCCGAATTTTGGGGGGGATTCTAGATGCTCTGTGGTGCGATCTGAGGCAATTTCTGACCACTTTGACCAAGTTTGTTTTGAGGAAAAGATGGTGGTGTACTACGCAGTGCCTGCCTTTATTGCGACGTCACTTAAAAAAAAATATTGGGTTCATTTTTTTATGGGGGGCACGGCCCCCGTTGGCTCCCCCCCCCCCCCCCGATCCGCCCTTGCTCAGTGGGAATTACACTTTTCGGGATATATGAGGAAAAAACATGAACACAACAAACAGTCTGTAACCAAATTAAAAGCCATAAATCATAAAAAAAAATTCTGACTAGACCATTAAACTTGAAGGAACTTGCAGTGCAGGGGTATAGGGCTGCTATACGTATATCATATAATTAGACACCAACAACTTATATCTTAATGAGACATTTACTTATTAAATCTATTACCAAGGCTAAAATACAGCTCGTGTTTAAAATGCGTCATAATTTGAAGATGTCCTGTATTCATAAATTAAAACGCCTCAAAACCTGTATATGCCATATCATAGCGACACAAAGAATTACAAATAGTAAAGGACCCTTCGCTGGTACCCGAGACCCGTCGAACAAAATAAGAAGCCATTTTTAAGTGGAATAGCGTCATTATTATAAGCACATGGTTCCAGCTAAAAAAAAAAAAGGCTTATAATTTTGCTCGCTGATGGCCCCTGGGGCGAATTTCATGAGCTGCTAAATTGACTTAGCACAAAGCAAGTCTGGCTTAGTAAAAGCAGGTTACCAGCCAAAACTCCATGTGATTTTCATGCTAAGCAAACAACAGCTGAATACCAAATCACAAGCAATATACACCACATATGAACATTTGGTTGGTAATCCTGTTTTTGTCAAGGAAGACTTGTCGTGCTAAGCAAATTGTTGTGCTTAGCTGCTCCACTAAATTGGCCCCAGATGACTAGTCTGGTCAAAAGATTTTGACAATTTCTGATGCATCTTAATTCCGGTAACCGCTAGTATCTATACAATATATATACGGCACGTGACCAAGACGGAAGGAATGCCTCCCGTTTCCGAAAATGTCCGAAGTTTGCCGAATGCATTTCGTCGATGCTCTTGGATAGCGCCGGGGTATATTTCCAGATATAAAATAGGTTTTATTTACCTGCCATGCTTATTAAACAAAAAATAAGGAGTTGATAATTAATATTAAGACAGTAGAAACAGCGAACTCACTAGACTGAATAGTAGAGATCAGGGATTAAACAAAATAATTCCAGAACTGGACAACTAGGCCTACTAGGCCTAGTTGTCCAGTTGGGTTCTCGTGTGGCGCATTTTAATTAAGATACAACCCTGCTGATCATTGGGCCAGTTCGATACAAATCAATCTCAAACTCGATACAAATCAATCTCAATAGCCTAACCATCTCTGCCCTCACAGGTACCCATTTTCTCCTGGGTGGGGAGAAGCAATGAGTAACAAAGTGCCATGACCCCAGGCTGGACTCGAACCCACAACCTGCAGAATTACCCGCAGACCACGAATTCAGTGCATGCCCCAGACCACGAGGCCACGGCATTCCACAACTGGAATTTTATTCCTCCTGAATGTTGACGTAATCCTTCCTCCGCCGCCAAGTTCGAAAGCAGTAAACGGCCACCACGACAAGGACGAGGACAACAACTGCCCCGAAGACAATGCCGAGGATTGCAGAGAGATCAAGGCCAGGTACACACACGTCGGCTGTATTACATAAATAGAGGAATTCACATCAATCAGTGTAAGTCTGTCGGAATGAAGAGGAAACGTCAATTGTAGGGATGTTACATTTCGTACATCTCAGAGAATTTCAAAAATATGTAATTCCTTCCATCATCGGGTAAGATTTACTTTAAAAAAAAAACTGCATCTTTCGCGTGAGTCTTTGTCGTTGCCGACGTCGCAATCATTCTTCACCATTCATGTTGCACGATATGGGACGAAGGGAACGTCCCCCTCCTTTGTGTTGGTCATTGTTTTACCAGAATCTCAGGAATCGTTTGAGATATCTAGGGGCTGTATTAGGTAACAATAGTCTAGGGTTTGTATAGGGTATAGAGAGATTGGGTGGGGGCTACCCCTATCATATCTCATATCGTGCTAGGTAGGACTATATCACCATTCATCACAGCTATCAATCACTCCCCAGTCGTCCCCTCCGATCCACTCCCCCCCCCCCCCTTCTCATAACTCCAAGAGAAAAAATACTTTTCAGGAATCTTTCAACACACTAGCAGACCTTCATCATGCTGCCATCATTTCAGTCATGTTCCCTGTATCCAATAACGGTACTGAATGATACACGGTTTTTTGCGCAAAAAGGAACCAGACATTTTGTTTCCTTCCAGCCTCGCTTTGGTAACGTTGATTTGAATGGAAAAAACCAATATAGCCGCAACACGATAATAGTCTGTAGGCTTCTCTACAAGGGCGGATCCAGAACACAATTGGGGGGGGGGGCCAAAAAAAATTTGGTTCCCCAAAAAAGTGGGTCAAAAGAATTACGGCGTGGGGTTCGGGGCCCGCTTAAGGACCCCGAAATTTTTTTGGATTCTAGATGCTCTGTGGTGCGATCTGAGGCAATTTCTGACCACTTTAACCCATGTTTTTTTTGAGGAAAAAAATTGTGGTGTACTCATTGCCTGCCTTTATTGCGATGTCACATAAAAAAAAAAATTGGTTTCGTTTTTTTTTGAGGGGGGGGGGGGGCATGGCCCCCTTTGCCCCCCCCCCCCCCCCGGATCCGCCCTTGCCTCTCTATTGCTTTACCAAATCCCACTCGTGCATTTGAGAAAAACCCGGCCCAAAAACAAAAAGAGCCAATTGTCAAATCCAGTGAAATCAATCTGCCACTCGAACAGTCAGGGTACTAAAATTAAATTCCTACCTTCACCCAAGTGTCCGTCGACATCATCGGCAAAGGGTTGTAACTGCATGTCCCACAGATAGACTGTTGCTAAAACGAGCTCGACCGACATATCCGAGCAGGAGTAATATTTCCCTGTCGGAACTTTCTGCCACAAGAAATTGCTCGATTCACTCCCCTCCGATTGGTAACCTATACAAGACGGAATGTGAATGCTCACTATATAATAATGTCATCATTTAAACCTATGCTTGATGCATTAACCTTTATGCCTATACACTCTCAAAACGCTGGTTAAACTTTGGTTGGTTAACCCTAAAAGGGCGGAATCCCCCCCCCCCCCCCCCGCTCAACTGTTTCTGCGATACCCTTGCAACAATTTTTTTCGCGACCTGAGCTGTCCTGACTTTTTTAGCCTCGAGTCTTGCGAATCTTTTGATAACAAAAACATAAAATTCGGATCACGGGTTGCCGCGCAGCGAAAACAATTTTCGGCGCACTAAACCTGAATTTCCCCATATATATATACGTGGTGTACACAAAGCAGAATTAACATTCGTGCATAATGAATAATTAATTAGCCATAACTCAAAAACCCTTTGACCTATAGTCATGACATTTCTTGGGTATGTTCATATTAAGTTGTTCTATGCATCCACCGAATTTCATAATTGTTCGTCACTTGATGGCCGAGATTTGAGGGGGGGGGGGCGGAATCCACCCCTTCCGGATCGCGATATTTTTTATTACACAACTATCTGGGGCACTTTGTGCGCTTTCCTATGGGGCTTGGTTTTTATAACCAAGCTTGAGTGGAGGCTACTATTTTTCAACTTGGTACGGATTTCGGACCTTATTTCCCTTTTTAAAAAGATCCTCCAGAGCCTCAGATCAGGAAAAGAAAAAGGAAATTCTTGCCATACAAGTAGTATCCGACTGAAAAATAACGTTTTTAAGATATAACTTTAAATTGTTGAAAAAAAGAGCAAAATCTGAGAAGGCAGAGCTAGGAATCGAACTCGAGACCTCCGAGTACCACTAGGCAACGGCGGTGCTCGACAAAATCGTGCAATTCATAAATTATATACTTTCACACATGTGGAGAGAGTATACGCGCGCGCGCGTAGGTATAAAGGTTACAGGATTGTAGAGCGCCGCGCGCTACGCGGCGCTCTACAATCCTATAACCGTGATTCAAGTCACCTGAAGATTGGGTACCCTGTACTATTGTGTACGCTTCCGGATCCCCGGCTGTGAGATGGTCAAAATAACCCGGCCCTTTTACGGTTAAAAAAAGTTGGTTAAAATTTTAACCAACATTGTGTAAAATTTTCCAATTTTGCCCATCAACGTTTACCCAACGTTGGGCACATTTTGCCCAACGTTGGGTATTTTTTTTAACCAATTGCAACTGTTAAGCTGTTCACCTGGTAAACAACAGTTGGTTAAAATTAGTCATTTTACCCAACGCTGGTTACATTTGGGTAGGCCTAAATTTAAGAGAATTACTTAATTTCTTGATTACTCGAGCTCCCATCCGTTAATTACATGTACCCCTAAATCATAAGGGTGCATGCGTGCGTTTTAATGAAGACAAATAACAAAGTTTGTGAAGACTAATAAGTTGTTTTCCCACAAATGAAGGTGAAAACTTACTTAAACAAACTGGACTGACCCCCCCCCCCCCCCCCCCCCCCCATCATTTACCTGTCGTGTCGCTTTCGGGGAAGTGTTCCTCGTCAAAGACATAAGTTGCATCTACTTCAGTCAGGGCGAATGTCCCAGATTGAAGCTGGAAGATGAGGGTGATTGTCCAGTAAGGTTCCTCCCTGCTGCCGAACGGGTAGATGACCACAGTGCGTTTGGACGGAGAGTCACAATTACCGTCAACAGTGGCCACGTTAGGGTCGATCGTGAAGGTTTCATCATCCTCCTAAAGGTCAGCACACAAAACACACCAAGTGGCAAGAAACTTGCTTAGTTTGAAATGTCTCCCTAATTTCACATGTCTTCCAAGGGTAAACCTCCCATGCTAATGTCTCCCCAATGGTATGATTTGCGATAATATACCTATAATTATCTTCAATTCATAAATACCTCAGACAGTTTAGCCATTCCTATTGGTCGAGAGCCCGTCACGTGGCCGGTATTAAACGGATGATAAAGACATGGCTAGCTGGTCTTAAACACTTTTCCAGTGTCACAATAAAATATGGACTCCTAAAAATCCAGTGCCTCTTATCGTTTCATTGGTTGAACGTTCACAATCCTCACGTAGGCATGCGCAACACTACCAGGGAGTTAGAATTTTATAGTTCGAAATTCAAAACGCAACGCGCCAGGTGCGTTCTGCGCGACATCGCGTAGAACATGATACGCGCGCGTCAATCTCCATAAAAGGGTTGTTTTCATCATACTCGCCAGCTGAACACTCCATTATTTTGCAGGAGGGATGTTTCAAAAAGCATAAAGTGAATTTGTTGAACTAAATCGGGATGTTTTGAACGAATTATATGATTTTTTTTTACCGAAAAGGTATTTATGAATGGGAATAAATATGTACTCCGTCGGTATTTATCACTCTGTTTAATACCACTTAGAGTCTGGGTGCTGATAATTACCCTCGCCTCCGGCTCGGGTAATTATCAGCACCCAGACTCTAAGTGGTATTAAACAGAGTGATAAAAACCTCCGGAGCACACATTTATTCCCTTAGTAATAGACCGATCCAGTAAGCACCGCCCATGGTGTTCAGACCAATCACAGCCGTGATTTAGGCCCGACGTGCGTGCACAAAAGTCCGAAATGCGTGCACGCGCGTATGATGCGCGCGGCAGGAAATGCAGTGTGGCATTGGAGAGGAGCACGTGTTAATTTGCCCAGTGCGCAGGGCTTACTGGATCGGTCCATTACGCCGATTAATGAAGGGCAAAACCGAATATTGAATTGTTTAAGCAACTTACCAATCTATATTTAATATGGTCGTCCACGTGATACACGATACGTATTTGTGCCCCAAATGACAACCGCATGCAGACGCCCTCGCCGAACTGTCTGATGGTGTAGTTCCCCACCCAAGGATCCCTGGTAGGCGCAGGCCCCATCATCGGGGTGGCTGCGTTGGCAGTTCTTAATCTTGGAGGGGTTACATTAGCTGCCTCTGCATGAAAGTCCGGGAGTAAAGGTTGTATAAACGCATATAGGTGAAAGATTCTTCTTCGATATTAATACTATCATCCTTCAATAAACAAGCAGCATTATATGACCGAATTCTTGAATGGAAGCAATAATTTATATCGATTATGCATGCAATACACAATGACATGCAGACTGCACTATATGAAACGAGAGGGCGGTAAATTCTGGACTGACAATTATCATGCCCAAGGGCGGATCCAGAACACAACTAGGGCCAAAAAACAATTGGATTCACGTGTTGCGATCTGAGGCATTTTTTTTTGGCCACTTTAACTAAATTATTTTGAGGAAAAGATGGTGGTATACGCAGTGCCTGCCTTAATTGCGACATCACTTAAAAAAACACCAACATGGATCCAAACTGACAACTTTTCGGGTCAATTTGACACTTTTCTGACTCAATTTTGACCCGGAAACCTTCAAGCTGGCAAACGTGTCACTTTGTCCCGGAAACGTTGACAATTCGCCCGAATGACAACCCAGATCCCGGTGGTGTCATGTGAAGATCGGACTCCTTTACCATATTATTGGTTAAACCCGCTCACGTGACCAGTCACTCTCCTAATTATCATAATTATACTTACGCATGCGCAACACTATACCAATGAGTCTGTACTTAATATTCGTGCTATACAACACCAGGTCAAATCAGAGTAGGGACTTTTTAAAGTGCAGTGATTTAAAGGGGATTCTGTTGCATCACCCTTCTTCTGTCTACTCCACCATATAACCCCGAATCGAGGTTAGGACTGAGGATCATATCCTTTTAAAATGTTCTGCATGATTCCCATGTAAGCCGTGCAGTTCGAGCTGTCATGCCTAATGGACCGATTCAGTAAGCTCCTCCCACTGCGCACGTGGGCAAATTAACACGTGCTCCTCTCCAATGCCACACTGCATTTCCCTGCCGCGCGCATCATACGCGCGTGCACGCATGTCGGACTTTTGTGCACGCATGTCGGACATAAATCACGGCTGTGATTTGTCAGAATACCATGGGGCGGTGCTTACTGGATCGGTCCATTACCATAACAGAGCATGGATTGTCTATGCAGAAGCTGTAAATATGTAAACGGCATGCATGCAATATAATACAATCCTTGCAAAAGCACCTTTGTGTCCCATTAACCTTTATTCCAGTTTTCATTTGGCCATTTTCAAAAGTATTTGGTGCCTTTGTGATATGCTAATGAAATTTACATTATTTCAGGCAGAAACCTCAGCGCTACGGCTACTTCAGCACAAACAAGTTAATATTTTGCAGTCCTGAGTTATCTATTCTTTGGTGAATCGTTGACATGGCAGTAAGCCAATGAGCAAACTTTTCTCGCAAATATATTTTCAATGAGCACATTTTGGATACACAACTTGAACAGAAAACCCGTAAACTGAACAGTGTCTTCCTGATATGACATCACAGCAACATGGCCCTCAGTTGTCCAGAAAAGCATTAAAGAAGTGCACTATTTAATAAAATTACTAAAAAGAGATGTCAAATAGGTTTCAAACATTTAAAAGGAGTAGAAATTGCACAGAATGTGTTTTTTTTTAGAAAAACATCATCTAATGAACCTTTGAACAAGAAAAAAAAGTCGCTTATAATACTTTGCACCAACCATCCAAAAAAGTACTACATTCAACCAAAAAAGAAAGCACCCCCCCCCCCAAGGCCTAATGCTTTTTTTCTAACTCAAAAACTATGGGTACTTCTTGCTCAAATTACGACTGATCAGTACAGAAATTCTGTAGCAATCCATCCAAACTCTTTGTTTGGACAAAATCATTGATAATGTGTACACAATTATGTAATTTATGACCAGTGGTGCCGAAAAGTTGCACTTTTGTGTATACGTGCAAGGTGAGTGTGAACCACAACTTGCACGTATACAAAAGTGCAATTGTTTTCGGTATCATTCGTCATAAATTGCAAAAATTCGAAAACGTTATCACTGTTTGGAGCCAATTAAAGAGTGTGGCTGAATTGTTACGGCATTTCTGTACTGATAAGTTGTCATTTTAGCGAGAGGTGCTCAGTAGTTTTTGAGTTAGACAAAAAGTATTGGAAGGGGGGACTATTTTTTTTGGTTGAGTGTATAATTGTACACACGAAATACGTTGCAATGAATTCGGATATATAAACAGCAAGTCAACTCACCCAGTTCATAGGAGAGGCAGGACACTACCAAAATCAGCAAAGGTACATGACATAATTGCTTCATAAATTCCATTTTTGACTCAACCAATTTCCTGTTGATGAGCTCTAAATCCTAGAGTGCAACTTCTGGTCACTGACGCTACTGAATTTGCAAGCCGTATGTGTGGCGATGCCTCAATAATTGAGGAGTGGTTAAACTTTTCAAATGTCGCAGATGAGGACTCACAAAATTTGGCAATACGCTGCTAGGCCTCTGTAGTGAGCGATTGAGGTGAAAGTTCACTATACATCACGCCATCTGAATTTTACAGTTTAGGAGATCCTTTGTCAATTGTTCAGCTTCCGTCATGCTTGAAGCCTTATGTGTATTCATCTCAGTCTGGGATATGCGGAGATTATATAGGCCTACAACGATGGCAAAATCAGCGGATGACAAAGTTTTTAGCCATAAAAAAAGCGACAACAGTTTCAAGCTTAAACCATGAACGATAAACCCTGCATTTTGAGTTTCTGAGAGTGAAGATCTATATCAGAAGCTAAAGGTTTGATTACATGCAAATTACCAGTCATGTGACGAATATTTCAGATTTGTTTTTGAACAAAAAACAGGTACACACTTGGGAATTTCCCTTTCTTTGTAACAATTATTACTGGTAGACGTACTTGATATGCCCTCGAGAATTACCAGTTCCACGTCATTATTTATCGTTGTTCACTTGGTGACTTGCAAGCGTATACTAGTACACGATAACCGGAAAGTTTCCGGGTTTGCCGTCAGGCCTATAGTTTCGTTTTCAATGTGCCTTTCAGACCGACAAAAAGAATATCGAATCCTTTGTGGTCTAAAAGGACCCCACGTAAACTGGCCAAAGCGCACAACCAGATGACCTTGGACACAGAGAGATAAGAGCTCCCGGGCTCTGTGTATATACAGTAGCGCTGCCTAGCACGTGTACAATAAACAGACCCTACGCGCTGAGCCATTGAGCAACGGCAAATTTTATTGGAGTTCAGACGTACAGTTCTTTAGTAAATGAATACACGCGAGCCTAAACCTTAACTAATCACAATAAGGGTTATATTGTTGGAAAGCTGACGAGCCGAAGAAAAATGACTCGAGAGATCTAAGCTCTCAGGTGGCGCTATTTAACGTTATGATGTGTTAATGGACCAGTTCTTGGCTGAACGCGTGGTTTACACACAAAACTGAAAGATTTTTGACTGAAAATGCAATGTTTAACATCAATTCGCGAGTGAAACTCAGTGTTTTAGTCAGTTTTTCTTTCATTTTCAGCAAGAGTATATTGTTAGGGTCACACTGTAGTGAGATCTAAGGTATACCCTGTCGAATAATGAAGTTGTGGCGACAGATGTGAAAAAAAGGCCCGTTTTCGCCGCATTCTCTCATAGAGGTTGCACCTAAAAACCGGCCCGGTGGGTTAGTTCCCCAAAGGTGAGTGCGTCAAAAAAATCCGCCAACCGTAGCGGCAATTGTGTTCGCTGCCTGCCGCTGGCTGGATCGGTTCCGCCATCTGATGATGCCTCTTTCAGAATAATCGAGAAATGACCTCCTTTTGCAATGTTATGCAAAGCTTGGACCAAGTTTCGAAATTACAGGTGCACGTGATGATGACGGAAGCCGCAATGGAAGTGATGTTTGATAGTGAACATCAACTGACTTAATTCGTGCGCATTGCCAATCAAACGGCCCCCATTTTTTACGCCATCTTGAAGCTTTAATCACTCCTGTTGCATCCCCACATTGCGCGACTGGCAAACCCAAACTCAGTATTGTCAGTGTAAAACAAATCGCTCGAAATTTACAAGGAGTTGCAGCCTGGGATTTAGCACCCGTTGGGGGGAAATTTGTTGAGTTTAAAATGGAATTCGGGAAGCGATTCTCTCATGGAGCTATGCTCATGGGCGTCGCCAGGATTTTTTCTAGAGGGGGGCAAAAAAAAATTTTGCCCCCCCCCCAACTCATTAAATTTACACCACTTTGTCTTTGCGCCTCTTTTTCTTTTTTTTTTCTTTTCTTTTTTTTCTTCCTTTTTTTTTTTTTTTTTTTTTTGCTTTTCCAGGGGGGGGGCAAGTGCCCCCCCTTGCCCCCCCCCCTCGCGACGCCCATGGCTATGCTGCTTGTGGTTGTGTCTTGCCTTTCTGTTGAAGCGGGTAAGTTGAAGTTCTATTATCTGTATCTTTGCCGTAGGTTAGTCTATGTAATAGACCACAGCGAATGCCGTGGTCATTTACAGGAGATGGCTCCGTGGATAACGGGTGATACTCAGACAGGAGATGGCTCCGTGGATAACGGGTGGATGATACTCAGACTAGCCGTTGGTGTGCTGGGTGCACATTATTGGGTTCATGGTTCATACCCATGTTCCTATACCTGTTCCGGTGTTCCCCTATATGTGCCCCAACCCTAACCGTACCCTAACCCAGGATTTCGGGAAACGTGGGTATATTGGGGGAACATAGGTATTGGGAAACATCGGGTAGACCCCCAAATTATTTTAGCAAAATAATGTCCGTTGTTGTGGAGCATGTTCAATCTGTACTTTTAGCTGTCACTATATATATGAATTGGAAACCAAGCTAGATTGCATGGTTTGCGGCATGCAAGTTAGCTCCGAATATACATGGTGAATTGGCCCTCATGTAACATGGGATTTTTCCCATGGGTTTTTTCCCTGAATGGTTTCAGAATCCCATATCATTTCCCAAAGTGTCACAATTTTCCCATTTTATTTTTAACAAAGCTATACTTTTCGGTTATTTTGTTCCCTATGAGAAGTGTCGTCAACACTCCATGGCCAATGCCTGGCCACATCATTGCTCCTTTACCACTTTTCAAGTTGTACCATATATTATTCCCAATTTCGCATAAATGTTTCCAATATCAAATGTATCCATAGTTCTTTTGTACATTTTTGTTTGTTCCTTTTATTAATATTCGGTTGTGATTTGCATAAATCCCGTGAGTGGTAGACTAGTCAATAACAGACTGAAGCAGGCGCGGATCCAGAAGGGGGGGGGTCCCAAAAAAACCCCAGCTCTGTCCAAAAATAAAAATTATCATACAAATCCCTAAAAAAAAATAAGTCGAACCCCCCCCCCCCCCCCCCCTGCTGTGACACCCAAAAAAAAAAAATTATACTGGTCTAATGTCCGCCTGTTCAAAATACGGTACACCATTCTGTAATGAGTGTTAATAATCGTCGAATTTGAACAGCGCCCCCTATTGAAATTTTACGGAGGCCAAGTGTCCGGAGAAAAAAACGTGTGTACATTTTCAGATTTTTTGGCTGATGAAACCACCCCCCCCCGCGAAAATTCCTGGATCCGCCCCTGTGAAGGTTTGCCTAAAAACGACCTAGCTTCCAATCAAGCAATATTCTTGGTTACAACAAACACGGTTATTATTTTGAGAAGGCGAATAATCATGAATAGCTAGCATTCCTTTTATCAAGTGCAGCACTGATAAGCAAAACCTTGACGTTCCATAAAATACTGATTGCATTATTTAACTCTGCCTCATTCCCCAATTAACTTACGGACTGACAGGCATGACTGGTGTTGCACCTAACGCGACCACTCCCCGGGCAACTAACGTAACTACGTCGCCTGCTGCTAACGTAACCACCCCAACTCCGACTACCAACGTAACCACCCCTACTCCGACTACCAACGTAACCACGCCTTTGCCGACCTTCAACGTAACCACGCCTTCGCCGACTTCCAACGTAACCACGCCTTCGCCAACTTCCAACGTAACCACGCCTTCGCCAACTTCCAACGTAACCACGCCCAGGGCAACAACGGCTACCAAAGTAGTGACTACAACTCAGACAACTTGAGACTCCGCAATGGGTTGGTAACTGGTCCGTCAAAGACGCCCACGGAGCAATCTGCATGTGGATGTCGTTCGGGGCAAACCTGAGCATAACATATTTGACGGACAATGGCACGGTAAGTTGTTTTCCGAAACGTGAGAGGCATCGAACGAGTGTTGCATATTGACGTGAGATACAGATTCCTCCAACCTTCTTTTTAGGAACATTTACATAATGTACGCCTACGGTATAAGCATGTCGCTCTGAAAAAAAAATCATCCAATAAATCACCTATTAATTCCAAGGCGGATCCAGAACACAATTTTTTTTTTTTGGGGGGGGCCAAAAAATTTCTGGTGCCCCAAAAAAGTGGGTCAAAAAATTACGGCGTGGGGTTCGGGGCCCGCTTAAAGGCCCCGAACATTTTTTGGATTCTAGATGCTCTGTGGTGCGATCTGAGGCAATTTCTGACCACTTTAACCAATGTTTTTTTGAGGAAAAGATGGTGGTGTACTCATTGCCTGCCTTTATTGCGATGTCACAAAAAAAAAAAATTGGTTTCGTTTTTTTTTTGGGGGGGGGGGCATGGCCCCCTTTGGCCCTCCCCCCCTGGATCCGCCTTGATTAATTCACACTTAAATTGTGTGATAATTTCACCACGGACTTGTTAAACATGTACATGAAGCGTTCCGAAACGCCATACACTATAGGGGGCCTAGACCAGTTTTCTAATAAATTCAAATTCATGTACGCATGCGCATAAATTCTTCTTCTTCTCCTCCTTCTCCTCCTCTCTTGTGACCTCTAACAGGAACGAACCAAGGTCTTTGAGTTGGACCCTGCCTTGCTCAGACTCACGAGTAACTGCAACTCGTCATCCACTCGCATGCTGAACATCACCATCAACATGGGCCCTGGTTGGGCCATCTCCCTCGCCTTCTACCGTCAATCTGGCAAATACTCCATGACTGAAGTGGGGGCGGCCTGGGTCTATGACAATCATCTCCCCGACGCCAAAAGCAAAGGTAGCAATAACATAAAGGAATTGTCCCCCTGCATTTGGGGTGTGGCATAAGAATTAACTTTAGAACTGAATTAATCATGTGATGGCACTGTAAACGTTATGAATTTTCCTATGAGATGTTTAATTTATTTCAGTTTCAATTTTTCAATTTCGCTTTGGAATACTGAAGAGCGGGGCGAACCTAATTCAGCTTAGACGTCATTATCCACAACGCGTAACGCCCAAATCGGGCCAAGTCTAAATTCAAAATCGATCCCGAAACAAACGCAACATAATTTGTAAAGCTTTTTTTTAAAGGAGCATTGCCTCTAATAAGCCTCCGAATCAATGTCACATGGAACCGCATGTATGACTACAAGTTGAATAAAGTTAGATAATTTTGTATGTGATTACATTGTACTTTCGACAGGGTTTACAACCGAGACGAAAAGGGAGAATAATTTCTTGGCGCAAAAGGTCGCATTGGGGAATTATTACACTTGCCCAGATCCCTTGTCGGTGACCCCGGATGCGGCGACAGTCACTTTGTGGCATATTCAGATGCAACCCTTCGCCGACAAGGCTGGCGGCAAGTTGGGACAAGGTAGGATTGTGATCTAGCTATAAACTGACTGACGGACCGATTGACTAACCGACTAGCCGATCGAATAGCCAATTGTTCGATCGCCTAACCGATTACTGCTTGATAAAATAACCGACTGTTCGATCAACTATAGCCAATTGTTAAATCGACTAACCAACTGTTTGATAAAATAACCGACTGTTCGATCGACTGACCGATTGGCCGATCAAAAAAACGCATGTTCGATCGATTAACCGACTGACCGATCGATTAACTGACTGATCGATCAACTAACCGAATGACCAATCGACTAGGCGAACGATTGTTCAACCGATCGACTAACGTATAAAAAAAGGATGTCGTATACGTACTGATTGAAGAGGATGTTAAAGGTCAAAGGTGTGACAAAGACATTGTAGATGTAGATGATGATAAGGCGACAGAGGCGATGACGACATTTTAATTAAAATGCTTTTTAGGATAACAAGGTTTACAAAGATGCCGTTATGTTCTTTAACCCTAAAGGGGCCGGGGCGGAACCCCCCCCCCCAACTTTTTCCGCGATAGCTTAAAAAACAAATCGCGACCCGAGCTGTTCTGACTTTTTAGCCTCGAGCCTTGCGCATCTTTTAATACCAAAAACATATAAAAATTTCTGGCGCTAGGCGCCGTGAAAACTGAATTTCCCCATATCCGTAGTGTACACTCAGCAGAATTACCATTCGTGCATATGAATAACTAATTAGCCATAATTCCAAAACCCTTTGAGCTATAGTCATAACATTTCTTGGGTATGTTCATGATACGTTGTTTTGTGCATGTACCACCAAGTTTCCAAATTTTTCGTCACTCGATGGCCGAGATCTTAAGGGGTGGAGATGATCAAAATAGCCCTGTCCTTTTCAGGTAAGATGCTAGCTGATTTATGGTATTTGAAATACTCTGATGTCATTACCTTACACAGCTTTCATGTCTCCTTTTTTCTGTCTGCTACAGCTGAAGTGTGTACATCAGGTCTCAGTGCCGGCATCATCGTCGCCATTGCAGTCGCGGGAGTCATTGTCCTCATCGGTGTCATCGTCGTGGTCGTTTGCGTCGTGCGACGAAAGAGAAAGACGAAGCCTTACAGCGAACTTGAAAACGAATAAAATTAATACCCAATAATAAGAATAAAATGTGCTCCAATGCTTAGTTTCAGTTTGCATAGATTTAACAGGTTTCTCGGGACTTCGCGTGTTTCCTTTCAAATTGTAATCTGAGTTATGATAGTGCCTTCAATTCAATTCAATTCAAACTCACATTATTACCGAAACCTAAAGAGAAATAGAAGCAGTTATTGCAGGAATGGAATTGTCGAAAAGGTGTAAGAAGCGAAAATATAGATATGGAGGTATCCTCTTGAAGCCTATAGGCTTGTTACGAAATGCCTTGGACGGACTAAGACAAAACAGAAACAAGTACAAGTACACACGAACAGTTGGACTAAAACAGAACCCAAGCATGAAAACGGACAGATAAAACTAGAAAAGTGCGTATTGAGAGGAAACAAATATTGTTCTAATACGTAGGTTTCTGTCTTGGTCCAACTGTCCATGTGTACTTGTTGTTGTTTCTGTTTGTGTTAGTCCGTCCAAGGCATCTTGCCACAATGGACCGATCCAGAAAGCCCCGTTCACTGCGTACTAAATGAACACCTGCTCCTCAAATGCCATGCATTTTCCTGCCGCGCGCATCATACGCGCGTGCACGCATGTCGGACTTTTGTGCACGCACGTCGGACATAAATCACGGCTGTGATTGGTCAGAACATCATGGGGCGGTGCTTACTAGATCGGTCCATTAATTAGCCTAGCTTCTTTGTAAATATCCTGCATGCTTCATGACAACGACAGCCGAAAATTTAATTTGGCACTTGAGCCAAAAGCCACTTATTCATTTCCAGACATGCCCCTTTACATGTATATAGGAACTGGAAAGGCGGGCTGCTTTTTTGTTTGTTTGTTTTAAAGAAACTTTAAAAGTAGTAATGGGAGTTTGGAAAGTGACTACAGGTATATTGCTACCGTACATAAGCTGGATATACAATTAACTTTTTACTGCAATAATTATGTACATGCAGAGCACAGGCGATTGAACTGTTGTTCATTTGCCCAGTCTGCGGTGAAATGCTGTACTCTATTTTTAATTCAGTCATTATTTAGCCAGAAGACAGATGACGGTAGGAGGGCGGGGCAATCGTCCCGTCTCAGGATCACTGTCAATACTTATTAAACTTCATTACTCTGTACAAAGTAAATAGCTCGAAATGTAATGCGGATGTAGTGCGTATCAAGTTAGGAGAACTAAACTTAACAAAATCAACAAAATCATGTTAGGAGAACTAAAACGTCTGGATCAGAATTGACCCAGAATTTGAGCCTATATCTGCACAGTCCTTTTCCCGGGTCAAAGTTTACATTTTTTTGGTCAAAATGACACTTTTTTTCTGGTCAAAATGACATTTTTTTCTATATAATTTGGATCAAGAAAAGTGCCATTTTGACCCCAAAAAGGACCGTGCGGATATAGACTCAGATCGGGGTCAATCTGACCCAGGAGTTTTTAGAGAACATGCTGACAAAAAGATAGTCAATTTGCCTTTGAAATAATCAAGCTTGGCAAGGCATTCCGGGTCAGTTTGGTGCAACTTGAATATCAGTAAAAAAACAGAACAAAACAATATTTCTTGTAGTATTGCTTAGGTATATAGATGGAAATCTAGACAAAGCTTAAAATAAGATCATTGTTTTCTTAATCGCGGATTGATATTCTAGTCTCAAGAAATATACTAACAAATATTCACTATATTTTGAACCATAACATACTTGTGTATATCCAGAATTGCAATTTTAATTTTTGTAATACGACCAGGCCCCATCCACTAACAGTTGCATTGCATTCATCTTTGAAGTGTTTTATTTTGGTCCAACGCGGGGATATGCAGAAGTGGACCTCTTGTGTATTGTTAAGGAATTTAAATAACAATAGAATACCCCAAAGATGGCTTCTGATAGCAAATGGTCAGTGGCGTACAGACCTTATGCATATCAGCCATCTTGGAGGGTAGTGCCTTCATTTTGCTGGGACGAGTAAACATTTTGTGCATTCATTGTTATACTGAATTAAAATAACAAACGAGGCCCCCTAAGATGGCCGCTATACGCAGAAGGTCAATAGCTAGGCCCTGCGCGTGAGACATTTGAATTGATGTAATAAATATACCCAGATCACTAAAATAAAAAGTTGGTTTAAAAAAAGAAATTTCAAGTGGCAGTTTTCTTGCTTTCTTAACTGGATTTTGGTCTTGACAAACATCCGCGGTAACTTTGATTATTTGATTTTTTGGTGACGTCGCCAAAGCATAATTTGAATGTTGAAGAAAAGAATTGCAATGATCTGAAGAGAGTGCGTGTCCCTTCAGGGCCATCGTAGCAAAAATTGGCGTTTTGTCAAAATGTACGTTCCAGGCACAACCACCGAAAATATTTCGAGTCTCAGATTGAGTGATTTTTGAACTTTGATCGAGACTATATCCATAACAATGCGACGACAAAGTTGCACATAAACATGCAGTAGACTTTGGTAATGGTGTGAACAGCAAATGGTTCTGTGCCTGTTTATATTCAACGGTTATTGTCAATAAGGTAGCTGTTCCTTTCCTATATATAAGCTGAACAAGAATGTCGATCCAAAGATTCTTGTTGTCAACAATCCTGCTTTCTTCTTTAAGTAAGTTTTTCCTCCATCCTGTGCATTACTATGTAGATTTTAGTGAGAACAAGAATTGGAGAAAAATTGCATCATGAAGAAGAGTAACTTTTTGGTTGTACAGTTAAAATTTGACAAGCCGAATTACCTTCGTATAAGTTTAGCCCCACGTTGCGCTAGTTCGTACATAGGATTAGGCCATTCGAAAACAAATATAATTTATACCACGGCTCTTTGGTGTATTTTTTTTAAAAGCATTCTATAGGCCTGCATAACAAAAACTTAAGTGAATGAAAATGCCTGCTTAAAGCTTGCTAACAATGACATGTCTACACAATCAACAACTCAACACAAAAGGAGGGTAACCATCATATTCAAATGTTTGAAAATTCGTTGGAGATGAAGCTAACAATAATAGCTTTAATATTGCTCTAGAATATCTCATAATTTTGCTAAGGAATCTAAATCGTGATAGAAGTCTGGATATCTTTCGACTGGGCCGTTATGGAGATTAAGAGCCTCTTTGTCCCAACACATTTTTTGGTGTAGGTAAACCTCCCCCACTATTTGCATCAGCGACGAGGGAGCAGAAACTTTTTCTCACACAATCTTCCTACACAACACCCACATCACATGAGCCGCGGGCAGGCGACTGGAAGATTTTCAACAGAGATGGCGCCCTTTGCATGAGGATGACGTTTGCAGCACAGTTCAACATCAGTTACAAAACAAAACATGGGGTAAATTTTATTCTTTGCAAAAAAATGTAATTGACAACCTGATTGCATTGAAGTCAGGCTTGAACCGTGGTTTATACAAACAACCGTACCCCCAAGACACCGGTGTTTGTGTCCTTGGGCATGACACTTTACTACAATTGCCTCTCTCCGACCAGCAGTGAATGTGTACCTGTGAAGAAGTATATAGACCAGAATGCGGCACTGATCTCGAGCTGCTGCAAAAAACTGGTCTCATGGCCTGATGACAGGGGTAATAATGTGAAACGCTTTGAGACCTTTTGGTATAAAGCGCTATAAGCACCACATCATTAAGCCAGTAGGCCTATACGTGTCAAACAGATCCAAGTAGCCTATTTTGGCATTTTTTTTCAGAACCTGAATTTCACCAATCAAAAGAATATCAAGAATTATGCAAGTCTTGCAAATAATTTCATTTTGATATACATGTTTATCGATAAAATGGGAGATGCAAGTATTTTTAAGTTCACACTTTTTTTGTCAAATTATATTTTGCACCCGTCCCCAGGGTTATGACAAGGTCGCCATTGATATCGATCCCGATAGTGCTACCGTTGCCAGTGCGTGCGACAACACAGAACGATTTTTCTTTCTCTATCCATTTGGGGCGGCCGATGCGCTGTGGTACATTCGATTGACCTTTGACGTCAAAACCAAGCATTACTATCTAACCGAGGTGAAGACGGGCTGGCAATTTGACAAAACCCGGTTTAAAGATGGCGACGTTCCTTATGGTAAGTTAACATGCAACTTAACTTAAGCTCACCATTCTCCAATCATTGGAAATCAGTAAGCCCCTATATATACATCATTATGATTGATGAAATAGTTGGAAAAGATAATGCATCACTATGTATTCTATCGGAAGAAATTCCCGTTTTTCCCATTCATTTCTGGTAATAAGGTAATTCAACCTGGGAGACGGCAAAATCCGACAACTTCTTGCACGAGCCTGTTCTGCAAGGGTTGACCTACGCATGCTCAGAGGACTTGATCGTGACGACGCATGTGACGTCACTGCGCCTGACACAAATCAGGTTCCAACCTTTTGCTGAAGAATGCAAGGATAAGTCTGATTGCCCAGGTATAGATGTTGTTTTTGTGCAAAAAGGAACCAGACTGTTTTTCCTTCCAGTCTTTGGTTACGTTGATTTGAATGGGGAAAAAATATAGATGGCCGCAACATGATAATATAAGACCATTTTAGATGTACAAGATTCTGTTCATCTTTCAAAGTTGTGCGTAAGTTAGCACAGTCGGAAGAACAACATACAATACCAACGCAAAAGAAGTTGACAAAAGTTATGAGGTACACTATGCCGAATGATTATGATAGTGTAGCGTGGTCAGGTGCCGCAGCGAGACAAACAAATAACTTGGTAGAGAGAGAAAAGATGTTTAGGCTTCAAGTAAATTAATTTGTTAAGAAAGATTGGATCCGCCCACTTATTTCTACTAATTATTACTAATTACTTCTAATATTAGGGGCAACTACGACTTAAGTTCTTTAATTAAAGTACTGAATAAATGAATTTGTTGTAGAAATAAATGCAAGGAAAACGATTAATTATGAGAAATTACAAAGGGCGGGGCTTGGTGATGGTCACAGTGAGTGGGGTAGCTTATGGTAAAAGCACCATAACTCTACTCCCAACCCGGGGGGGGGGGATTTATGATTTAACTAAGTTGTCATCATCACTAACTTACTTGGTCATTACATCGAGGCCTTTCCTTGACACGCCCAGGCAAAACCTGCACAGCCCTCCACAGACAACCTATCCCTAGCACAGCACCCAGCAGAAGCGCACATGGCTAGTTCAAATTCCATGCACATGGGGCTTTGCAATAGAATTATGCAGATAAGATGCTGCATGCCTGGCTGGACTGATACACACTCAGCTCAGGGGTGTGATGGATGAGAGGGGCAGGCCAACTAAAAAATAGAAGATGGGGAGGAAGGTAATGATGAAGGGCTGTTTTCATTACAATAACCACACAAAACGCACTTAACCACATTCGTTCAAAAAGAAGTTACCATGGGAATTCTCCAAGTCAAAACTTTCAACTTTCTCTCCATGACTCCCTCTCTAACACCTAGACCAGATGGCTCACGTGTCAATAAATTAGGCCTTCTTTCTAAACATAAAACAGTGACTCATAATTATCGGGTGATATTCGATGAAAAGACCACTATAGTTTAGAAGCCCATACACCGAACTTGAGGGCAATCCGATTGCTAGGGGAAATCGTTTTTAGTTTTATCCATTTTCTGAAGCATCATGAAATAATCGACATAAGCTACTTCTTATCTTCAGTTATTTTTACCCTGCAGATGTGGAATGCCAAATCTTGGACAACCAAAAACTGGTCGTGGGCGTGGCAGTGTTGCTAGGGATCGTCGTAGTCGTCGCTCTAGTCGGGATTGCAGCCTGTGCAATCAAGAGATCTAAGACTAAACTGCCGCCGTACTACAACATCCAGGACGGTTGATGAACCTTCTGGAGTAAAGGCTACATCTCTAAAACTATGTACATAAAAAACCATGCATATCATTGTATATGAACATAAATCGACATTTTCTGCGTTGGAACGTGTACACATATGATTGAGTTAATTACCTTGAACTTAGAAACTTTGCTCAAACTTTGGCCTTCATCTTCCATCTTCGCCATTTTCGATTATCCAGCCGTGTCTTTTGCCATTTTAAGCTCTTATTTTTTTTCTTGTAAAAAGTGCTAGGAATTGTAACTCACGTCATAAATCTTATGGCATTACGATTTTTTGTTGCGATAAATCATTCTAGTGTCTATATCTTAAAAGCGTTAGTAATATTCCCGCTTTATTTATTTAATTCCTTTCTTTTTTGTATCCATGGTAAACAATGAAGAGGTAATACTTGCATGTTCAGTGTTAAATAATTTCTTGCCTGCATATACGAGCGAATTAAAGTATATTAATTGGGGTTTTGAAACCTAGGTTTCGGCTGCAGTTCGGTTTCACATGGTTTAGAAGCCTGTTACTTTGGAGACTCGGACTCATTTTCTTCTCAGGGCACCTATTAAATGAGGCACGGGTTTTCTCCTCAATGTTATGCTGACGCCCAAGCGGTGAAGTCAGAGCTGGAACGAAGCCGGGGATTTGAAACTCCTATGAAAAAAAATGCATCGAAGAGATCGATAGGTGGCGCACTCCCTTGCGCTCTGCGCAGTCTGGTGCTTTTCTTCCGGAGCCAGTTTCCAAGGTTTGATTAGCAGTCGCGCACATTAATTTGATGGATACAGGAAACTAGTTTGGTAGATCGCAGAAAAAGTGAGAGAAGTCGAGTTTTTTGCGTTAAGTTTCCTGCATATTGTAGTTGCTTTCTGTCACAATGAAGCCAACTGTGGCAGTTGATGAGATGTTTCCTGAAGGGTCTGGGCCTTATGTGGACCTGGACGAGGTGAGCGTCTTTGGATTTGTTGAACTTAAAGCGTATGAAGACTGTGGATATAGAGGGCGCCCTCTTTAATGTTGCAACAAATTAGGTTTTCTAAAGAGAAATTCAGATGCCCCGTGTTTATCTTTGTTTGGTATTTGGTGTATACATTCCATGATGATATTTGTGGATGTTGAGAAAAATCCATGATGATGGTTTGGTTATGTAGCTAGTATAAATCATGAATCTAGACGCCACTTCAGTGCCGTGGTTGTGTACAATGTCTGTACTCCTAGAACTATGAGGCTCCGCGTGAGCGGAGCCTCATAGATCAAGAAGCCCGCAGCACAAAAC